TTAGATGTTTTCACATTACGTTTCAAGTTGTAATTATTTTAGGTTAAACAAAATAATATCATCACATAATAAGTGGCGCATCCATCATGTAATATAGCAGACGTACGCGCCTCCCCCATTTTTTTCTTTTAAAAGACGACCAAGCAGGGATAAATGATCATTACGATAAACATTGGGAAGCTTCCAAGTATACGTCAACTTTGGCAAAGTTACATGCCACTTTCTCAAATAAGCTCATTGATGACTGACAAATGATGTCACAAGGGGAATGAGATCTGGAGGTTTTGGGGGTAGAGCTTAGCAAGTTTGTAAAAAAACAAATATTTCAAAAAATATTAAAAATTTATGAAACAAATTCAGAAGTTTACATATCAAAATATGAGATGTATGCAGGACTGCACACCAACAGGAATACACTTGTATTTCGATTTCATGGGCCCTTTAATTATGAGTCCATTTTGTACCTTTGATATTTTTATCTCATAATTACATGATTAAATTTGTACACCATGATTACATGGTTAGTTTGCCTTCGTTTTAGATTCTCTCACATGCATAGTCTCAATTTTCAAAATTCGTAGATGTTTCATTTACCTGATCATTACTTTTATCTATATATATGAATGACTCAAATATAAAATGCACATAATACACAGCAGTGAGGGCATTAATAAGAATTACCCACACAAGGTACCTTTGCACAGTCAAACACGCCTGAGGCGATGAGCGAGTAATTTTTACTAATGCCCGAACAAAATGATGTGTATTATTTGTTTTATAAGATGATGTTTTATTTGTTTTATAAAATGATGTTTTATAACAGTGATTAATGACCGGTCATAAGTGTTTGCTAATGACCGGTCATGAGTAAAATTACGTGCGAGGCAAAATGAATGCCTGGTCACGTGTACGCTCTCAACCAATCATTTCATTAGGATCATTTTATAATATTTAAGTATGAATCATTCTATCATTGTATTTATTGTTAAAGCGTATATTAAAGCGTATATTAGTCGTATAGTTAATTACATGTACAGAAGGCTCCAACAGGACAATGGTGTTCACCTTTTTTTAATGCGGATTCCGCCTAGGTAAAATGTTTTGCTTAAAACGATAGCACCGACTGACTTTTGATTAAAAAAAAATGTGCCCAAAGTAACAAAAATGCTGTCTTAGGGGCCCACCACTCTATTGCCCCGTAAACGTTAGGCCTCTTGACTTTGTATTAGTCGAGTATTCTGATCCTTTGGGCCTTTTTGGAGCAACTTCCAGGATCCTGTGGTCTTCTACGGGTCTTAACCTTTACCTTTATTGATAGTTTATAGTGGGTTTCATACACTAAACAAACATTTACAGCCAAAATATTTGTTCTGACATATATACAAAACAATAGTGGGCCCCTAAAACATAAAATTTGGGCACTTGTGGGATTTTATTCGGGCTGGAAAGGTGAATTGGTAATTTCAAATGTACTTTTCTTGATGATTTCTTTGGTTACTTCAGTTATGTTTCAACCAATGTCTTTAACGTTGAGGGTTCAATATTTCAGCGCTGACATTGTTCTTCCTTGTTTTGAAATAATTTATGTATTTTATTTTTTATTTTGATATACAGTGTATTTTTAGTTTGTAATTGAGTATGGTTGTTGTGATCTCAGGAATAACAATTGTTGAAAATAAATGTTTTCATAATACCAAATAAAACTGCTTACGGTTTAGATGTTTTACATGGTTTCAAGTTTTAAAAAAAAAAGTATAAAAATTATATTATCACATGAATGGCGTATACAGCGTATGAAATGGTACGACCCCCCCCCCCCCCCACTTTTTTTTTTTTTTTTTTTTTTTTTTTTTTTTTACAGAAGAACAATATTCAGACATAGTTTGTTTTTAAGTTTTTTGCATTAAACAAAATCTAGTGAGACGGTACGGTGATAAATACTGGGGCGGCGATCCAGGGGGACACGTCTCCCTCAATTTGTTTAGGGTTTCCCCTGAAAAATTTGAAAAAGTGCACACACAAAAAAGGGTATAGCAAATACTGACTAAAGACTGCAACACACTTTTAGGCTCTGGAGGTCCCAAGAGTGCAGCGTTTAGACTAATAAAAATGCAAAAATCATATCAAATATTGTAGAAAATCTTTATTCCTTTGGAATCATGTAAGTACAGTTTACACTGAGTGTTTACAAAATTACGAGTTATAGAAATATCAGTGCTACAAAAATGAATAGTCAGTAAAGAGTCACTACAACATAATCTATATATTTGCCAGGCTAACATTTGTCTGTTCAACTCCCATAGCGATATCAATATACACGTATATAAGAGGCCTAGAGTGGGAAATAGAAATCCCATCTATGCCAAAGCTCCCTACTTACTAAATTTACCTATTAAACTGATATTTACAACCATTCGGACTGCACACTAATCACCGGCAAAGTAAAAGAGAAGTATGAAAAAGGGTTCAGCCTATTGCTTGGTTATATACTATAGTTTTGCTAAAGAGTGTAATTTTGTAATATATGCAACAAAAGATCAAAACCCTGTGAGGGGTTACTGTCGTCATCTTTACCCTTCTCATTCATTATGCTCCCTCGTCCCTCACACTGGTGTGCTAATTGAGGGGGGCTTGGGGCAGTTCCCCCCCCCCCCCCTTCCCGAATAAAATTCAAACGTTTTTCTTACTTTTTTGGTAAATTATACTTTTTTATGCGTTTATGGAAAATGACAAATCCCAAAGTTTCCAGTCAGGCAAAAAATATGCTTATTTAGAAGCCTACATGTAAGGGCCCGCTAGAGGGGGGTTCAAGCCCTTCCCTCTGCCCCTGGACCCCATGCAAATTTACACTTGACTCGCTACGTTCTACCTGATCATTAATATTTTGCCCCCCCCCCCCCTCTCACTTTGAAAAACGTTCCACGGGGCATGCATGTAAATATAAGAGTGGTGGTGATGCAGATCTTTTTTCTTCTGCCCCACCAAACGTTTTGCTCATTACGCCACTGGTCCCTCGCATTTCCCCTCGCCCCCCCCCCCCCCCCCCAGTCATGAAAAGAAATCGCCGCCCCTGACTACCCAACTAGTTTATTTTCATAGTTTACACCCAGATTGTCTACTTTCCACATGGTTTGATAATCATTTCATCTACTTATCATTATGGTCTCATTTCCATATGGTCTAATCTTTCAATATTATTGTCTACGACGCATTTGGTCAATTGTTCATTTAGTCTAATAACCAGTTAGTCTAATTCCCAGTTTGCCTAATGCCCATTCGTCTACCATCCATAAGGTCTAATAATCATTTGATGATTATTATCATTATGATTAAATTATTAATCGCCCATATGGATAGTAGATAAACAGGGAATTAGACTGTGTTAAAGAAGAAGTTGAGTTCTGGTCATGCGATTGCATTGTGAAAGAAACGGTGTGGAATCGACCAGAAAAGGTTGATCATTGATTATGGACCCCTTTGAAGACCAGCTTTTAGCTGAAAAGGGTGATCCTTCCCATACGTGGAAAATAAATTTAAAAAAATAGAAAATAAAAAAATCTAGCATATAAGAATTTGTGTGTATTGCAAGGTTCTGGAATCATCAACATGAAAAGAAATGTTGCCAAGTCTTGGTAAATTCACAAACACTGTACACAGAAAGATGTATATGGGATTACACGAACACGTGGCGTAAAAATCCTACCCTGGATTTTTACGATGTTACATGACATATTTAGAATATGAAGGCATTTGAAGAGCCATGCTTTTCAGGGAACATGTCTTATCTGATGTTCTTCCACACTTGCATAATAAGAATGATAATGCTCACAAATTATTTTTCACCTGTTCCCAGAACTCAACCTTCTTAAACAAGCTTCTGGCTTTAAACAGACGAAATACATGTTATATACAGCAGATCATCCCATACTGACATAGAGTTATATACAGTCAGCAAATTTCCAAAATAAACATTTACTTTTTTACAAAAATACACCAAGAATACAAATTATTTTAGAAAATAGCCTGTTATAGCCCAATTGTATGAAAGACACCATAGCATATTATGTACATGTAATGTTGATTTATATTCAAAGTTGAGCTAAAATTGCTCAAATCGGTTTTATATACAGGCAAAAATATATATTTATTTCAGTTATTTCTAAAAAATATGGATATTTAATAACAGAAGTAAAAGATTCATTAAAAAATATATTATTACAGAAGCAAAATAATCTTAACACAGAGAATGAATACACAGATACTCAGAATCACTGCTATATCTTTTAAGTGAATCACAGAATCTGCATTTTACATTTTATTTAAAGTACATAGATCTACAAATATAAAAAGACTTCAAATGCATTAATTTTTGGCTATAATGCATCAAACTGCAGAGTCTCATGGACTTATACTTATTCAATTCAATTCAATTTATTTTTGTTTCCATCAAAACATTACAAATCAATTATAAACATTTAGAAAAATTTATGAATGCATATTGGAAACAGAAGGGTCCACTAAAAGCAATGCTTGTACAAGTGTGAACACCTCAAATGATACTTAGGAATAATGAGTAATTATATCAACAAGCTCGTAACTACAAAAGGAACTACAAAATAGGGGGAATAGGGGGATATGCCAACAGAGACGAGAACGGGACAAGACGGTACCTTACATGGCAAAGATAAGAGAACACGGTCACAATACAAAGAGTAGACAAGGCCAAATACAAGAAGTGAGAGATCTGGGGTACAGAAAATAATACAAAATGATGAGCTACACGTGAGGTTGAGAAGAAGACTAGGAAGGAGAAATGTTCATTAGAAAGGAGATAAGCACGAGATGGCACAATATAATATATACAATTACATTTTTAGTCAGTGAGTAGAGAATGATTTTGTATTCAACAAAAACAACAACAACATATAATTCAATGAGGTTTATATGATTGTATTAAAAACAATTTGTTTTTCTTTTCTTAAAAGTATTAATCAATGGAGTATTTTTTTTTTCATTACTTAAAGAATTCCAAATCTTTGGACCTTCATATATAAATGTTTTTTGAGCCAATAGAGGGTCCGCAATAAGAAAAAATGTCAAATTAAGCTTCTATTTATAAACTTATATCTCCTTTAACATCCCAAAATTTCTTCCATGCATCTTCACCTGCATCTTAAATTGTCTTCATCCTCCTACTTAGTGTCACTGGATACTTTGTCCTCTTCTCCCTCCTCCTCCTCATCATCATCATCATCCTCCTCCTTGTCATGATCATCCTCTTCATCATCATCATCATCATCATCCTCACAGACCTCATTATGGTGATTATCGTTCCCTTGTGATGGGTGTTCTGCACTATTATGATAATTAAACTGATCCCCAGTTACAACGGTGTTTACATTTCCATAAAAATTTACAATAACAGGTTGGTGTTTGTTTTTATTACCACGCTTAGCCGACAGTTGCCCTGATTTCGTTTTGCGGGATGCATCTTTATTATTTCTTGTTGTGGGTTGTGGTTCTTCTGCTTCAGCCGACCCCCTCCATACTCTATCATCATCACCCGTAGCTCGTCCATCATGATCCTTCACCTCTTTATCAGTGAGTAGCCTTTGGCGTTCATCAGGATCCTCCCTGGCAGTTTTGCCCACATCTTCCTCATCATTTCCTGTCCCAACCACATTTCTTTTGGTTTTCTCAGAATCAAGGCTCGTTGGCATGTGCTCACCATTTTCGTGACTTATCACAGAACTTTCTTTGCTTCTTAAAGTTTGCGGCTTGTTGCTTATCCCAAGTCCACAGTTATTCTTTGAAGGTCCATCTTTCTCCTTCATTTTTGTAGGTTGTGACTTTTCTGCATCAGCTGAACCCCTCTGATTTCCCTCACCAGCTTCTCCATTCTGATGCTTCACCTGTGCATCAGACAGAAGCCTTTGAAGTTCTTCCCTGCTTCCATCGTGTTCATCATCTCCTCCCCTAATAACCTTGTTTTGGGGGGCTCCATCAGCACCAAAGCTGATTGGCCTAAGCTCATTCTTATCTTGACCAATTACAGTACTCCCTCTGCTACTTAAAGATGCACCAGGCAATAGTGTTGGACGTTTATCGGATTCCTCCTTGCCATCACTTTCTTCATCGCGTTCTCCCCTACCCATTTCAATTGGAAGTTTTTGGAAATTCATACCATGTGAATTGCAGGGTGGATCGTTTGCCACAAGTAGAACTCTGACTACTTCTGATACATCAGCTGTTATAGGATTCGTTAAGGGACCACTACAGCATTCATCCTCACTATCATGGCATTCAGCTGGGAGTTCACCATTAAGCTCAAGGTGCTCTCTGCTCTGACCTGGACGTGACTCTCTGAAAGAAAAATATCAAATAATATTCAAGGGTCAGGTTTGATTACAAATATCTTGTTTTATAGATACAAACAGGGTCGTACGCAGGGGGGAGGGGGGTTTGGGGGTTCAAACCTCCCCCCTTTGGTATTTTTATGTGTGTAAACCCCCCTAAAAAAAACTAAACCCCCCCTCGTTTTTGTTTTGTTTTGTTTTTTTAAATTAAAAAAAAAAAAAAAAAAAAAAAAAAATTATGCCCATGGCTAACGTAAAGTGACCTTACCCCCCCCCCCCCCCCAACGAAGAAAAATGTCAAATTTTCAAATTTCGAGACCAAAAAAAAAAAAAGAAATGTCCGCTTACCCCCCCCCCCCCCCCCCCCCCCCCCCGACTCAGCGACTTTTCGGTTGGCTGAGTCGTTGCGATTTTTTTTGGGACTACCAACAACAAAAAAAAAAAGTGTCCGCTTACCCCCCCCCCCCCCCCCCCAACTGAGCGACTTTTCAGTTGGCCGAGTCGTTGCGATTTTTTTTTTGGACTACCAACAACAACAAAAAAGTGTCCGCTTACCGCCTAACAAACATACACACAAAGGTTGTGACAAAAACTTGTACAAACTTACATATCCGATTGTGAGCCTCTACTCTTTTTGCAACATAAATAGACAGGTATCGCACTGCCGCTGATGAGTACGACAACCAGACAGACGATAATGATGACAGTTAGAGACACACCTCCAGTCCTTTTAACTGATGAAAGAAAGAAGACATACCGGTATACACATATTCAGGCGCGGATCCAGGATTTCTTAGGGGAGGGGGCCCAACTTTTTTTTTTTTTTTGCCCGAAAATTTGAAAATCGCGCCGGCCGAAAAGTCGCTCAGTGGGGGGGGGGGGGGGGGGGAGGTAAGTGGACATTTTTTTTTTTTTTGGAGTCCCCAAAAAAATCGCAACGACTCAGCCAGCTGAAAAGTCGCTCAGTGGGGGGGGGGGGGGGGGGTAGTGAGCACAAATTTTTTTTAAATTTTAAAATTTGCACCCCCCCCCCCCTTGAGCGCCAGGGGGGGGGGGCCCAACCCCAAAAAAGGTAAAAATCGCGTGATTTTGCATGATTTCTTTCTCAAGGCCCCCCGGGCCCCCCCCTGGATCCGCCACTGCACATATTAGTGTGTGGTAAAAGCATGAATAGAGCCTTACAATAAACTACAGAAATAATAGATGGACAACATACAATCTTCATCATAGATTAAAAGCTAGCAGAACTCCTGTAGTGTACTCTGAAACAATAAACAATAAAAACTTGTCAACTGGTGAAAAAATGATTGAAACTCTTTGCTCATATTTTAGAACATTTTTTCTTCTTTTCCTGTTTGATACTTAAAGTCAGAGATAAGCCAAGCCAGAGATAATCGAGCTTGATTCTATAGGCCTGTCTCCATCTGCTTGAGGTTGCCAAATAACCTGCTATTTTCAGACTTGGGATATTATCATGAAGCTCTAAATTGCATCTTCATCAGACCAATATTTCCAAAATATTTCCCAAATAGCGGGATATTTTGGAAACAAGACCACAATTTCTCAGGATATTTTCTCGTCCAAATATCCTGCTAATTGCAACTGCGGGCTGATGAAGACACAAATTAACTGGCTTATTTGCGATCGGGTTAGTTAACATAGCGGGTTATTTGGCAAACTCTGATGAGGACAGTCCTTTTGTTCTACTGCAATTCCAACAGGTAAAAATCTTGATGGATGATAACAGATCATATTCAATTTTAACTTTATACTACATGCACTACTACTACTACTCATAAGAAGAAAATGAAGAAGAAGAAGAAGGAGAAGAAGAAGAAGAAAAAGAGGAGGAAGAAGAAGAAGAAGAAGAAGAAGAAATAGGAGAAAGTGAAGAAAATCTGAGAAATTGAAGAAATAGAAGAAAATCTGAGAAATTGAAGAAATACAAATAATAGAAGGGAAAAAAAAGGAGGAGAAAAAGAAAAGCATTTCTAATGAGGCATCAATCAAATACACTATTCTGAGGTGCAGACAGGCGCATACGCAGGATTTTTTCAAGGGGGGGGGTTTTAACATTTATAAATCGGGCCGAAAATTTTGCAACGACTCAGCCAGCCGCTGAATAAGCGGGGGGGGGGGGGGGGGGGGGGGGGGGGGGGGGGGGGTAAGAGGACACTTTTTTTTTTTATTTGAAAATTTGACATTTTGCTCCGTTGGGGGGGGGGTAAGGTCAGCTTTTTTAGGTCAGCCATGGGAATTTTTTTTTTTTTTTTTTTAATAATTAAACCAAAAAAAATCCAAAGGGGGGGGGGGAGGTTTACACACAGAAAAATACCAAAGGGGGGGTTTAACCCCCAAATAAACCCCTGTGTACGTGCCTGGGTGCAGACATCACAGAGGGACATTTCTGAGAAATAGGAGAAGAAGGAGAAGAAGGAGAAGATGAAGAAGAAATAGAAGAAAATTGAAGAAATTGAAGAAACTGAAGAAATTGAAGAAAATCTGAGAAATTGAAGAAATAGAAGAAATAGATGAAGAAAAAGGAGGAGAAAAGAAATGCATTTCTAATGAGGCATTAATCAAATACATTATTCTGAGGTGCAGACTCCACAGAGGGAAATTGTGGAGAAATATCAACTTCAATGGAAGAATGATAAATGAATGAAAGCTAGGGGTAGGGGAATGAATGTTTAACAAATATTTAACCATAACATGATGAGAACATGACAATACCTGGAAACACAGGAAATGAAGATGTCTGGGATACGATGGCAGATTGAGTTGGTTTTTGCTGATTTGCCAGCCAAGCCAGGCATGCAGGGTTGGTTTTGGATTGCTCAGCCACTCACATCTCTGATTGCAAAGATCTGGGTTTTGTGGATCTCTGTAAAATCTACAGACAACAAAATATTTTTTTGGAAAAAAAAAAGATTTGTTTTTTGTTTTACTCAAATGTTTAACTCAAATAAATTGGAGGAAAGCAAAAACTTGCCTTCAACCGCAACGGCAAGACTGTACAGAATTAGGCAACAACTATATACATTGTACAGGGCATTACACTAACAAGGTGTCCGGGACATATTGACGACCCAAAACTTAACCCCCAAAATTTCACAAATTTAACATAGAGCTCAACCTGGACCCCTGTTTAAAAAATGTTTGTCCCCTGAATATACAAAAAAAATAACCATATCAATAACAACAACAAAAAGATAAAGAAATTACAAATTACAAGAAATAAAGGCCACTAACAGACATGTACAGCTACTAGAAAAGAAAAAAAAGAGAGATAACAGCTCTTACCCTTGAAGACATTCACCACACTGGCGGTCAGTGGTCGCACTGCATTCCCGAGTTAATACGGTCTTTTCGCACACTCTGCACGCCAGACATTCATAGCGATTGTAGGAATAGTGGCCCTCGGGACATGGGATGCAGACGGCATCACCATTCTCTCCATCCCCACAAAACTGGAATTGGAATTTTGATTTAATAATTTATTAATCAATTTATTTATTTATTTATTAAAACATCTTTATACAGGATAATATGTTCAGGTATACTGTTTTTCAACTTGGTCCTATTAACATTAAAAAGCAAATAACATATGAAGTGTAAACAAAGTTTCAAATAAAGCCCATAGGTCAGTTTAAGCACACAAACATACATGTACATGCATATTCCTTCTTTCTTTCTTTTTATGTCTAATCTAATTTAAATTCTTATTTAAAGGCATTTCAAAAGTGTTCATATAATAATGATAATAATAATAACAACCTAGGCTTGTATAGCGCATTTTTCGATATGATATCATCATTATTTTCTTCTTCTTTTTCTTTTTTTTCTCATCCTCTAAATAAATAGTCTATGGGCTTTATAGGCATTTAAGATTGGTGCCAGCTAGGGAACGAGAAAAAGTACTGATTTATTCAGAAAGTTCATTGTTACTCCTGCTACAAATTGTTACTACATCACATACATATAATTAGAGTACACAAATTCTACATGGAAATTTGAAGAGGGAAGTTACCTTGTCATGTTCGAATCCAGGTTCACATTGCACACACATCTTGCACATGCCATCTCTTCCCAGAAAGAATCTACGTCCTTCGCAATCATCCAGGCAACCTGGAGCTTGTGGATCTATTTCTAATTCACCATTACACAAGGCCTAAGGAATTAAATTGACAGATATATATATGACAATTCTTATTTTTATCTCAATGTAGTTTACATTCTTTGTGTATTCTTTTTTAGTACTAATTATGTTTCAAATGTACTTGCAAAATTGGTCTTTACTACTACAGTACTAGACTAGCTAAGCTATATTAGTAGTCCAAGTTTACATCATTTGAGTAACATGTGGTTCATGGATTAATTGATGGAGTTTGAACTTATAGTTTAGAAACATGTTTTTATGTAAAGTACACCCGGTGAGTCTGGCCAGACTAGTTTACAATACAACATACACTGTATGCAGGAGAATAATCATGCTCATATCATGCATTTAATAATAAAATAGATCCACACTACGACTTAATTTGGAAACAGAAATCATTTAAAATCAAGAGACTTACCTGTACACTGCCAGATGCGAGTTGGAGGCATAGCAGTTTTAATGAAACTTGCAGAAGTAACCTGACCTTGAGATTCCAACCCGATATTTCCAATTTATGATCACAAAACTCCATCGCGATCGTCATGATCTTATTACAGCTGATATACAAAAGCTCAAAGATGTACCAGTAGTGTCCATAACTAAGCCCTTTAGGCTATTTTTCAAAGTTCCTTTTTTGAAAGAGGTCAAAATGGAGATGACACGCCCATCAACATCATGGACATACGACTAAGACAGTCTAGTACTAGTCTACAGTACAGTGAAATATATTAGTGTTGATCAACATGTTGCATCATCAAAATCATCTCCAGGCCAGCCACAGAAACACTCACAAATCGTTCCTTTTTCAGATTTCGGGCAAATTCATCTCAAAACTAGTAGATGTATACTGATTCAAAACCGAAGATCAAACGTTATTAATACAAGCAAAAGAAAATAAAACAAGTTTGGGTACAGCAAACGCGTCCTCAATTATATGAGGTCATTTCTCGATCAACGGGGATTTCCCCATTCAATGCAGTCGTGCTTACCAGCGGTTTTCCATGTTATGCTCCTCCACGCATCGTTTTTGTATACGGTCAATAAACTTATTTTTTTAAAACGACTGCTATTTGCCGGAGCTGTGCTGAGTTCCTATCTACGAAAGCTAATGGCCACGTTATTTTAAATATTGTAATTTTTTACTTATAAATAAAATAAATAAATAAAATTATTGTTCAACGAAATACCAATCAACTTTAAAAATTGACCTAAATTACTGACTTATCTTAGTTATTTGAAAAATACCAATTAATAAACTTGATCGAGCCTCTACAAAAGCTCAGCCTAAACTTTCCCTTTAGCTTAGCTACCGTACTAACGTAGTCGTAGAGACTGATTTGATTTGATTTGATTGATTGATGCTTGTCATTTTTCAGTACAAAGTGTCAAGTGAGACCTAGATCTACATGTATGATGACTGATCACTTCTTTGTGGCTTTATTTACCTGTTCGGGAAGTAGATTGTACGGTAAGTGAGATCTGCAGCTGCATTTATATTTATTTACGTGACAAGAAGATGATGATCATTGATGGCATGAGCTCGGGTTAGGCCAGGTGCAGGCGCAAGGGAGCTCCGCCTCGCATCGCCACCGGCCTCGCCGCTGCCTAGCCTTTGGCTTTGACTCGAAGCTATAGGAATGCCATGCCTTATCATTTAATGGTAGCCTAATCTGAATCTGTTCTGATCCTGATCCTGACCCTCAAGAGAGATATATATAGATGACCAATAAGAGCATTATCGTTCGAGAGAGAGAGTGTTTGCTGCACTTAATTAGATCTATCTAGGCCTAGACTATTTAAGATTTAATTTTAAAGGAAAGGGTGCTTGCCTGGCCTTGTTGAAGTTGTTCTCAGATGTGAGTGTGAGTGAGTGTGAGTGAGTGTGATCATACTAACTCAAACTTTTGACCGTTTTTAACACGCCAAAAATCATATAAATCTTCCACAATTGTTCAAATAACGATCGTGATTTAAAAGTCATCATCTCCCCCTATCTGTTTCGTGTCAATTTTCATATCTTTTTTTGAGTAGTTTTCCTAAAAACAAAGATATTACTAGGGTCTAGATCTATACACTTTCTCACAGGTTTCATGGCAAATCGCTGCACGATGGGTTTCAGGCGGGCGTGCGCTCGTGAGTGAAGTTGGCGACCGTAATCTCAGATCCTCATTAAATTAATGCAAGTAATTCACATTCTGAATTGAGGATGATCCAAGATTATGGTTACTAACTTTTCGCCAGTCTTTTTTTTTTTGGGGGGGGGGTGGGAAGAATCGGAATTGAAAAAGCAACAAACAAATTTAGCCTAGCCCTCCCTTGTCTTCTTGATACTTATTAGCCACATAAAAATTGAATTCCAATTTTTTTGTAAGGTTGTGATATACGCTTATAACCTACTGGTAACAACTAATTTTCATATACTTTTGATTATTAAACAGGTTGGGTACTCACTGTTGCATTCGACGAGTGGTGATGGCTTTGGTATTTTACATCTACGAACTACCGGCAAAATTTTAGAGACAGATACTTCCAAGGACTGAAAGAACTGGTACTCAAATCAAATGGTAAAATGACCCCATTTCAGACTCCTATTTGACTTATATTATAAGAGGAAAATCCATGGTACCCTACAAGTGTTTGGTCAATTTTTGTGGTGGGGTATTCAAAAGTTGCTCCAAAAATCCTTGTGACAGATAGTGATCACAAGAGCTGTGAGATTTGAGATGTCTGTGTTCAGCTCCCTGAGCAGCGTACCAAATGAGGAACCAGTCAAAAAGGCAACCATCAAGCAGAGCCTTTGGTTCCATGAACTTCAGAAATCGTGCCATCTCGCCTGGTCCGCACAATGTCAACATCCTTGAGCTACGACCGGGAAGGTGGCTTCGGATCCAGCACATCCTTGGCAAGCATCAGCAAGGAGATGATGGAGATTACTCACAAGGCGGGTCGTCGTCTGGGCAACCAAATGGCAGCGGCCCTGCCCAGAGACACGTTTCAGAAGGGAGCACCACCATGGAAACCAAAGATTTAAAACAAGCCTCAAATACTACCTCCAATAGTCGTCTAAGAAATCATCTACCCTCGGGGAACAATGAAAATATGCATAACCAAAGCAACTCCAACACTACAGCAAAGAAAGAAAATCATCAGCCCCCATCAGGAAAAGCAGATGCGGGCAGCAGTAGCTCCTCGCACAGCAAGGTAGCCACAAAGCAAAGACAGAGTGTTCAGAGCAAAACATCTGTGAATTCGGAACATGTGCGACGAAACAGACACACTTCCAAATGGTCGAGTCAGGTGTCTCTCATTTCGCTCATGGATGAACCGGGGACTGTGCTCTTCTTTCTTCATGGGGTTGGAGGATGTGCAGAGGTCTGGTACCACCAGCTGCAGTACTTCCAGGAGGCCGGCTTTGAGATTGTGGTGCCGGACATGCTTGGGCACGGCTTTAGCAGAGCTCCTAAGCAAACGGCCGCTTACAAGTTTGAGGAGTTGGCCGAAGACGTGCTCGCCATCTTTGATCGTTATGCAAAGAAGCGAAATGTTCTGATTGGTCATTCATATGGGTAAGATATGTCACGTTTAAGGGCTTTAATTAATGCTAGACGGTAGACCTCATAACAATTTTAAGAATAGATGTTTGATATGTTCTTCAAAAATTTAATGAATGATTACATTTTCAGTTCTTTTTTGGTAGTTCTTGATCAATCCTGCTTAAATTTTATAATCTTTTCAAACTGTTAAAATCTAGTAATTCAAGATTTTTTTTTCTTTCCTGACATTATTTAAATGAACCAAAAAAACATCAAATCTGCTAACTTTTTACCTTAAATAACTGATATACATGTAGAACTCTGCTTTTCAAAGGGCAGGATTGTAATGATGCAAATCTTCCCTTATGCAGGAAACAGGGGATTGGGAGAAACTAACATGTAAAAGAAAAAAAATCACTGTCTCCCCTATACATGACATTAATCCTCCCTTGTACGTAAATTGGTTATGTTTGCTAACCTATCCCTAGGAACTATAATTCTGTTGCAATACTATTATAATATGATAATATGAATTATATGAATATATAAAAAGAATTGTTGTGTTTCTTTTTTCCGCAGGGGATCATTCTGCACCTTGGTTGCTAAGGAGAGGTCGAGGAAGGTCACCAAGGTTGTTCTGATTAGCAATGGAGGTCCTATCCCCCTTTCTCCTGAGCCCTGTCATCTCTTCTGTCTTCCATCCTGCTGTCTTGCTTGCATAAAACCCATCATCAATAGAACATTTGCAAGGTAAAACTTTATTTGCCTGGGAGAATTTTACAGACACAGAGGCCTCTGTCATAAAATTTTGCCAAAATCCATTAAAGACAACTCAAAAAATCTATTAAATTTAATTTTTTACAACTGAAAGTATACTTTAGTTGCATTTAATCTCAATTTCCCATGGATATTAACTGCTTATTGGTACCAACCAATTTATAAATAAATAACAAGAAGGAAGTTTCAACAAGTACATATTGCATGTGATGTTACTATTGATGAAGTTCTTTGAAGTAAAGAAGCATGAATTGACCATTTACTTACCGGTATACTTTTATAGACTCGTACATAGTATCCCTTTGGAAAGTAGACAAATGCTTTTATTTACTCGCACATGGCAGTACATTGAAAAAATCTTACCATAATGTCCATTGACATGAGTCTTGTACCCCTGTTCACACCCCCTTTCACTCTATTGACTATCAAGCTCACATGTTGTGTTCAAATATTCAAAGTTGTTTGATTTTATTTCTCCATCACATAAAAAATGTAAATGTCTTGGCACACAAGAGTGGAATACTGGAGATGCAAGAAAATTCTCAAAGAAACTTACTCAAAATTATAATTAAGAATTTATGTTAAATGTACGACTACTTCTCAAAGAAAGACTCAAAATTATAATTAAGTATTTATGTTAAATGTACGACTACGACTTCATTGTCAATTGAACTGCATGTTATATCTGTTGTAGACAAGCCTTTCATACCAAAGCTGAACGCTCCGCTGTCGACTTGAGAAATGCCTTTGACATCCCAGCGTACGTGCTGCGAGCGACCATGCAAGGGCAGTACTGGCAGGAAGGTGGGAGTGATTACCATTCCTCACTGTCAGTGGGTGTTCTTATCATTCATGGTTGCGAGGATGAGCTTGTGCCACAGAAAGAATCAGAGACTATGCAGGAGGTACTTGAGATAGCTATTTCGTATTAAATTGAATTTCATCATCAGGTATGCAGGGGGCGTTTCACAAAACTTGTCATCAGTGACAAATGACAGTTTTTGTTATCAGCCATACTGAAATCCTTGCTTCTGATTGGTTATATCATCAGATTTTGTCACTGTTTTTTGTCATTTGTCATTGTAAAAAGGCTTTGAGAAATATCCCCAGGTTTGCAGGGCTTGTCACAACATGCACTTGGTGACATGCCCCCCCCCCTCCCCCTCAATAAAAGGAGGAATAAAAACAAGGGAATTGTGCACACAGAATTTTTCAAAAACAATCAAACCGGACCCAAGTAGAACAGAATATTCAACGATTTAATCATTGTGATTTGAAAGGTGGTAATTCATTTGGTTAATTAGGCTATGATGCAAATTTGTTTAAAGATATTATAAAAAACAATACGACCCCAAACAACAGAATGTATTTTTACACTAGACATTCATTGATGAAGTCATCTGTTTGACTACAGATCTATGAATTTGAAATATACTAAGTTTGAAGGAACAATTCTAGTTTTATTTCATTTTTTTAAATTCATCTGTCGACCAGTATGTTTTGAAAATCTGTAGTCAGGAGATTAAACTCTGAATTCTGTAACAGAATACTGTCGTAAATTATTTACAGCAATGAGTTGAAATTTACAGGTAACTAAACAAGTTCATTCTTCTTAATATAATAGTTGATCTGTTTCCTCCTTACATCTATTCTCAGACTATTTATGCATCACAACTGGAGTTGGTGGAATCGGCTGGCCACATGGTGATGGTGGAACAGCCGCAGAAGGTCAACAAACTCCTCCATGCATTCATACTGAAAGACATGACCATCAGTCTGGCTATGCAACGGGGTCATGTGACAAATCACCTGACCAACCCACCAGATGCAGCTGCCTTCCTGCCCTCACCTCTGCAGAGACACAAGACGGTGCCCAACTTCTCCATCACTTGATGGCACGAAACAGGATATCCATTTCATGTATGTCGAGGGGTCAGTGACACAAAGACGTAACTCCATTTGGGCCATTTTGGGAAAAAGTGGTTTATGTGTCACTGAGCATGTGGGCCTTAAGGAGTGAAGTCTAGTATGTTTCTGTTCCGGTAGCCATTGACTTCAATGGGGTGTTGGGTGGAATTACTTCTTTGTGTTTCCTGGAAAGTCCACATTTTACTGAACATCTTGATATCAAATACTCATTTTGGCAAAATATGGAGTTACGTCTTTGTGTCACTGAACCCTCGATGTGAAGTATTTAGTAAAGAATAATTACGTTGCATGTCTCCTTGAATGTATGATCCAGTTACTCGTTTATTGATTTAAAGCCATCTATACAGTGGAAACTCATTATAACGAGGCTCTTGGGACCAAGGAAATTACTTTGTTACATGAGGGTAAAAAAACAAAAGAATATAAAGAGGTGGGACCAGCAGGCTCACCTTGATCTAACAGATACCTTGTTATATCAGAGCTCTTTGTACTGAGGTTCACTGTACTGTACTAGAAGCACTCTCGATAATTCCCCTCCAGCACCATCTCAGGTCAGTTGTAGCAGTATGGTTCCCTAACTCTATGCTTCCCAAGCTGCGATGTTGGTTCTCGCGTCAAGTCCTCTGTCTGCGAAGTGGGAATTGGGTTACATGCAGTTGGTAAGTTTACCACGAGATGGTGCCGTGTTATAAACAGTATGCTAGTGCAAAAAGTTTATCGGTTCAGTGTTGCTTTCAAGGGAACTTGTGGCACTAAGCAGACTATGTATGGCGCATATATATACGATTAATCCTTTATCCACTATGGGTTAAAATCCTGCAGTATTTGAATACCAAAGTCACTTTTGTGTGAAATCTCGTCTACAAATCTTCCAAGGGTACTTTCACTCTCACGTATATGACATCATCATGTTCTACATGCATGTATGTATTCTCAACTCTGTCCCATGAAATATCTTTTTTTTTTCAGGCTGAATGTAAGACTGTCTTAGTGTGCTTAGTTTAGTCCACGAGTGTAAATTTTAGCAGATGCAAATAAGGTTCTTCCAATCCGTTAAAATAGATACGATTCGTCCGTCCATCAGTCAAGGTATCCGCATGGTACTGCCCAATATATGTCATACCAAAGCCATACAGGGCTGTCATCATGTATGCGTAATCATACTGTTCATGTTTATGTTTTATGATTTCTACCATTGTATGGCTGCCTGACATGTATAAGTAGGTAAGACAATCACGTTCTAACGGTTCTTAAAGGCATTATTTAACAATGTTTCCAGGGTAACAAATCTTAGATGCATGGCCCTATATGTTATCAGTGTCTGTGATATGATGTAATACTGAACGCTTATTGCGCTTAAAATAATCATGAAATGCCTCAAAATAGAACCAACCGGCTTAATTGTAAAATTCAAGGGATTCCTGACTGACCTAAAGGTTTATAATTATGATTGCATCATGAGCAAAATCCAGGATTTTGTTCAGAATCTGACACAAAGATGCCCAATCCATTTGAACCCAATGCTAATGATTTGTAAATATTGTGGAATCGGTGTTGAATTTATTCCTTTATTTTGTTTTTATGTATAAAGGTACATGTAGATGCAGGATATTTGAAAAAGAATTTTATTTCACCTTTCAATCTCTTTCACCTGTCCTTTGAGTTTCATAATTTTGCGTAATATACATGTAACGAGATATGTAGATATATACGTTTTATCACCAGAGTCTATCCACATTTCTAGTATAAAGAGATCATTTGCAATTCTATCAGATACATGTATATTTTTGTAAATAAGAGTGCTCCATTTGTCATTTCTGTGTTCAGCCCTCATAAGGGTTTCTCTCATAATACACGTAGGTCTATTCAGATATTAGTATCCAGGAAAGAAAAGATCATGTTTGGATCGAAATTAAACATATTGAAATAATGATACGTGTACTGGTACATATATGCAAATCTAAGAAGAAGCAATGAAATTAAAAGTATATTCAAAGTGCCTTTGTCATCAGATAAATAGCAGATTATTAAAGAAAATCAACTCTAATTTTATAGAAACTTCCCAAAATATAATTCTATGTACACCTGTATATGTATTATGTGTTAATTATAGTCAAAGCAAATGATAAATTGCTGTGATATGTGTCATGGAACAATACAAACACATTTCTTGTGAAAAGAAACGACAAATTTCTTGATTTAAAGATAAAGTTGAGTTCTGGTCATGCGATTGCATTGTGAAAGAAACGTGTGGAATCGATCAGAAAAGGTTGATCATCTAGCATACAAGTATTGGTGTGTACTGCAAGATACTGGGATCATCAAAATGATAAGAAATTCTGCCCATTCTAGGTACAGATACAAGCACTTTTCACAGAAAGATGTATATTGGGCTACACGAACATGTGGCATAAAAATCTGTCCCTGATTTTTATTATGTTACATGCCATATCTAGAATATTAGGGCATTTGAAGAGTCGTGCTTTTCAGGAACATTTTTATCTCATGTTCTTCCACACTTGCACAATACAATGATAATGCTCAAAATTTATTTTTCACCTCTTCCCAGAACTCAACCTTTTCTTGAAACCACTTGACTGCGACACCCATTTTGGACAATATTCAGAACCATATTAAACAGCCATAAGTCAAATAGAAAGACGTGATAATTGATCAATTTATAGTTACAATTAATGCAATACTAGTGTGTTCAATATGCACTGTATTGTAAAGTAACACAAAATTTATTTTTTGTGGGTGTAAACATGAACGTAATAGTAATAGCATTCAAGCAAGACAAGCTTTCAATTTTCTTCTTTTTTTTCTTTTTTTTTAACTCCTTTATATACCGGTAGAGAAGAATACATGTATAATTTGTAATGATTTTTCTGATTGTTTATTTAAACCTTATAGGTAGGATATATCTATTCCGTCTCTAGAAAAACAAAGCAAAATTAAGGGAAAATGCAACTACTCAGTACCCAGGTGATATCCATTGTAATACAAAATGTCAGTTTTTTTTATGTATCAATAAATCAGGAATGTAAACAATTGTTTATGTCTAACATTCCGTCTCGTTTGAGGAAACACCAAACTATTCATTTAAAAAATCAAATTTAAAGAAGAAAAAATACCCAATACCTGATGAGTAGTCATCTCATTTCCACTTCTTTGTGTTGTATATACATTGTATCTCATATAAAATGCTGAAGTGAATCAAATGGGTAGTACAAATTAGTTAACTTTGTATGTATTCGGCATGTACTTTATTGTGTCATGATTCTGTTCTTCTGTTTTAAGCCTTGGTAATGATAAAACCATCACCCTACACTTTTACCTGTATAATTATCATTAATGTAACAGGAGTAAGTTTATCATTTCATTGAGAATTCATTCAACATGATTTGTGTTGCCATATTTTACTGTACAAGTACCTTGAAGTAATGTGTGCTAGATGTGGAGTTTCCACACTACTTCCCCAAACCGTCCAAATACTAGTATGCTCACTCACCTTGAAAATCAAAAGTGTGTACCATTTGTATGTAGTTTATTTATCATGTAAATATGTCATTGCATTAAAACAAAATGTCTTTTTTAAAGTTACGTGTAGTGTGATTCATTTTTGTTTCTGTAATGTTTAATAGAGATCATACACAGTAAGACTGGGAAATGGGTGGAGGGAGGACAGACAGAGAGAGAGAGAAGGTGGGCATAATACAATGGAGGACAGACAGATAGAGTGATGACGGGCTTAATACAATTGAGGACAGAGAGAGAGAGAGCCGGAGTGGGAATAATACAAAGGAGGAGAGAGAAAGAGTGAGAGAGGGCATTTGGACAGAGACAGAGTAAGAGAGAGAGGGCATAAAGACAACGGAGGACAGAGAGAGAGAGAGAGGGCATTTAGATAGAGAAAGAGAGAGGGCATAAAGACAACAAAGGACAGAGAGAGAGAAGGGCAAAAAAATAATAGTGGACAGAGGAGGAGGAGAGAGAGTGGGCATAATACAATGGAGGACAGAGAAAGACAGAGAGAGGGCATTTGGACAGACAGAGAAAGAAAAAGGGCAATGGGCAATGAAGGATGGAGAAAAAGAGAGCATAAAGACAATGGAGGACAGAGAGAGAGCGTGGGCATAATTAATACAATTGAGGACAGAGAGAGAGAGCATAATTGATGCAATGGAGGACAGAGAGAGAGCGTGGGCATAATTAATACAATGGAGGACAGAGAGAGAGAGCATAATTAATACAATGGAGGACAGAGAGAGGGCGTGGGCATAATTAATACAAGGCAGGACAGAGAGAGAGAGAGAGGATAATTAATACAATGGAGGACAGGGAGAGAGAGAGAGCATAATTAATACAATGGAGGACAGAGAGAGAGAGAGAGAGAGTGCATACTACAATGGAGGACACAGAGAGAAAGGGCATTTGGACAGTGAAAGAGAGAGGGCATAAAGACAATGAAGGACAGAGAGAGAGCGAGCATAATTAATACAATGGAGGACAGAGAGAGAGAGAGAGTGCATACTACAATGGAGGACAGAGAGAGAGAGAGAGAGTGCATACTACAATGGAGGACAGAGAGAGAGGGGGCATAAAGACAATGGAGGACAGAGAGAGAGAGAGAGTGCATACTACAATGGAGGACAGAGAGAGAGGGGGCATACTACAATGGAGGACAGAGAGAGAGAGGGGGCATAAAGACAATGAAGGACAGAGAGAGAGAGAGAGTGCATACTACAATGGAGGACAGAGAGAGAGGGGGCATACTACAATGGAGGACAGAGAGAGAGAGAGAGTGCATACTACAATGGAGGACAGAGAGAGAGGGGGCATACTACAATGGAGGACAGAGAGAGAGGGGGCATACTACAATGGAGGACAGAGAGAGAGAGAGAGTGCATACTACAATGGAGGACAGAGAGAGAGGGGGCATACTACAATGGAGGACAGAGAGAGAGAGAGTGCATACTACAATGGAGGACAGAGAGAGAGGGGGCATTTGGACAGTGAGAGAGAGAAGGCATAAAGACAATGGAGGACAGAGAGAGGACATTTAGACAGAGAAAGAAAGAGGGCATAAAGACAATGGAGGACAGAGAGAGAGGGCATTTGGACAGATAAAGAAAGGGGGCATAAAGACAATGGAGGATAGAGAAAAAGTGGGCATAAACACAATAGAGAAAGACAGAGAAAGAGAGGGCACAAAAACATTGATGCACTCGAAAAATTAGATGCATCTGTAAATATTTCTATGAATGAGAATGACAGAGATTTCGTCCAAATTTAACACTTGTAGTTGTCACAATCTTGTCCTGGGAGTCCAAAAATAATAAATCAAGAAACGCTTCTTAAAGGTACTATGTCCCATTTGCAGGCCCCAAAAACATGAAAAGGTTCAATTGCACCGGCATTTAAAAGATAATAACAATTTAGAACTCCCCTCAAAATGAAAGGGTTTGAAAATGTCTTTTTGTGGGAAAATAACGACTGAAATCTTCCAATGATACTGTTCACCCTCACATGACATCATCATGTTCTACATGCTTATATTTGTTCTCAACTCTGTCCCACAAAATCTTTTTTTTTCTGGCTGAATGTAAGACTCTCCTAGTGTGCTTAGTTTAGTCCACCAGTGTAAAATGTTAGCAGATGCAAAGAAGGTTCTTCTACTCTGTTATAATAGATATGACGAGTCCGTCCATCAGTCAAGGTATCTGCGTACCAAGGCCATACAGGGCTGTCATCATGTACGCGTAATCATACTGTTCATGTTTATGTTTTATGATTTCTACCATTGTATGGCTGCCCGACATGTATTATTTTTAAGTAGGTAAGACAATCACGTTCTAACGGTTCTTAAAAGCATTAACAATGTTTCCTGGTCAACAAATCTGAGATGCATGGCCCTATATGTTATCAGTGTCTGTGATATGGTGTAATACCGAAGCCCTTGAAAAATTGCGCTTAAAATAATCAAATAATAAAATAATGACCGTTAGTTGTCGAATCGACTTTAGTGATTGCAATCATTTTAGTATTGTAATGGTCTGATTTTCAGAGCCTTGTACTGAATGGTCGTACATTTTTGCTGCGCATAGATTCAGTCAGTTTAATTTAGGCCATTACAAGAAGTGGGTTATTGATGTAAAAAAATGCTTATGTACCCTTTACAGCTCATTTTATGTATGTTTTTACCAAAGTGTCTGACAGTGTAGTCTAGAAAGTAAAAACATGTTTTCTTGTATAATTTGAATAATACTAGGACACAGGGTGACATATTCATAATTCCTGCAAAGTTCTACAAAATTTGATGTTGGCTGCAAATGGGACAAGTTACCTTTAATACACATTATTCACAATACCCTTTCACATTTTGCAAACATACTTGGTCACAACTTCATCAAATCATGTAAATAAAGTAAACCTCACAAGGCATGTATATTAATAATTTTATTGTTGCATGTGTCATTACATAGGTACAGTGTGTCACAACCTCTCCAGTCTCCACTATGAAGAAATATATAAATTCTGTCTTCTACTAAATGAATAAAATGGGGGGGGGGGGGTCAAAGTTAACAGTTCCTTTTCTGGGGCTATTTCAGTGACTTGGTCCTCTGCAATTATCCACTAACAAATCGGACACGAGTATATCAATCATTTACTTTCTTAATGCAAGTATGCAACTGATCTGATCACTTCTGACTCGACCTGACAGATGCTTAAGCCTAAAAGTGGATACAGTAAGGACATCCTCAAATCTCTGGAGAAAAAAAATCTTGCATTATCGGAACTTCATGCTGTCAGAAAATCTGAACTCTTAGATGAGAGGGTTAAGTTTGAAGTACATACATGTATGTACTTTATGTATTATTAATGAGGCACAAATATCTCATAAAAGAGAAAGACAGGACTTCCATGAATTATTTTTTTAAAGAAAGAAAAGATTTGTGGGGGATTATGGAATCTTGTTGCTCTGTAAACCTGAACTGCACAGGAGAAACACCCAAAGCAATCACTTGAGACTGACTGAAAGCAAGGCTCCACACTAACTTTTTGTTTAAAGGGGGCCGAGATTGACTGTTTTACAGTCTGTATGTACAATCTCTACATAAAAACTTCAAAATCTGAGGGGTCAGGACATAGATCTTGGGCACCCATGTCTCCTAGGCGCCTGTTAGTGTCAAGCCCTGCCTATCTTATACATGTAAGTCTGCCTGTATGATGCAAGTATAGATCATCTGCGCTTGCTCCTTGATAGCCTATGTAGGTACCCTTTAATAACAAAAAATATGTTTTCCAGGCCTCAGATTCGTCTACTGATCTCTGCTTTCCTGATCCACATTCCACCAGCTCCAAGATCACTTCCAAGCGTATTTCACTCACACACAGAACATCCTCCAGGTCGTGATGCTCCTGCCAAACTGGTTGAACGCACAAGGTTTTCCTCATCAGAAGGCCTGGACAGCATACTGGATACGGGGGCAGAAAAGCTGGACTTTGATCTGATGACGAGTGAGGAGATCTTGTCGATCAGATCCAGATAAGATATTTGATATCAGTCTATTGTTATTTGGTCCGATGTTTCACTCAGACCAGTAGGACAGCGTTGATGCAGCCATCGTTTTCAGGGTTATTTGTGACTTGCGCATATTTACCTGTAGAGGAAAGATTGAAATATTAAAAGATTCAAATATTAGATCATGTATACAAGGATACCATCTGATTTCCGGCAACGGGATGCGAGTGAGAGCTCAATAATTATACATGTATGAAAATTATGCCATTTCAGGCTTTCAGCAATTCAGGATGTGAACTTTGGTTCTGGCAATTTACATTAAGCAGTAATGGTATTGCTGCATAGACTTTATCCCTACAAAATGAGAAAACACTTACAGAGATGCCAACCCTATAGGATGGTTGTCATTAACATTTACCTCATTTTTCCAGAACAAGTGGGGGTCTTTCCGGAAGGCAAGACAACGCAGCATATTTTTTGCGTAAAACACCCAATCACTCTTACTGCGAACCTACCATTTTTCAGTTCAAAATAAATATGTGCATCAAAAACATTTTAAAAAATCTGTTTGCAGTCATATGATCTCCTCCTCGGGTACTCGCTCTTTTCAGTGAATCCATGATAATATTCAGGAAGAAAACACCTTGTTCAAGCGTCTAACGGCAAATCCAAGTCCACAGTCAAAATGGCAAAACTCGTATCCTACACACTAATGCACACCACACGTACTGCCAGTACCAGCCCAGGCCGCTACGCCCGGCGTTCATGAACATCATGCCCTTGCTTGAATCACCGTGCACATGAACATCCACCATCATGCTCCCCCAAAACGCACAACCGCGCCTAGGCGTGCTAATATCAAAATAATAATGACGGCGGCCACGTTCTTTTGGAATAAAACAAGATGCCGCCGGATGGACCATGTGCGCATACGTGTAGAGGGCGAAAGTGCCCATCCAGTGTAGTCAAATTCAGTGAACTTTTAAGTAAATGCCTGCGCGACATGCAGCGTTGTGTACAGAGGCTATGTGTAGATAGGCGGCACATGCTATAATCATGGACCTACTAATGCTATAATGTACTTATTTATCGTTTCCCGTTACATTTTGGTTGTTTACCGTAACGCTGTAACAAGAGCAATAAAACCGTAACAAATACAGCGAAATCGTAACGGTTGGCATCCCTGCACTTATTAAGAATGCTATTAATACAGGGACAACGTGACATAACGAGGTCGGCTATAACGAGGCAACGGTTATAACAAGGATATTTTCACAGGCCCAGATCAGTTTACATATAATTAGATGGTAGCATGAACCTTTTGAACCAAGGCGAGACAATAAATGAAAACTCACCCCAGACAACTTTTCCTCCTTGTGTCACCATTCCAAGTTCACTGACATTGACCTTCAAGAAAGAGAAGAAAGAAGGGGAAAAGACCATTATAAAATTCTTATAAAATGCAAATTTACTGACTGACCGAAAAAAGCGGAAACAAGAATATCAACAGGGAACTAGCTGACTGCAAAGTGTAGAGCTGTCTCCACTTTTCTTACCAGCTTTTAAAGTTAGAAAAATTTCTGTCCTACTTTGATAAATAGTTCGCCATATGTAGAAAACCTCCCCCTGCACCCATTACAAGCTTTGCTTTTCATTGGCTTCCTGTTCTTTGTCACTATTGGTGGAGTACATGAAATATATTTTGCATTTGTTTCTGATTTTTTTAATGACTTGGAAATAAAACACTTTAAATTGAATTGAATTTCAAAGATGAAAATATGTCTCACTTCCATGATAGTTCTTACTATTAGAAACATATCACTTTGTTTATGACAGTTCTCTGTGAGAACTTAAGTCTGAAGTTCATGGCTCAAATCAAACTTTAGACATTGTGATAACAGGGCCAAATCCTTAAGATTTCAGGGAAATTGACCTATTGAGACACAAACTATCACCACGTTTGAAGCTCATACCATTACTGGCTAATAAGATGTCTTGATAATGAAGCCAATACCTGGTATTTCATAAATAAGACCTCTATGACCTTAGACCTTTGACCTACTTACTCCAAAATCTAATCAGATTGTCATCCTATGATGATACATACTATCACCAAGTTTGAAGTTCATACCTCAAATGGTTTTTGGGATACAGAGATTAAAAGAAAGCGGGATGGACGGACAGACAGACAGACAACCACAAACATAATGCCTCCTGCACCAACTTCAGTGGGAGGAGGCATGAAAGTAGGTTTTACAAATGTCCAGACTTACTTCGATGATGGTTCCTTTTGTGATGACTCCTAGCGATGTGTACATGGGTGAGCTGGGATTCTTCTTGACTCCAATCAGAGGTAGACAGAATGTAGCCTTCAGTTCGGGGTGAGTGACATGGGCCTTCTTGAAGCGAAGGGCCTGAAAAAATGGACCGGACCAAAAAGGATAGATTTTATATTACGGTAACTTACAAAGGTATAATGTACATAAATCCAATCCAATCCAAAAGATATATAGCGCCTTTTCCTTGCAGTTACAGTTACCGGTACATGCCTTACTAACACGAAATGGCTCTATACAGTAACTCGTGCAAATTGATGTATTCATTATTCTGTAATTTCGAATCAAAAACATTAACATCAAAATGTGAAGATGACATTATGTTATCATCCATTTAACGATAATATGCTTTATTAGACTAAATCCTAAAGATATCAGTCACTGCAAATTTTATTTGTATGAAGAAAAAAAAGTAGAGAATCACCTTATAACCAAGTGAGTCAAACATATGTAGGCCTAACTTTGTGATCGTTTCATTTTTTTTTTTTTGGCTTAATCCATTAAAGTAGCCTGTGGAGGGCTAAATATTACTATTTTGTTTAATCCTTAAGATATGCTGCATTGGAACTTTTGAACGGCTTTCATAGTTGATGAGGTTTAAACACATGACCCATCCATCTCAATCCACTTCTCTGTACCACAGTTTCTTCCAAATCCAACCTTTCCATGAGCTCACTTATATTTCTTTTTATCAGACAGTTTCACACCACACATCTTCCATACCATGGGTCTTCCACGAATATAAAATATGCTCATCAGCTCATGGGATAAACATTTGTATCCCACTCAAGGCCATTCAATATTATTTAAATATGTCACCCTCCCAACACTCTAAAATCATGCATGCCTGCCCAAACTACACATTGTATCCAATTAGCGCTTGAATGACAACCTAGAATACATCAGCTGCTGCTCGGTCGCACAAACCAGGACGTTGCCCAAACTGACAGCTAACCTCAGCCAAACAGCATACTTATCCTTCATTATCCTTAAAAAGACATTGTGAACTCACCATTGGTCTGATGAATCTCTCATATTTCGGTGGTTTTCTTGTGAAACCTTCTCCAACATAGGTTACTTTGGTGACCATCCTCTTCCAGGCTTTAGCTACAATAAAGAACAGATTAACACAAAAAGGGATGAATATGAATTTGAATATAATAAGGTAAAACACATGCATTTTTTAACAAAAAATCAGCACTAACGGTTCCTCACATACTCTCTATTTACTTTTTTAATCTCTCTCTCTCTATTTCACCCTCTCCCCCCCCCCCCCCCCCTCTCAATCTATCTCTCAATCTCGAACAATTGATTGATCGATTGACCATTTAAACAAAACAAACCTTTACTAATTATGCTTTGAATGAGAAGTCATGAAGATGCCAATCTTCTAAATGTGAATCATAAATTCAAACTTATCTGACAAAAGTGAACACAGTGACATCAGATCAACCTGATAAAATTCATGAATCAACCTGACAAAGAACTAGAGATCATCCAGCATACAGCTCCCTTAAAATATGAAGACGTCATTTTATTAAATGTTATAAAACTTGGAGAAGCGTCTATGGCATGTTGGTGCCTCAGAGTCATACCTCCCCTTTCACTTTGGTGGATGATTAATCTCCCTCCCATCTATCAATTACTGCATATGCCACAAAAAATTAGGCTTGTCCTCATCAGCTCGAGATTGCAAAATATCCTGATATTTGAACTATCCCGATCGCATAATATCCAGTTAATTTGCGTCTTCATTAGCCCGAAGTTACAATTAGCAGGATATTTGGTCGAGATAATCATCCCAAGATATCTTGGGCTAGTATGCAAAATATCCCGCTTTTTGTCCGGTGCGTCTTCACCAGCCCGAAGACTCGCACTATGCGCAAACGCTAAACAAAATATCTTGAGCTTGAGTTTCAAGGTCAAGTCTCGAGCTGATGAAGACGTGATTTGAAACTTCTGGGTTATTTCCCAAATCAGAAATAGCGGGCTATTTGGCAATCTCGAGCTGATGATGACAGGGCTATTGTGAAACCGCTAAACCACTTACTTTTCCTCTTGCCTGTCCTGATGACCTTGAAGACCTCGTTCTCTCCTTGACCTCTGACCTTGGGTAGGGGCACATCCCACTTGCCCGCCTTCTCCTTCCTCTTCTGCTTGATCATGTTGGACAGGACCTTGGCCCTCGTCTGACCCTCTCGGTCCAGGAGGTAGGCGGGCACAGCGCCCTCTGGAACCTCTTCCTTGTTGCGTTTCTTCGTCTTCTTCTCCTCGTGCATCTTGATGCTGAAGAAGAAACACGAGCCAATAATTAATGTGAAGTGGTGATTCTTTTACTACATATGTCGCACAGAGACATTTATTTTTAGATAGAATATACACTTGTTCAAAACTAAAATAATTGCAAAAAGCAAAATTCATCATCATGTTGAGTATTCTTACCGGTAATGTCAAAATATACTGATTAAGAAACATGATCCAATAATGACTGTGATGTGTTGACCTTTTACTACATATGTTGCACCGCGAAATATCTTTTCAAATAGAATATACACTTGCTCAAAACTCAAATAATAGTTGAAAAAAAAGCAAAATTCATCATTGTGTCGAGTATTCTTAATATCAAAATATACTCAGTGCTGCTTCGAGTGCTATGATGCACATGGACATGTTGAGGTCCTCTATATAAGCAATATTCTCTCTTAATGTTAATAAATTGTTGTACTTACGTTTTCTTCATCTGTATTTTCTCATTATGTCGCTTCTTGTTGTACAGCTTAGCTCTGTAATAAAAGAATACAAATCAACAACATGACGTACCGATATCTTAAGAAAGTGAGCCTCGCATCTATGAAGTCTCTTTTATCAAACATATGAAACCACCTCTGTCATTAATTAGTTGCCTTGGTAGCCCAGTAATAATCATAACAGTAATAATAACTTTGTTTAACCGGGGATGGTAGTCTTCCTGGGGGCTCTCCAATTGTTGTTATCCAATAATTGCCAGATAACCATTTACATCTGACTGGAGGGTGGCAAACGTGGATTAATGTCTTGAAAAAGAAAAATAAGTCCCGGGCTGGGATTTGAACCATCAACCGTTGGATTGAGCGTCAAGTGAATAAACCACAATACCACAGCGCCACATCAGTAACACTGATAAGACCAATATCAAACCAATGATAGACAGAACTAAAAACTACATTACCCCAAAATGACTAACTAGAAGGAGAAGATATTTTCTCTCCTGACAATCCGTCTACAAGGTCATGTACAGTCAAACCTGTCCATAGTGACAGCCCAAGGGTTACACAAAAGTGGTCTTTGTAGACAGGTTCCTTTAGTACATGTTTCAATGAGAAACCATTTTCAAGGGAAACCAAATATGTGGTCTTTCTAGACAGGTAGTCACTAAAGCAGGTTTGACTGTATATGATGTCATCAGTGGTCAACTGGGTTGGGGGCATGACTCGGTACCATTGACAGGTTTATCAGATGATTTCAGCAAGGTGTCCCTATCAATTTCACTCATGATAAGCCCTACAAAGATCATTAAATCTGACAATTTAAAGAGCCTTGTCCTTCTAAAACAGAGCAGAGGATGAAATGCGCAAGTCAGATGTACAAATACAACTTTAGAACAATAACAAGACTATTAGCATAGTATTGATTTTTGTTTTAAATCCAAAACTTACTTGATTCCTGTCAGCATGCGAGCTTTGTGTGCCCTTTCATGGGGCTCACGAGCCTCCTTCTTCCTCCTGTAAAACACAAAGAAAAAATTAAAAATCTTCCATTATAGTTCATTAAAAAATCATATACAACTTGAATTCAAAGAAAGTAATAGGCCATGTATAAAGAACAATTTACAGGTATGATACACTCTGTGTTAAGGCTATTTCTATAATCATAGAAGATTATTAAGACTTCAGGTAGAAAAATATATATCAAAAAGGATGATTACATTTGTTTCCACTGCTCTTTGCGAGATTTCCAGAGCGGGTTTAGACCATTCCAGAGCAAGTTCACTTTCTGTTTGTGTGAATTTTTGCTAGAGACAATATATACAGTTGCTAGATGTACACGTACAGTCATGGAGAAAATTCTTAGACCACAAAGTTATTTATGTCATTTTGTGGTGACTACAAAGAAATGCAATACAGTGATAGCAAGAAACAATTGCTTTGATTCATTCAAGAGAGTATGAAGAAGAATCAAATTTTGCTAGTTTGATGCACAATGCCATTCCCAGATATAGAGCTTGACCTAGATAATAACAAAAAATCCACGGTTGCAAATATGACACAAAAAATAAGATATCGAGAATTTCCAATTGCTTACTTTCTCTCTTCATGATCAAGACGCTGTCCATAGCGCTTCCTGTGCAGTTCAATATGCTCGTTCTGAGGCTGTAGCAAATAAAAAGGAAGAGAAAAGAATAAGATCAAAGTAACTGATTTGTGAATAGTGTAAATGGCGCATATGGCGTATATCCTCATTACGGTAGATACCTTCACACAGGCGCTCACCCACCCGCAACCCACCATTGGTATGCACTTGAACTTGTATTGTGCAGCGGTTTGCCGTGAAATAGAGTCTAGTGTAGACTAATATCAATGATTTTCCGAAAAATACTCCAAAAATAACAAGAAAATTGACACGAAACAGGTAATAAACATAACAACATATAACTCATGATCTTTATTTGGACATTTAATGAATATTTACTTCATTTTGGGTATGTTTTAGTAGGATATCTCCACGCAGGAGTTACGGGTCAAATTTTGGATAGGTTTCTGAACAAGCGCCGGAGGAGGAAGATCAAAATGAAAGATGGAGAAGAGGAGTAGAAATACATGATGATAAAATAAGAGATATGAATACAATATGATATTATATAGTGAGAGATAATATTAGGGAATATTAATTATGGTAAAATTCGAAATTTTGAGTAAGGATAAAAATGGTTAGAAGAGAATACGACTACCATCTCCCTTTAAACTACACACGCATGGCATGCACGACAATGATGACATGGATTTCCATACATGGGACAACACAGCACATTCCTCCTTAAAATCGGCGAATTGGCACAGATTCACAAGCAAATATTCCAATAAATCGAACTGGTAATAGCTTCGTAATATTGAAGAAAAGATTATGAACTTACCATTTTGATGAAGTTGTGTTGATGGAGCAACTAAAATGTTAAAATGTGGAGGTGGTGTATCGACACATTGCACAACACATGCAACGTGAGTGAAAGGAAGGTACAGGTCAACGAACTTTTCAGGTGACGCTATTTTGTGTACGTTCCTATAATTCACCCCCCCCCCCCTTCTCTCTCTCTCTCTCTCTCTCTCTCTCTCCGTCTGTCTCTGTACTGTCCCTATATCTGTTTCTTTTTCTCTCTCTCTTTCTGTCTGTCTCTCTCTAGCTGTTTCTCTCTCTCTCTTAATCAATCTCTCTCTCTCTCTCTCTCTCTCTCTCTCTCTCTCTCTCTCTGTATCTTCCTTTTCTCAACTCTGTGTCCCTGTCTTTTCACCGAGTCCAAGATATTTCCATTATATGTATACGGTAGACCTATATACCCACTGATTAAAGGGACTTGGTAACATGTTCATGCAGATGAGAGAAAATGGTGCTAAAGTAATGGTTTCAATGCTAGATATACAATTAAAGATAATCTGAAAGTTTGAGTGAAAATTAACAGACCATAAAGAATGGGAAAAACTAATATGATCGATTCCTAAATTCTCCTAACTTTATCATTTTAATTAAATTAAATCTTAGGTGAATGTAAATCGTCACAAAGCATTGAATTGGCTAGCTCTATTAGCCATTCCAAACATTTACGTGTTGAGAAAAAAAAGCCTGTTTTATGTATTATTTTTGTGGGAAAAACGGTTGGAAGAATTTACTGTTATAGAGGGAGTTATACACTTCACACCTTCAAAGAAAATCTTTAATATATTTCTTGTTTGAGAATTGTTTGCATGTTAGTAGGTTAGTACAGTACAAGGAATATAATAGGTGACATATTTCATACAAAATTAGGCAGTGTTTGTCATTAAACTTCAGCAATGTACCAATTCACTTTTAACAGTTGCGACATCATCATCATCTTTATAGACTCAACCAACACATGGGCACCCTTCCCAAAATGTGACCCCACCCCTTTTGAGGTGAATTTTTCATCTTTTGGGGGGGGGGGGAGCTTTTTGTTTCATTTTTTTTTTTTTTTGCTAGAAAATTTTGGACTCTAGTAGAAAACAAGGCATTGAAAAAGTCTGAAGATCCATTTATTTTGTTTTGTTGTATCTTTGTTTTAGTTTAAAGGTATATGTCCCTTTTGCAGCCAACCTCAAATTCTGTAGAACTTTGCAGGAATTATGAACATGTCATGTATGTCCTATCTGTGAAATTTAAACTTTAGCAGTGTCCTGATATTCAAATTATGCAAGGAAACACGTTTACTTGCTAGACTTCACTGTCAGACACTATTGAGTGACCGACTGGCTTTTTTTCTTCTTTGGTAATAACATACATGTACATAAAATGAGCTGTAAAAGGGTACATGAGCATTTGTCTACATCAATAACCCACTTCTTGTGATGGCCAAAATTAAACTGATTGAATCTTTGAGCAGCATAAAACGTATGACCATTCGGTACAATGGTCTGAAAAATTAATTATTGGCTCTATAGCTCCTAAGTCGATTTGACAACTAATAGTCGTCATTTTCCCACTTGAAGACATTTTCAAGCCCCACCTTTTTTAGGGAAGTTCTAAATTAGTATTATCTTTCAAATGCCATTGGAATTTAACCTTTTCATTTTTTGGCCTGCAAATGGGACATAGTACCTTGAAGGGTAAACACCCCCCCCCCCCCCCCCCCCACCACCACACACACACACACACACACATGCACATGGTAATCATTGCTTCTAAAAGAAACTACAACAACAGATTATTCCATGTTTCACAAAATTTCAGGTTTATATTTGCTTTCTGCAAGATTAGAAATACAAAAATGTACAGTATTTACAGGAACATCGACGAATACAGCTATGTACATGCATACACTATTTACAGCTGATTACCATATTACAAATAAAATTGCACAAAAAAGGCAGATATACATGAATTCCTTGTCTCAATTTACAGCATAAATAAGGATATGAGTTGTAAGATTTCTAATTATCTACATGAATACCAACAAATTTTATGTGATTGATACATGGAAGATATGGTGAAGAAAGAAAGCAGGAAGGTTGGTCTAAATGAGGAGGATGCTTGAGACAAGAAGAAGTGGAGGGAGTGAGTGTCATCATGGCACAAAAGTAAAGTTAAGGGGGAAATGCTGACTTTAATAATTGATGATGATGATGATGATGTATATGTGAGTATATGCACAGTTACTCATCCTCTGTTACATTGATAAATTTACTCGTAACCAACTGTTAACAGACAATATCTTGTCCTTTGAAAGTAATTATGCAATTTTTAGTTCAAATTATTGATGGTCTGGTAAGAGACGCCTCAGTATGATACAAATTCCAAACTGAATTCAATAACTTCTCAACAACCATGATCATCACGAACGTCATCAAACTCCTGTAAATCATCATCAAACCACATTATTATCTCAAGAAAATGTTATTCAGCTCCCTTCTCTGTACAACATATCAAACCAAAAATACTAAAAAAACGAACATATATACAATTCAGATAATAAATTATAAAATCTTCTCCAGACCAAAATAGATTTACAAGCTAAGCATTCAAATGTAATACTATTCTGGCAAGCTTAAACAATGTTTTTTGGACAAAAAAGGTAGCAACAACGTAAACATTTCTTAAATATTTATACATATTACATGTATTTCAGCTATGTATGTATTAAAATGAGTTCACCTTTCTATTTTCACTGTATATAACAAGAGTTTACATGATACAGGCATGAGAATACTTCTTGTAACAGACTGAAGAATGATTGATGTCCAACGTGACAAAGCCAGGATGCTACCCAAGTACATGCTCGCTAGGGGACCTACTGCTCAAAATCTTCTCTGAGGGACTGCATCAATAGAGGATTAACAATTAAAGGGAAAAGGAAGGGAGTGGTGGCATAACTTTCCCTCTCAACTGGCTATGGAAGTCAATTAAACAGCCAAAACATAAACTTTGACTTCATGATTAAATAAAAATCCAGTAATATTTCCACTTAAATCACAGCCTGACAACGGAGGATTCTTCTCACTTTATATCACAACTCATAACAAATTTAGGCAACTTATTGGATAACATTTCAAAATTTGAAAACAAAACTGATGGATTTCTGAGCAGCTTTGAAGGCAAGAGGCAAGAAAAATTTGTTTTGAAGGTTGGGTGGAGAACTATATGGTCACACAGGTATATCCTAAAGCCCTTTGCCCACTATACAAACCCACTGCAAACCGATTTTGTGAAAAACCACAATTGCAATAGTTATGGAAATCTAAACAAATTTAATCTTCATGACTAAGGTACCTAATAACAATATGAATACCAATTACCACAGTTTTCATGTTAAAGCATTCTAGTCAGAGTGAAGGCTATATGGGCTTCAAATCAGAGACAATTGCATGGGTGGTCACAACAATTTGCCTCTGATTAGCTTTCATTCTTAAACAAGGAAGTTTGTGGTTTCGTCATTACGATTTTACATGTTTGAATGTTCATATGAAATGCTTATGCAAAGTCTTCCATTCTAAGGACCTTGATCAGATCATGGTTTGATCGTATAGTGCAGTGGGCTTTTAGATTCCTCACTATTTCATCAGCTTTCTGTTTCACTGCCCCCAATCTCCTCTTCCTCCTCCCCCTCTTCATCATCCTCATCGTTGCTAGGCTTTCCGTAGTGATTGGATTTCATCAGCTATCTGTTTGATCACCCCCATCATCCTCATCTTCCTCTTCATCTTCTTCCCCCTCACTTTCCTCTTCCTCATCATCCTCATCATTGCTAGGCTCTTCGTCGTGGTGGAACAGTTTCATAAGGATGGCAAATCTTTCCTTGACCTTTAGAATAAAATGAACAAGATGAATAAGACTGTGTCTCTAATATACCTCCGCCTATATGTTTATTTATTGATTAATCATCCTGTGACCACCATTGGACTTCAAGAACCCACATGCTTTTCATTTAATACTTTCTTCCGTGGTTTTATGTACTTGATCCCTACTTGGTCCACATTGTTTCAATTTCTTATTAATAAGATATTTTCTGAGAAATCTTACACTTTCATAACCCCATGATATTTGATATTGAATATGTCTTAGAAGCCAAAAAGAAGACACAACTGGGCTAAACATACATACCTGTTGGGGTGTTTTGTCAGTAAGTTGAGAAGCCACGTTGATGAATGTCTCCTCCCTGGCTCCTTTTTCCTGACAGGCTTGTAGCAACACCCTGTCCGCATCTCTGTGAATGAAACACAACATAGGAAAGATCAGAGCCTTGTTTCATACAATTTGTTATCGATAACAAATGCTACATTTCTATGACAAATCTGCTCCTAACCGATCAAATGCACGATTTCAGTAGCTTATAACAGTTATTGTAACTTATTGTTATTGTTAACAAGTTTTATGAAACAGGGCCTAGATCCATGAAAAGTTTTAGACATATGAATGTTGTGACCAGTAAAACGCTGAAACCATTAATGAGACCATTATTTTAGACATTTCTTTGGCCAGTGGTCAATTCAAGATACCTTACCAGAAATATGTCCTCTAAAATAATTCAGATGTAATGTAATTTGAGAGATCACACATGTCAATATTTGCACACAAATCAGACTTCCAAACATTTGAAAGGAAAAGGTTGTCCAATCTCCATCATCTCCTCTGCATATTTATCAGGAATTTCCGTTTACTCAAGGCATCAGGTTTCTTAAGTTGAGGTCACCCTAAAATACTAGTTGTAACTCCTACCTGTTCCAGGTAGACCCTGACGAAGCTCCATCGGTCTCTCCAGTAGATGATTGCTGAGGATCTACTGCTGCTCCTCCTCCTTCTTGTTCTACCTTGTCTCCATCATTAGGCTCCTCCTGTTCTCCTCCATCTACCATCATCTCCTTGTCTCCTGCAGGAACTGGTGTCTCCTGTTCTCTCCTCTCAGTCTCCTGCTCTCTCCTCTCAGTCTCCTGCTCTCTCCTCTTAGTCTCTTGTACTCCGCTTCTGGCAGAAGCAATAGCATCGCTGCCTAGTCCTTGTTCGTCTGTCATCTTTCCATCTGTGGATTCAGACTCCATCCCTTCTGGAGCAGTCTTTGTTTTGATCTCGGGCTCTGCAGACACCACATCGGATGCAGGAACACCTTCCTTTTCTGAATCAACGATGGCATCAACGGCCTTTTCCTCATCCTATGCAAAGAAAATGAAAGATATATTACACAAATATGACGGCATGCTTGCTTATTTCAGGGTTGTTTTAACCAAATAAAGGTGACCTTTACATTCTTTAGAAATTGACAGTTTCGCCTCTTGAGATGCATGTGTGTTTACTTTAAAGATATATTTCACAAATATGAAGGTGTGCTTGCTTATTTCAGGGTTGTTTAAACAAAATAAAGGTGGCTTCTTTAGAAATTCAACAGTTTCAGCTCTTGAGCTGTATGTGCATTTACAACCAACCAACCTTATAATGTATTTAAATTAAATATGTAATCCTATTAGTAATCTTTTCCTAAGTACTATCAGTGCAAATCGGCGGATGTGGTATATTCGCGAATGTAATGATTGGTATATGTTGCACACAAAATTATAATACCAAATAATTTAAGAAAGCGCTAAAATTACTAATTTTTCCAGCTGTTTGGTACACTTTAAGGTATTTCTCAGTTGATGCAAGTGTGGCTTTAGGAATAAGTGAGGTAATCCTGCACTTAAGAATTAGAAGGAATGGCATCACATACCTTTAGAGTATTCTGAAATTCCATGGGTGAACATGTGAGACTGCGGCTGTCTGTATCCATGGTGACCCCTGACCCCAGGAGGGTAGTATGGGAGGAGGCAGGGCTTGTGCTCAGCTGGGATCCAGAGTTACTGGAAGTGGGAAAGAGAAATCCATATAAAAATAAAATTGAATTTATTAAATCAATTTTAGAATACAGAGACAATCTTGAATATTAAAAAAAGATTTAATCTGATTATATAATACCACTTTAGTTTGCAATTTCCAGCTTGCATTGTTGTACACTTATCTTTTTAAGACCGAAGGATGTAAGAAGTTGGCAAATACATCTTTACAATTTTTATCTTGGATTGAGTACAATCGGGTTAATTTCCTACACATTTTAAAACAAATGCTGGGTGTACAAACGTTCTGTTTTACTTCTGTAGAGTATACAGATTCACACTCCCCTGCACATAATCATCAATTTCCCAGGTGCTTTCTTGAAAAAGACAATGGATTTGACATCATCCGGTAGCTGTCCACAGGGATAATTTGAGACAAACACAACAAATCTTTCATTACCTATTTCCTGAGTCCATTGTCTCTCTACTGCCCTGGCTGGTACAAGGTGAGTGGTCTCCGTTTAGATCATCGGTGCTCTCTCCAGACGTCATGTGATTCAGCTCTCCTCCATCCTCTGCCTCATCATCTGCATCATCCTCTGATATCACTCCACCTTCATCATCATCGTCGTCTTCATCGTCTCTGTCATCTGCAACATCCTCCTCTTCCTCCTCTTCCTCTTCCTCCTCCTCATCTTCATGGCCTTCTATATCATCCTCATGATCTGCAACATCATCATCGTCGTCGTCATCTCCGGTAGCAACACCCAATTCATCTTCGTCCTCATCTTCTTCACCGATATCCACATCGTCATCATCATCGTGGTCATCTTCATCATCATCTTCCTCGTCATCGTCATGATCCTCATCGCCACCTTCCTCATCGTCCTCTACATCGTCCTCGTCTTCCGTCGCCGAGGCATTGTCCTGGAGGTAGTCCGCCAAATTATCGCACATCTGTGAGAGATGATTAACAGCCTCGTTCGTGGTTTCCTCTCCCTTCGCAGCATCGGCCATCTTTGATCCCCTGCCTCGCCTCTTGCCCTCTCCAGGTCCTCCTCCTCCCCTTCTGCTTACTGATCTGTCTCGTAGGGGCCGGCTCCGCCCGGGACATAGACCACGGAGGGAGCTGATGAGCTCTGCTCTGGTAACCTAGAGAGATAATGAAACGACAAAAGGATTGGCTATAAGGCCTATAAAAAAAAGATGCTGTATTGCCCTTTGCGACCGACCCAAAATCTTGATATCTATGGTCGGCTTTTTAAAAAAGCTTCTTCTTTTTTTTTAATGATTTTTAGAGGAAAAAAATGTCTACCAAAAGAGGCAGGAAAAAGAGAAGAAAAAAAGTTTTAAAAAAATAAGATTTCCGACCGACCAACCCAAGTTTTGGCTGCACCTAAAGTGCAATACAACATCTTTTTTTTAAAGGCCTAATAAGGATTAACGACAAAGTTCTACAAGAACCCCATGTATACTGCATTGTCCTTTTTTATAAGTGGCCTTTTGATAGCAACCTAGCTATCTTATGATGAAAATAGTGCTGTAGTCAAACGTTTAACCGTCCGGTATCCAAACGTCCAAGGCACTATCTGTTTCCAAATTGGCGGTTTCGTTTTCCTGTTTTTTTTTTTTTTTGAAAACCAAAATAAATCACATTATTAACAAATAATGTACATAATTAGAAACGAAATCACTGAACAAAATAGAAAAATTAACTGTCGGACATGCATTGAAATAATGACTGTGTTTCACTTTATTTATGAAGCTGATAAATCAAATTTTGCCGACATTATAGTCATCATAAGTCAGCCCCGACTGTTAAATTTTGAATTGCAGAGCAACAATCTACACGATAACAATCATTTGCAAGATTGTAGAATGTAGATTGAGAAGTTGACTCGCAAAACTAGGTTCCCAGCCTTGAATACATGCACAAAACTTAACTGATGCCATTTAAGTCCTAAATCCTGACCTCTGCAATATCGCGATCGCTAGCTCTTAACACGAATATATGTGCGTACTAGATTCATTAGCTTCATAAACAAAGTGAAACCCAATCATTGTTCCAAAGCATGCCCGACAGTAAAGTCTCCGTTTTTGTTCAGTAATTTTGTTTCTAATTATGTAAATTCTTTCGAAATATAATGATTTCTTTTAATTTTCCAATACAAACACAATTTTTTTTTTAAATCCTTTTAACCGAAAACCGTCCGGTTTTGGCTGGCGGTTAAACGGAATTGGAAATATCTGTGATGTTACAACACTAGATGAAATTTTTCATTCCATATCATTTTGTATCAGTTACGAAAATGTGCATGTATCTCATCAAGCATTTTTAGAAAAGATAAGGAGATATATTTCTTTATGAACCTTCTCTATCGTATCCATGTATATTTGATTAAGTATTGAAAAGCTTCAATCACACTGAACTTGAACTACCAAATCATTCTGTGAGTACGATAAGGGGGGGGGGGTTTAAAACAGTGGATGGGCAACTCACCATGGCTGAGCAATAGGCGCAGTGCCTTGTTTTACGCTGGACCCGGGAGTCTTGAGACTTCTCATGACAGTTACATTTACAACTCCTGGTTCCGTACTGAAGCTCATCATTCAATCCTTTCCACGGGTCCAGGATATTCTGAAAATAAGAAATAGAAAGATAAAAATTAAAACAATGATTAAGGTACTATCACAGCAATTAGATTTATTTCTATACAAATAATTATGGACAAGCCCAAGGTACGCCCCATACATTACCCAATATAATAGAATTAGTATGGATCGTGAACATGAATTGACATTTTAAAAACATAATTTTACTTAAAGCCCCACTGTACTACTTGTAGCTACTTGTTCCCTCTACATAGAAAGCAATGCCTAATCGGTGACCATTGGTCCCATTGGTCCCCCATGATCCTCTTTTTCTTAATATATTAAATGAGAGCTGAGTTGATGAGATAGCCACCTGCCAGTGACCACCCTGGGTGGCCTCCTAGCCAAATTAGTACAGTTGTCCTTTAATATATTGTCTGTTCTGAGCTCTGGTCCGTCGACCAACTTCATACAGCTACCATATATAGTCAAACCTGTCTTAGCGGCCTTAATAGACAAGTGTGAATGATACCAAAATCTTAGAAACCTGTCTGTAAAGACCACCCAAGGGAGAGAAGAAAGGTGGTCTTTATGTACAGGTGCCTAAAGTTTATGTTTCGGTCAATGAGAAACCATTTTCAAGGGAAACAAAAAATAAGGTCTTTGTAGACAGGTGGTCACTAAAGCAGGTTTGACTATTATTTAAAGGACTCGGGACAAGTACTCTTACCCTATAGGTAGCACCCCTCCCCTGTTGCTTGGTTATGGTCCCTTCTTCTTCCTCTTCGCTCTCTGATAGCTCAATCTCCTCAAAGTCATCACACTGAAAAATCAGAAATAAAAAATATGAGAAAACAGTTCTATAGTACATTTGGTTTTGCACTCTCCTGTTAGTCCCCCCTTGAAACAAAAATTAAAGTGTGGTTTTAATGAAATTATTTACCTGAAAATTTTGTATTGAGTTCAATTGGAAAATGTTAATATGTTTGAATGTGAAAAGAAAATCACACATATTATATTTACGAGACTAACCTTGATTGGCAATATGCTATGTTTTTCAGTTCCTAAAAGCAAATTATATATATATACTCTGTATCTGTAGTTAATCTGCATACTATGTGATATTAAGTTTGGTAACACTTAATTAAATTAAATAAAATTAAATGAAAAGAAATGGAAATGGAAATGAAATGAAATGAAATGAAAATGAAAAATGAAAAATGAAAAATGGAAAATGGAAAATGGAAAATGGAAAATGGGAAATGGAAATGGAAATGGAAATGGAAATGAAAATGAAAATGAAAATGAAAATGAAATTGAAAATGGAAATGGAAAATGGAAAATGGAAATGGAATGGAAATGGAAAATGGAAATGGAAATGGAAATGGAAAATGGAAATGGAAAATGGAAAATGGAAAATGGAAAAGGAAATGGAAATGGAAATGGAAATGGAAATGGAAATGGAATGGAAATTGAAATGGAAATGGAATGGAAATGGAAATGGAATGGAAATGGAATGGAAATGGAAATGGAATGGAAATGGAAATGGAAATGGAAATGGAATGGAAATGGAAATGGAAAATGGAAAATGGAAATGGAAATGAAAATGGAAATGGAAATGGAATGGAAATGGAAATGGAAATGGAATGGAAATGGAAATGGAAATGAAAATGAAATGGAAATGGAAATGGAAATGGAAATGGAAAATGGAAATGGAAATGGAAATGGAAATGAATATAGAAATGGAATTGGAAACGAGAATGAGAATGAGAATGGAAACGGAAATGGCAACGGAGATGGATTGGAATGAAAATTGAAATGAAATCCAATAAAATTAAACGAGGAACATATACTGGAAATTGAAGGCTCAACATGTGGATGAAAACCTTTTCAGTTATGTTTGATTAAACTATGCATCCAAAGAACAAGGTCAAGCACGAGAAGGAATTCTTACAGCCATTTTCTTTTCATCGGTGAGATTTATTTCCTCAAAGTCCATCATGTAGTTCTCTGGTGGTCTGCTGTCAGGGAATAACATGGATAGCTCCTGTTCCAGATGAGGCTGCCCTTTCAGCAGTGGGATCAATGCTTCCTTCAACTGAAAAGAGAATATATGATACAGTGAAACCTGTCTTTAAAGACCACCCAAGGGAGGCAAAATAGTGGTCATTATAGGCAGGTTGTCTTTATGTACAGGTTCCTTTAGTACATGTTTCAATGAGAAACTCTTTCAAGGGAAACAAAAAATGTGGTCTTTGAAGACAGGTGGTCACTACAGCAGGTTTGACTATACATGAGTGGTTGGGTAGGGTCGGCCAAAAGTCCAAAAATTTTAGTCCCATGATAAGAGCCCAACTTGGAAACTATTAAAAGCCCATCCCCTAATTTCCCCAACAAACAAGAACAACAAAGGTAAGAAAAATTAAGATGTTACCTATCTGTAAATACATATAGCTACCTATTAAACTCCCTTAATTTATCTATACATATCCGTGGAACTTTGTCTAGCTACATACATGTATGTACATGTTTATCTAAATATCTACCCATATGTGTATTCCCCAATCTATCAACTCTGCAAACTGACCAATCCTCGCAGTGAGAATCAGCTGATTCAGCACATTTGTAAAACTGGAGAACCTCTTCCCACTTAGTATTAAAACCAGAAAGGAAAATATCAAACAGCTGCATGACAGCTACCCAATCTCAATATATTCACATATTGTATTATTCTATTATTGTAAATTATGTCCTGAAGTATGTTAAACTTTAACTCATGTGTATTTTTACTTTCTTTCTTGAATTACTTGATGGTCCTATGCCCACAATTATACAATGTCCACACAACTGCGCCAGGAGTGTCATTTTTGACAGACATGGCGCATTATAAATATTCACTATTATTATTATTATTATATCAACACATATCCCTACACCTAAACTTGTTGCAGTGGCCATTTTAACCGTTTTAGGTTAATAGTTTTTGTAAACAAGTTTCTTGATGACTAAGTATGGACTTACGTCTTGATAGTTTCGCTGCGTCTCTCCCCATTGTACCATGGTTTTGACGATCCTCTGTATATGGGCTGGCTGCTTGTAGAAGTGGACCTCTACTTGACGTAGGAATAGCCTGGCCTTGGAGAACTCCAGACACTCTAAGAACTGAAATCAAAGGAGGAAAGACGCCAAAATGAAGAATTTCATACACTTGTTAAAGGTAAAGACCAGTTTTGGAAACGCCCCCCTCTCAAAAAACAAAATGGAAGCTCTTATTAATCATGTGAAAGAATATGTTTTGACCAATACTTGATGATAAAAATTTTGCCGGGAAACCGCCTACTAATTGATATATTTGGTAGATTAGTTTATCTATTGGGACCAAATACATGTAGATAATATGCACGTGTCGCGCACGTGTGCGTAGTCCCATATACATCTTTCTGTGTACAGTGCTTGTAACTTTACGAAGACTTGGCCAAATTTCTTATCATTTTGATGATTCCAGAACCTTGCAGTACACACCAATATACTTATATGCAAGATGATCCACCTTTTCTGATCGATTCCACAACATTCTTTCACAATGCAATCGCATGACCAGAACTAGTCTTTATCTTTAACAACTCTGCCAGTGTTATTATTGTTATCATTACTATTTAGCATCACCTGTGCCTGGGAGGCGAAAAAGCAAACTGAATCACCTTAAACCCTATGGTCTCTCCTCCCGGTATGACTGATTGGGGGTGTGCAGGTGGACCTCTACACCAGGGTATTCCACTACTCTTTTAAGAATAGAGCAGTGGGTCTTTAAAGTGCAAAGGTGGTGACTCTCCTCTACACAGGGCCTCCATTTAACATCCTATCAGAGGGACAGGATGTTTTCCACTCAACATAGCCCGCGTCGATGAAACATAGGAGGGGCACGTTCATACATGCATTATCTTAAGTTGGCTTAATGTTACTAGACTTTCATTGAGATATATGTCAAAACAGAACTTTTAAGCAACGAACATCAGTAAATACTATACCCTTTCAGAAGCATCTTTTCGTGCCTAAGTCTTGATTATTATCCTGCTTGACTCTCAAATAATTCTTAAGTCCATTTAAAACCTATTTCTTGAAATGTAGCGCCCTCAAAATTGATAAGGAAAGTGTTTTGGCAGTGGTTTTACTGGTTAGTTACTTACCACACCGCACTGAAGGGCAACATCAGGAGGCATAAAGGCAGTGAATTCTTCTATCAGATCAGGTCTTTCTGACAACACATACTTCACTGCGTAGTACAACTGTAAATGGAGATATTTGTTAGCTTCACAGTATATATACACTATATATTTCTACTCTATTTAAAGAAATTACCGTATTTGCCGGCGTAAAGGCCGCAGTATTTTTGGAAGAGAAAATATCAACAACAACAACAAAATCAGGAAAAAAAATATTGGGGAAAAAATCGTGGAAAAAAAACAAAAAAATCAGGAAACCGATTTAAATTGGGTAATTATCAGGCCTGTCAATAGACTGTAGTGTTATAAAAACTATTCAAAACCGCTGGGAAAACGGTTTCTAAATTTTGAATTCCAATCATACATATCTTGGTAATTAAACATGCAATTGGCTTATACAAGTCATGGGATTCATTTCTGACCTAAAGGTTTATAATTATGATTGCAGCATGAGCTAAATCCAGGATTTTGTTTAGAATCAGAGGCAAAATTACCTAATACCTTTAAGAGCACCATGCCTATAAATTGACTTACATTTGCAATGGACGAGTTTGGATCTTCAGAATATTCATTGAAGACTCTCAGGAAATTCCGGTACTGATCCAAGTTGTCATGTAAAGCTTCCTGTAATTGAAATTAACGAAGAGTGAGTCATTAATGCGTACAAAAAGCAAATATTTGAGTAAGAAAATGCAACACAAAGTTCATGTTGAAAAAAAAGGGAAAAAAGGAGCATGGTACTAGAGTATTGACAATGACTGACAGATGAAAACAAAAACTGATGAAATTAGAGATATTCAACTCAAAATTTCAACTCAAAACCAGGGAGGGAGAAAAAAAATTATTATTACCTTTACTCTGTCTAGAAAATCCTTGGCAAATGCCATCTCACGCTCTTCTTTCTGTAAATAAAAAGGGGAAAAGGACAAATCTGCTTATTACATCAACATTTGGGCTATGCTATTGTACATATGTGGGGTTATGGAGTTTTAAGCTATGTGGGGTTGTGGAGTTTTAAGCTATTTCTTTACTAAACCATTCAAGATAATGCATTGCATACAACATCAGCACAAAATGTACATACACTAAGTATTAAAATACAAACACAAATAAACACAAGCAGAAGAAAAAATAGCTTCCCCTCCCAATCCATATCCTCCTATCTATCTTACATTCTTTAAAGGAAGGTATTGTATTTATCTGTTAAAGATACTATGTCCCTTTTGCAGCCAACATCAAATTTTGCAGGAATTATGAATATGTCATGTATGTCCTATCTGTGAAATGTAAACGTTAGCAATGTCCTAATATTCAAATTCTGCAACAAAACCTGTTTAATTGCTAGACTCCACTGTCAGACACTATTGAGTGACTGACTGGCATTTTTTCTTCTTTGGTAATAACATACATAAAATGAGCTGTAAAGTGTACATGAGCATTTGTCTACATCAATAACCAACTTCTAGTAATGGCCAAAATTAAAACGACGACCATTTAGTACAATGGTCTGAAAATCAGACTTTTACTTACTGGTTACTTACTTGTTATAATATAGCTCTTAAGTCGATTTGACAACTAATGGTCGTTATTTTCCCACTTCAAGACATTTTCAAGCCCCCCTTTTTTTTAGGGAAGTTCTAAATTAGTATTATCTTTCAAATGCCGTTGGAATTTAACCTTTTCATTTTTTTGGCCTGAAAATGGGACATAGTATCTTTAAACTCATATAAATTACACAGCACTATTATCTCTAATTCTTAACCCCTTGAAGACTGAGCCAGAGTTCACAGCCAAAATAAATGAAACAAATTTACAACATGTGCAAAATGGATAATGTACGTACATATGGGTCTTGGTTGACTATATCCGGATCCAGGAGAACTACTGTCGACTCCAGATCTTTCCTCAGTTTGCTCTTGATCCTCTTGGCTGCGACCTTGACGTTGCTCCTCCTACCCGTCTCCATCTCTTCTTCTCCATCCTCCCCGGGACCGCCCTGCTCTCCTCCAGACAGGAATTCCCTCGCCGCAGACTGCTCATCTAGGGTGGGGGATTTCCCTCCTGTGGCTGTGGACGCCATCATCTCTGATTGGTCCATTGCCAGGTCAAAGGGCAATTTGGGGTTGCCGTTTGCACTGGCGGCACCTTCAGACATCTGGCTCGTGGTGTCTTCTTGTTGGACGGCTGGCAAGCTAGGTATCGTTGAGGGCGTATCTCCATCGGGGATAGCAGGAGGGGCCACTACAACAGGGGACGCTGTCCTGGAGAGTTCTACGGTTGGACTTTGAACTCGGTTTACAGTGATGATTTGACTAGCACTACCTACAGAGCTCCCTATTGTGATTCCTTGCATGGGCTCAGAGCTAGCAAGTCGTACAGGCACATGTGCCTCTGTTGCTACCTTATCGTCCATTCTCACCGTCATCTGCAAGGGAGAGTGTTTGGTACTTGGACTTGGACCCATTTCGGGACTAGCAGTGAGAGCAGTGGATACAGGAATAGATTGGACTTCCTTTTGTACTTTCGAAGAAGCATCAATATCAGATAGGCTCTCGTCACAACGAAGGGCTATAAGGTTCTCTGCTGCTATTACTTTTGGACTAGCAGTCCTCATGGTCTCTTCCTCCTCATCTAACTGCCTCAAGGCAGCCTCCAGAGGAATACAATCCTCGTCTGTATCACTTGTCCTTCTCTCCCCTGTGGCATTTTGGGTCATGATGCTTTCACCTGATTCTGCCAACCCTTGATTAGCTTTCGCAGAATCAGGTGAACGTTCCTTATCACCATCCCTTCTCACTGTCATCTTACCGGGTGATTGTTTGGCATTGGGACTTCGCAAACGTAGCCTCTCAGGACTATTCCTTGCAGTGCCTAGCTTAAACTTATTCAAGGAGGACATGCCCTTTGAGGCGAGAGACGACATGCTCACAAATCCACCAAGCCTGCGCCTAGGGGACAGCTTCTTATTTCTCTTTTTCATAATCAATTCCCTCACAGTATTCCTTGGCCCAACTCCAAGAGGTACTAAAGAAGTCCTCCTCTTACTAGAGAACACTGATAGAGCTGCCTCAGCCTGTGCTGTTCTTTCTGCACTTTGGTTCAAAGCTTCTTGAGTTGTATGCAGAGCAATTTCTGCTTGAGTATCGGGCAATGGCATTGCAATTCTTTCACTTCCATTTGTCTGATAAGACTCTGCATTGATTTTCTCCAGCGCTGTCTGTGCTGTGGATGCATGAAAATCAGAGAACTGAAGAGTTCTTACTACAGAATGTGATGTAGTTTCTGTAATGTTATCCATCTCCATCTGGGGGGCAATGGAGGATGTTACATTTGTGGCAGCCCTTGCCATCTGGGCAGCAAGTGACACAGTACTGCTCGGTGGAAGATTAAGCACAGGATTTGCATAGGAACTTGCTACACTTTGAGTTGCAGGCGAAGCCACAGATTCTGCCCCAGTAGAAGATTGTGGCACGCTTGGTAGACCCTCTGCAGGTGGTGCGTTTCCTGCAGCAATGGCCGACATCTGGGGGCTGTCTATCACGTACTTCACTTCACAGACAGTCCTGGGAAGGAGACCTGGTGGAATGATCTGTTGCCCAGGCTGCAATATCAGTCCTCCTGCGGTAAGCCCAACATTAGATGCTAGGATATAATGGGGCGTGGCCCCCGGGTGAAACTGACCGATGACTGGACCACCATCTTGGACTGGAACCTGGACCTGGTCTTGGGCAGGTGTCTGATACGGGATGTGGAGCTTTGGCTTGAGCGGAGAGAGAGTCTGCACACGCCTCATTCCCCTCTCTTGCTCAGACTCGAGGAAGCAGTCCTTGATATGAGGTTGTCCACCCTGTAAAGACACAAGAGAAGAAATTATAATGGTGCCTATAAAGTTTGAGGTTTCATAATTTATCAGTATAAAAGGCTACAGGGATCCCGTAACTTTGTCACAGATTCTGGCGCAAAGATTATTATTAACCTTTAGGTCAGTCAGGAACCCCACGACTTTTACAAGCCGATCGCCTGTCTGATTATCAAGATATTTATGATTGGAAATCAAAACCAAATTTTGCGTTTTCCTAACGGTTCTCATAACACTACAGTCTATTGAGAAAAACGAGTATGGTAAAAACCAGTCACTCAAAGATTTTTACTTTTTTGGAGGCACTTCTTGATCATCATAGAGCGCAATTTTTTTAGGGCTTCAATATATCACCATATCACAGACACTGATAACACTTTGGGCCATGCATCTCCGATTTCTGTCATATCAATATTACATTTCCTCAGAAACACTGTGAGGTGTTAAAAATCCTGTGACAACATATCCGTATACGGACAGCACTATGAAGCAATGCACAATACAACCACTTGAAATTGTCAACACTCTCCTAACAACTATTCATATAAGATTCCAACTGAAGAAGTAACGTAGATTCTTGTGTGCACTCACCTGTATGTTGAGAACCCATTTTGGTAGCTTCTTGTTGTTTCGTATGTTGACAGGGGCAGTGGCTTGATGGGGTCTCACTACAGCACACATGGACGGTGAATGAACCAGCTGCTTAGTGCTCTTGTAGATCTATGTATGTACGAGTAAGAGATTCAAAACAGATTAATTATTATACTGGTGATTTCTTTTATAGCGCTCATGGTGCGTAGCACATGTATCCGTTTTAAGCCAAACCACCGAGTAACTAGCATTAAGATTATCAGGTACCCATTTACACCTGGGTGGAGAGTGGCAAATGTAGATTAACGTTTTGCCAGAGGACAGTTGTCGGCTGGGATTTAAATCCTATACAATGTGATCTACATTCTGAAGACTAATCACTAGACCATAACATCTATATATGTATTAGGTGAAGTTAATACATGTAAGTAAGTGAAAGTGAATTGAATAATTCATATTTAGGCACTAAAGTGTGCATTTATTTGGCTTGCAATTGGATTACATCACGATAATGGCCTATTCGGACCAAGCCTGTAGTGTACTTACCACGATGGGATTGTTGACGTCCACCTTACATTTGCGATGGCAGAGGAGGTTCTTAATGCGGTTCCTGATCTGAGAGGATGTCTTACAGGGCATCATCAGACTCTGGATCAGGTGAAATCCGTTTTCAAACTTGCCAAACTGATGGAGGCCCCTCGTCACCAATCTGAAGAGACAGCGAAGGAAAGATACATTGAGTGAAGATGGGTGTATAGGGCTGGTGTTAGTGCTTAATAAACCGTAACACAGCCTTAAACACCGAAATGAAAATCAGCTGGTTAAGGCTTTGACCTCTGAATATTGTCAACTTCCAGTAGCTCGTGTTATCGATTTAAAAAAATTATAGTCTGCTGAACCAACCTTTGTGGCTGGTGTTAATATGTTATGTACAAATGTCCTATTCACTAACAAAAGCCCCTAGGGACTAAGCAAATGTTGATTTCCAGTTCGGCGTTAGTGTTAAGCTATTGATATTGATATGGGTATCGGGCTCTTCATTTCATCAGCAAATGTTTAGCTCGATTTAAGAGCTCTTGACTGCTATAAACACTAACACCCAACTTGAAATCACTCAATGACATCAAAATGTGGTAAAGAGGGCAATTTACCATTTCAACAACTAAATTTTTTTAATCAAGCAGGGTAACCATCAAGAAGGAAAGACTAGATGCACTATAAATATAAAATGTTATTATAATAACAATAATAATATTTTGGTTCTTGTATAGCACATATCACATTATGTAACGTCTCTCTGCGCTTCCAAAGAGCTTTGGAAGTTATTACCCTAGCTTTAGCTCTGGCAGCCGAAATCAGCACACAGTGCATTATGATTATTATTATACTGCACATTTTTCAAATTTCATTGAAAAGGAGTGATTTGTACTTACTTGTCTTCGCCCTCCACAAAAATGATTTTGGAACTTCTGGAGATGTCGTGAAACATGTTTTTGGGTAGGAGCTCGGCATGGATGAAGACCTTGCTATGGGCCATCATGTCGCCCAGTTCTATCCGGAATGGTGGGGGCTTCGATCTCGTCACCGCTTTTTTCTCTGCAAGGTGCATCAAATAAATAACAGCATTAATCTCTCATTTCCTTTTGCGTTATATATACCGTAAACCTCTGTGTATAAGACGCAGCTTTTTTTCTGCCGAAAAAATTGAAAGTCGGGGGTGCGTCTTATACGTCTAATGCTACGGTCACAAAGGTTGGTACAAACAATTATTTCGTACGAATCTTCGTTTTCCATCGTCTTCCCGAATTTCCATTGTCTGAAAATCGTTCGTAAGGTGTTCGTAGCAGTTCGTAATGGCATTTGTGACCGGGGCATTAGGTACAACAACAAAAAAAATCATGTTTTTTCTTAAAGTGTTGATTTATGCCCCTCCACCTGCACTGTGCCTGGCAATGTCTCCCAGCTCAGTCATACAAGGTGTGTTGACTCACCACTCGGAATCTAGAACAACACTAGTATGGCAGGATTTCTGTTTGGACTTAGAGGAAAACTTGTCTGTCATCTTAAGTTTTAAAAACGACATTGTTACTATGTGTGACAAGTACACAAGCACAAATCAGCACCTTCAACTGCACCTCGCAGTAAAATAAAGGTCCTTCTCTGCATGGTTTTTTTAACAGGAACCTGGCTTGCTGCCAACAAAGTTTTTCAGGCTGCCAAAATAGGGGTGCGTCTTATACACAGAGATTTACGGTACATGTTTATTTACATGTTTATTGGATTGGATCTTTGAATAAGTTGTATATAATCACAAAATATATCAACTCTAACCTCTAAACTCCTCCTCTTCTTCTATGATTGGCAGTTTGGGCGTCTTAAGCAACTCCAGAGCCCCGCCCAAGTTACAGGATCTGAAGAAGGACTGGAACTGGGCTTGTCTCTGGTCCACATTCCCTTGGCTCCTCATCCCATCTTCATTCACACCAGCAAGTAGGTCCAGCTCAGCCTGGCCAGAGATGATTTGAAAGAAATTTGGAGGAGGGGGGAAGGAAAATGGATTTGATAATTAGTAAAAGGTGGAAGTCAGAATGTTGAGGTTCATTCACTACACTTTAAATTGCCAGATTGATGGTTCAAATCCCTGCATGGTACAAATGTCCTTCGGCAAGTTATTATCAGTGCCAATGCCACAATTGCATTAAAACAAGCACTTTAATACAGAGTTTCCCTTGTGGCTCAAATTGCAAATTTGAGATTTGCATAGCTGTAGTGATGTCATATTTCAAACATTCATAACTTTCTTGTTATTGGTTTGATATATTTCAAGCTTTCGCCATTCTATTTCTCAGATTTGTCTGCTTTCATTCAAATGAACTTATTACAAGGGCTGGATTGCCCTCTACGGACACCTTAACTGATCTCTTATTTACCTTCAACACATGAATATTCAATAGATTGAAGTGGTGCTAAATGAAGGCTTCCCAGCAGGAAACCATTTTTTGTATGTAAATGGTCCTATTGACATGAATATGGCTTTGTAGAATCCCAGGGGTAATTCATTAGGACCAAAGAAATTTGCATTGACACCTTGGTTTGAAGTGCATTAAACTATGGCCTTATGGATTCACACAAAGGTGGTTTGGGAAAAACATTTTGGGAGGTATAAAGTATGCGCTTGTATGTTTACTACCTTGTTGGTATTGTCATTTAAACATGGGATTTTTTTAAATCTCGGAATGCACTAGTGAGAGAACTCGGACTAAATGTACTTACCAAGTACTGTTTCGACTGGTTTGCGCAATCTGTAAGCGTGTCGTTTTCCCTTGCCATCAGGAACATCTGACATAACAACTGTGTATGCTGTCAGAGAAAACAGACAGTGAGAAAGAATACAATTTGAGAACTCTCTAGGGCGATCGATTCCATGATAGAATTTTTTCAAAAATTCTAAAAAATTAAATATGCTTTTTGTTCGCCACCAATGTAATAATATTTTAGTTAAACGTCTAAATACAACAGGATTAAACAACCAAGGCTTTTGTATTATGATGACTTCAAAACTTCTTTTTTTTTTAAAGAAAATATGAAACAAAATGAAAAGAAATTGACTCAATCTTACTGAGAGTCACGAGCAATGCATACAAAAATAAATACATGGGACTACACATACAATGTGGCATAAATATTTGGTACAAAGCTATTTCTCATCATATTTCAAATGTGAGGCCATTTGAAGAATAGTCAAGTTCAAGGGAAATTTCTACTGTGACATTCTTCTAAAGTGTTTTCTTTACCAGAACCGAACCTTCTTTTCCTTTAATACAACTGTTCCTGAAACATTTATTGTTATAGACTAAATCAGGCTTATGTCAGGGGATACAGGTGAAAACAGTCCCAATATTAGAAACATGTGGACCTGATCTAACTACCGTTGAAAATTTATGTACGTCAGGGAATAGGGGTGAAAACAGTACCAAATATTAGAAATATGTGTACTTGTTGTAACTGCCGTTGAAAATTTATGTACGTCAGGAGATAGGGGTGAAAACGGTCCTACTATTAGAAATACAATTACCTGTTGTAACTGCTGTTGAAACTGTTGGAGCTCTTCTCCATTCAGGGTCAATGAAGGCAGTGTCTTGGCCTCGATGGTCCATGCTACAGGGGGAGCCTGCCGGACGCTAACCTCAGGAACCTGCTGTTGAACTACTGGAGGAACTGTCGGCGCTGCCACAGATGGTTGCGTTTGCTGTAGTGGTTGTGCTTGTGGTTGTTGTGGTGGAGGCTGTGGCTGAGGTTGTCCAGTTGCCACAGTAGTCACTGCTTCTGATTTTAAAGGGAAAGTTACTTCTGTGACCATAGCCGTTGATGCTGACAATACCGTTGCCTCTGTTACCATTGCTGTTGTCTCTGTTGCTGAAGTTGCCATTGTTGCCTCAACCACCGTTGTTGCTGCAGGTGTTTCCGCAGCAGGTGTTGTATCAGCTGACAACGCTGCAGCCATGATAGAGGAAAGCACTTCCCCAAGCCGAAACTTTGACGACGTGGACGCCCCGGAAGGGGAGGAGGTGGAAGGCTTCCCGGAGAAGGAAGACGGCATGGTGTAGAACTTGGAAGGGGAGAACTTCTGCTTCTGCTGCATCAAGGAACCCAGGAGGGAGGATTGAGGGTTCTGGTCGAATATGCCCATGTCAAAGTCATCTAGCCAGTCCACATCATCACCATACTGTCAAAGATAGCATAAGAAATAGAACATGTAGGATGAAAGGCACATCAACAGGTTCAGTATGAATTATATTTTTTAGCCAAGTAGACAATTCAGTGACTAGGGAGGGATAATGCAGAGCGATACATGCAGTTTTTCTCAAAACCATTACTCAAAATATATAATTCAATTTACAATTTGTTCTTATCCATCAAGTCCTGTAGATTCAACATTAAATAATCTTGAACTGGGGAGTTTGATTATGTATCACGGGATACATGTGAAATCTTAACTAGTTTTAATGACTTATGCATACTCTCCGGGTCACTAGAGTACGCGAAATACACAACAAGTTCCAAATGACATGATGATAAATTCAAGAAATAACAGAAATCCCTAAATCAGTATACAGTGTATATGTATACATCCATAAAAAATAATACATGATCAGCTGAACAAACCCTCAAAATGGTTATTCATGAACAGATAAAATTTACTCTTATGACAAAATAAAATTAGGTTTTAATACTTACAGCCTCAACCACCTCATCCAGAAGCCCATTCAGCTCTTTCTCTGTAGAATAAAAAACAAAGAGCAAATCGTAAAATAACTGCATATTCTAGTATAAACAAATGATTTTGTGGACACCTTTGATCTTTAATACAGGTTCATATGATTGCTCATTTTGTATACAGCAAATGGCAGTTGCAAAAGTCAAATTTGAATAGAAAATGACTGTACTAATAATGGATATTTTGCCATCATACTCTTAGGAAAGTTTTCAATGGTGATTTTTTTGTCTACAATACTTTGGCCCTTTAACAAGTTTTTAGATTTTTAGATCTCTGCAACATCCTGTAAGTCGCAAAAAGGGCAGTAATTTGATTCAACCTTCCTACGCATCAGTTTTTACTCTGTGAACATAAGGACATCGTGACTTACTGCTCACACGCACAGCTCTGTCTGTCCTGAAGTCTTCCTTGTCTACGGGTTCCTCTTCTGCTAGGAAGTTGTATTCCGGGTCATTCTGTTCATCATCCGTGGGTTCTGTGTGGGTAGTGTCTGCATGCAGGAAAGAAACAAAAGAATAATAATAATAATAATAATAATAATAATACTCGGCTTTTATATAGCGCGAACAACAATTAAGTCTCTAAGCGCTTCCAAACTTGAGGTTATTACCCCGACTTTAGCTGTGTTGCCATTACAGCGCTCTAGCATTTCAAAGAATTAATTCCTGCCAGGTACCCATTTACATCACCTGGGATGAGTGTAGCAAATGTAGATCAATGTCTTGCCAAAGGCCATTGAGTGTAAGGAGTACATGTGCAGTAATAACAAAAAAATTACCATGATAGTAGATTCTTCTGGGTTTTACGCAAATTCTAAATACACGACTCGATGTCTCAAATCCAAAGAACATCTCTTTCTTTAAAAATACTGTTTAATAATATTGGCTCTTCCTTTATCAATGAAAGATATACCGTTGGCTCAAAAACTAAATACACATTTTTGGAATATATACACAATATGTTGAATGATGATTGCCTCTGCAAAATAATTATACATGTAAATTGAATGTACAGTATATAGACACAAGCTTCTATCAAACCATCACCAGGCAAAGATGTGTAAAATAGGCATGTTAGGTTAAAAGAAACACATACTGCAGGGTCGACTGTGAAGAGATTTTCCTTCGTAACTTTTGATTCCCGTCTGACTTCACATGATTGGAGCTACTGAAAGGAATTGGGTAACTTTGTCTCAGTTTCTGAAACAAAATCCTGGATTTAGCTCATGCTGCAATCTTAATTATAAACATTTAGGTCAGTCAGGAACCCCATGACTTTTACAAGCCTGTCTGATCATTAAGATATTTATGACTGGAAATCGAAATTACAAAATTTGTTTTCCTAACGGTTTTTATAACACTACAGTTTACCTGGGAAAATGAGTATGGTAAAACCGGTCACTCAAAGATTTTTACTTTTTTGAGGCACTTCATGATCATTTTAAAGCTCAATATTTTTTTTAGGAGTTCAATATTACACCATTTCACAGACACTGATAACATGTAGGTCCGTGCATCTCAGGTTTAACATTGTTAAACGATGCCTTTAAGGGAAGTCAGCACTCACCTTCTGTCCTGTAGAGTGACGAAAGCCACTTCTTCCATTCGATATCCTCATGGTCGGACTCGTACACATCATACATATCATGTTCAGCATCAGGAGCGATGAAGGACGCTTCTATGGCCTCCAGGGGTTTGTCAATGGTCAGCTTTGACCGGGTGCGATGGGCTATGATGTTGGCCTCCTGGGTAGAGGGAAAATGAAAGAATGAAGAATTTGTGATGTACAGCGCTCAATGCATATTGAATCCATGACAAAAATGTTATATTAAAGGGGAACTAAACCAAACTTATATATTGATTGGTGGTCTAAACGGGCGTTAATAACTTCTTTCGTACCCCTAGGAGCCACATATGAAAGATTCACCAAAAGAGAGAAAATTCATAAAGTCTGAAGGCCTTGAGTAGCTGATTTGGCATTATGTATTCAAAGCCATTGTTTCGAAACTGGCGCCGCCGATCGTTGGCGTGTGACGTATGAGCGGAGTAACATATGCACCTAAGATAGCTGGCTAAAGATGGGGTAGCTTTATTCAATTTCTGTCATTTGATTTCTTTTTAATTACACTTTTCAAGTACTTTTCAAGTAGGCAGACATGTACTTTTTCATGACACAGTGCCCAGGTTTCTTTACCACAATGTGATAAGAAGCTTATCTGGACAACTACAAGATATAAACGTGCATCCTCACCTCTTTCGTGACGGCAGCCAGCTCTCTCAGGAAAGCATCATCGTCCCCGAGCCTATCAGGGTTGAGGGGAGGAGGGGGTGGCCCCATGGGTACAGGAACCACCTGCAGGTGCCTTGCTACCGGCCTGTGGCTGGTCTTGGGGGTGTCTGTGGCGGGGGCAGATTCAGGGGCGGGGCTGCCCTCCATCTCGCTCTCCGTGATGCTGGGTTGGACTGATCGGGGAGGGGTGCTGGCACAAGGGGAACCAAAGTCGCTCATTTGGGATGTGACACTTTCATAGTCGCTTTCCTCTCTCTGTGTTAGTAGAAAACAAAATTAATGTACACAAAATGCAGTCTTTTAAATAATAAAACTGTGAGCTTTAAATATTGGGTGGGGAGCCAAACAGAAATGAGAGAAAAATACTTTTTTTGTTAATTTACTTAAGTTTGATAGATTTCTTCTTCTTCTTTTTCTTTTTTTGGAGTACATCCCTCTTACAGAGTATTGTCGTACTTTGTGCAGAAAAAGGTGCGCGGTCGCAGGAACACGTGCAAGAGAAGTGCAGTGACGGACAAATAAGAAAAACTCAAAGCTAATGTGCAGGTAAAAAAACAACATCTGTCACTAAGTGAAGAGTATAATTAATTATTAAGAGTAATTTGCATTGAACTATGATTGAAAATGAAACATATAGGGTAAATAGACACATGTATGAAAGCCTCTTACATCCTGTTCTAAATCATATGCTGCCCAACTTTTTAGTCGGTTACAATTCTTCACATAATAGTACACCTATCTTAAAATGAAATACTAGAACACAACATTGAAAACAGTGATACTGGAGATTACCAATAGCCAATACCATTACTAAAATGATAACAGTTCACAGTGAATTTTCTGAACATGTTCTTTTTACATATCACAAGCTACAACAAAAATACATCTAATTTGAAAGTAGTTCATACATCTGCCAATTTCCCATGAAATTCCTTTCAAGATCAGAAAATACTCTAATGGCTTTTGCCATCGTTACTTTTTTTTCAGTATCCACAACTAATCAATTTGGACCCAATAACATACCATGAGCTCGTCCAGAGTTGGTTCATAATCCTCGTCATCCGATGATGTATCGTCTGAGAAGTTGATCTCGATGAATCCTGGCGTTGCTTTCTTATTCTTGACTGGAGACAGTGGCCACACGTATGGCATCTACAAAGAGGGAATTTGAAGATGGTTTTCAGAAGACGTGACTCCTGAGTGCGATATCTGGTACAGTCAAACCTGCTTGAGTGACAACCTGTATAGAAAGACCATCTGTCTACAGAGACCACCTGTCTACAGAGACCACATTTTTTGTTTCCCTTGAAAATGGTTTCTTATGGACACATGTACTTAAGGAACCTGTACATAATAGATCACCTGCCTATAAACACCACTTTTTTTGTCTCCATTGGGTGGTCTTTATAGACAGGTTTTATTGTATTATAAAATGGGTTTCTAATTGGTGCCCAATCTAATTGGTCAAATGACACCATGTGACTATGCATCTTTCTTTCCTACCATGCCTTCTGTGTAAAAAAGTTCCCATCAAAAAGTGATAACTCATCATAATTTTAGGAAAGTTTTCAATTATGATTTTTAAAATAACATTTTGGCCCTTATACAAGTTTTGAGATTTTCACTGTGCAAATCCCTGAATGCCTTTTAAACAAATACTTACATTTCCAACCTTTTCTGTTGCTTCCTTTAACTTGGCCCTTGTCAGTTTGGGTGTCTACCATGTAAAGAAGAGGAAAAGAAATATGGATGGTTATACAATTCATCAGTTATCGTCATTTTGAGTAGGTAAATTGTACAAACTTATTCATTTTTCCTAGATATGTATAACAAGAATCTAAGAAGTAAGGTACCACGTACATGTAACAAACTGTCTAAATCCAAGAGTTTATTCCTTTTTTCCTAGATGTGTACAACAACAGAAATCTATGAACCAAGGTACATGTAACTGTCTAAACCCAAGATTTGACAATATAATAATACTTCTTTTCCTTGTGTCATGACTGATTTTTCTCACTAAAGATTGGAACAGCACAGACCAAAAGGACTATTAAAGTATAAGTTTACACGTTATGAAAGCTCTTGGAATTCTACTCTATGGTCAACTGAGAGAGGCATCCTGATTGCCTTCAAGAAAATCTGAAAGGGCAATGATGACATATTTTAAATTCTATTCAATTTGAAAATAATTGTTTTCATCACTTAGAATTCCATAAGACCTCTGCTGTGTCTAATAAGTAAGTAATATTCCAATTATTAGAGACAAACAACACTTTAAAGCGGGACTGCACTACTTGTAGCTACTTGCGCCCTCTATAAAGCCAACAATGCCTAAGCGGTACCCGTTGATCCCCCATGGTCCCCTTTTTCTTATGTTAATTGAGAGCTGATTTGATGAGATAACCACCTGCCAGTGACCACGCAAAGAGGTCTAACCCTTCCTGGCCCAACAAGTACAGATACAGTGTAGGTTTCAAATGGGTGCAGATGACTCCAAAGGGAATACTCACATAAGCCGCTGGTTCTCGTTCTATCTCGACCAGCCCAGCATCAGTCATCGTATTCCTCACCATTGACAAAACGTGTTCGTTGGTTATCACATGCTAATAAGAAAAAATATATAAATTATGATCAAGATAGAGAGAGAAACATGTTTAACATGCAAGAGCCAAATAAAGATATAGTGAAGTACTGGTCAGATGATTACATTGTGAAAGAACCTGTCTAGAAGAAATTTGAAGAGGTTAAGTTAAGAGGTTAAACTTTAATTTAACACTTGCCGGACATTGCTTAAAACATTCCCTCTATTTGGCAAAGATGTGAAAACAGAGTTTGGAAGACCTGATGCATGCAGCTTAGTGGTCTAACTCAGCTCCAAATCATGATACATTATGTGTACAATTAATCTTTTATATATGAATCAATGTCCACAACATCAGGAAATTTGTCTTCCACTTGTGAATACAAATAATGAATGTTTTACTTACATGTAAAATGCTTTTCACATTGATGGCTGTTAGGTTATTCTTTGCTGCATTTTCCTCCAGTTTCCTTTCCAGGTCATCATCAAGGTCCAGGGCTTGGTCGATGGCTTGAACAAGGTTGTCCTCCTCTTGGACCACTCTCCTCACCGGCATCACCTTCCGTTGCTTCTTCCTGGCCAGAACAAGTCTTTTTCTCTTCCGCTTCTTTGATCTGATGGACTTAGGACCAGTTCTAGGAGGAGTCTGGTTCAGGGACAAGTCAGTTTCTGTCTCTGGGTTCTCACAGAAGCTGGTGGAAGGGGTATACTGACTGGTGGAAGGGGTGTGCTGACTGGTGGAAGGGGTGTGCTGACTGGTAGAAGGGAAAGAGTCTAATGGCAAGAAGTCCCCTGCAATCTCCACCTCGCAACCCACATCTGCAGGATGCCTGGTCCTGTCCACTTCGAACCCCGGTCCAGGAACGGCTTCATCCCCAGGAGATTCCGGAGACCTTGGAGTACCAATCACAAGCCTGCCGTCCTCACTGTATGCTGGAGATTCAGTCAACATGGACTCGTCAAATATTTCTGATCGACCCTTTTCTGGAGGCGTTGACGGTTGGCTATCCAGTGCTTGGTCATCAAGAACTCTCACGCTCACACTCTCCTTTCCCTTGCTAGGGCTACTGCTGAAGACAGTAGCCTTTGACATCGCTATTTCTTCACATTGGTCATTTTCACCTATACTACAGGGTTTTTCATGTGACGAGTGAGCACTGTGTGTTTCGCTTTGCTCCCTTGCAGGACTGGCAACATGCTCCTCCATGTCAGCCTCCTTAGAACAAGCTGTTACAGGGGTCGTGACTACATCTCCTTCAGGATCATTGGTGTCCTTTGTGTCAGGCTGCTGATCAGATGCTTCAGAGGATTCCATCGGTTCAACCTGTCCTTCTCTTTCAACCTCATTATTACTACTGCCGGTCTCTGCTGCGTCCTGTGACGTTTCACCTCTGGAGGCATCTGCTTTGGCCTCTGCAGACACCCTGTGGGATTCGCTTGAGTTTGGACATTCCACTTCTTTGTTGACAGGATCCAAAGACTTGCCATTTTCAGATGGCTCGCTCTGTTCCTTACCTCCTTCTTCCATGGTGATCCATTCACAGGTTTCTGGTTTGCAGAACTATCATTAGACTATAGCAGAAGAAGTGTACATGGCAACATGCAGAACTCTTTCTCTTCAATGAAAACCTGAAATTAGACACGGAAAGACTAGTAGACTGTCTAGACCGCGTTTAATACATTTACAACATGCTTTAAATTCAATAAAAAACTCTCTCAACAATGGCAAATAAAAGAATATTTATCCTCATTTAAGCGAGCGATCCTTACTTACATGTAGCTCTGCAAGCAAGCTTAGCAATTATTAATTAGCCTTAGTCAGTAAGTCACACTCACAGTCAAACAGTCATAGGCCTACTGCACTGACACAGTCTCTCTCTCGCTCTCGCCATGTCTCGATCTCGAGCGCAGCTCTTCCCAAGTCACTCAGTTGCAATGTTAACTTAAGCAATTTATGAATTAATTGAAATATACTATATCAGCTCATCTAAACGATTCACTTACACTATCTGTCTAGAATTACAGTTCAGCTGAGCAGTAATTCTCCATTCCACTTTGTCAGTTCGTTACGTTTCATTTAGCGCGCCGGTAATCGTACAGTCGTCCATACAGTTAATATGTACGGAGGTACGATGCTAGTCAAATATTTCGCCTTACACATTTTCGGCGCCATGCGATTCGCCCCCATTAACTTGCGCACTATAAACAGGCGAACGTTTTTTTTGTAATGAGCGCTATAAACAGGCAAAAGTTTTTTTTAATGATGATCCCTCATACGTACCTTAAATTCTGAGCAAATGAGAAGAAAAAATTCTTGAATTCCCCAAAACTCGTTCGCTCACATTTACCACAAATTTCAATAAATGTCAGTTTAATTAAAGAAATGACCCATACCAGACGGTCTACCTGAATATATGAGGCACCGTTTGTAAAACTAAGTAACCTTTGATTATTATGTGATTATAGGCTTAAAACTTCATCAGGAAAGCTATTTTTTCTAATAAGGTCTGATTCCCGGCCCCCCCACTCAGAGGTCGGAATGACCGCATGGGTGTTGCCAAAATGTCCGGTAAAGGGGTACTTTTCGTGCGACAAAGTCCGGCCCGAGAATTGTAAAAAAAGGGGTGTATTTGACTTTTCACCCGGAGATTTCTTTAAAAAGGGGGTGTTTTTCTTTTTTTCTCTCATCTCTTTGGACTCCTGAGAAATTATTCTGAATTTAGGGGGGTACATTGAGCATTTTTCCTGATTTAGGGGGGTCTCCAAGGCAGGAAAAGGACGCGAAAAGCCCGCGAAAGGGGGGTTCGGAAATGTTGGCAGTCCTCAGATAGGGGGTGCTTTCAAAAAAAGGGTACGAGCATATGCGTACCCAAATAACACTGAGTGGGGGGGGGGCCGGGGTCTGATTGGTCTCAATGTGACTAAAAAATGACAAGTATAAATAATCTTAACACCATCAACTGCAAATTATGATGCTAACACAATCCGAACCCTAGTTGTAAATTAAGAGAAAACAATAAAATCTCATGATTCTTGATCAAACTGATTTTTTTTTTTGCATGGTGCCTCCAATGGTTCAACATTTAATTCAAATATTATTAATATCATTAATTTCTCATTTTTAGCTCATCCCTTCACTCTCATTATGTTATGTTTTTTTGTTTGGATGTATGATATTTATGTGTGTATTCTGTATTTGTAAATGTGACTATTCTTTATTAGTTAATGATGGGTGTAAATAAATAAACTCGAACTTTAATTTGAGGATAGGGGTTCACCAATATGTCTCAAAATAGGTTTTTTTTAATTTAAAAAAAAAATGAATTTGCAAAGTTTATGTACATATAGGTGCCCTTTTTCAGTAAAAATTTAATAAATGATGCTCTGGCGCCCTTGCATGGCTTCGCTTTTCCTTTTCGTGTGACTTTTGTACTGCAGCAATATAGCCAAGAGCTAACCGAATTCCAAGCAACAATCCTACATTCCAAACACTACACATAACACCCCACCTAAACCGGAAGCCCATGAATGATTAATTTGAAACTTTATAAACAATTACATTAACCGAAATAAAATTCCTATAAATTGACGCCATGCAGAACAGAATGAAATTAACGCCGATAATACCAAACAAAAACAACAACAACAACAACAGGTATCAGATGCACCATGAATAGTTTTTGCTGATAATAAGTCAATGATTGGCAACGGAATGTAATCTTGTAAATTTGCTTTTGGGGGGGCTGCCACGGGGCTGCCATCATCTATCAGAATAAAAGAGATTATTCGAACAGTGTGGAAAAAGCATTATGACGTGGTCCGAATTATTAAAAGTCGAGTGCGTGTGGGTCGACATACTATTATGGGTCCTAGACAGTTGCCATAAAGAAGTCTGTCGCCCTCTTTTGACCCTAGTGCGTATAATGACAAAAGCAAATTTGTCAAGTTTTACGTGTAAACGTGTCCGTCCATTCTCATGCCAATCTGGAACTGAGATCTTTAGAAAATATATCCGATAAATTGAAAGGAAGGGAGACGATAGTACTTCTACAAGCGAAATATAGTGCGAGGAGTCCGGAGTATTATCAAGTGGGATATAAAACGTTTTTTCAACGAGATTTTGGACTTGTTACCTTATTCTTTCGAGACTTCAACTGGCACCGCCAGTCACGTCACCAGTGACACATCTCGATCCTTCGCTCCGCCTCTGCACAGCTGAGCCGATCGGTTAGACGGATGCGGCGCCGCTGCATGATTATCGTCCACTGTAAGTTACAGAGATTTGTGACGCGATCCCTTCTATCAAGGGAACAGTGCATTAATTGCTTTGGTAACTTATCCAACATCAACTCAACCAGATGTAACCGAACTTAAAATGAATTTGTAATTGTATGGATTTAAGAATAAAGTTCTTGTATTCTTAAGAATTTTTGTGTTCATTGAACAACAATAAACAACAAATTAAGGTCATTTTTTTTTTTTTTTTTTTTTGTCTCTCTTCTCTGACTTCAGTCTTCAGTTTAGCACAGCTCCCCATCACTTACGCTGCATTGCTTCACTGATTTTGTGACTATAAATAAAGTAGACTCTACTGCATTCTAATCTTATGAATTTTTGTGATAAGTGAATATTGAACGACAATAAACAAAAAATTAAAGTCTTTTTTTTTTTTTGGTCTCTCTTCTAGCTTCTCTGACTTCAGTCTTCAGTTTAGCACAGCTCCCCATCACTTATGCTGCATTGCTTCACTGATTTTGTGACTGATCATCGATCGCCTACAACAAAGTTTTTTAAAATTTACATCTTGAACAACGGGAATCAGAAGAAGCCAAGTTCTACCATTGCTGCCCAGTTGAGATCCAGCAGATGTGATGAGTTCTGTCCATGGGTTTCGAAACAAACCCAAACCTGATCGAAGCAAATACACGCCTGTGTCTGGCCAAGTCCAAAATGTGCAGAATTCGACGGTGTATGTCTTTGGAGAATCGGCTATCACCAAAGATGAGATCAACACGGACGATCGCATCGAGATGCCGGAGCTCCGAACTCGAGGTGGTAATGGTAATGGCGGCAAGAGAAAGAAAAAGACAAAGAACACTGAGGAGGATGAAATGGTGTATGTGGAGAAGGATATCAATGAAGGCGACACATTACAAATATTCTCTCTCCGTTATGCATGCAGGGTAAGAACTAAGTAAGATTAAAAAGGGGCCGATCCTGTAAAAAAAAAAAAAAGGGGGGGGGGGGACGTGGTTAAAAACAAATCTTGAATGAAGTGAGAAAGAAAAAAATATTAAAGATGGAATACCACTTGGGATACCTCTGATAAGCAAAGGAAAACAAGAACAGGTTCAAATTTTCTTAGATTCCTTTTTTGCCTTTTTTCTGGGGGGGGGGGGGGAGGAAGAGGGAAGGGGAAAGGGCGGGTCTAAAAATCAAAATTCAAAAGCAGGAGAGCACAAATAGGGAGGCATATCTTGTTAACAGTACTTGATATGTATATTTTATGTTTCAATGCAGTTATATAATACATTTTGTGATATTTATTTCATTGTATAGTTTATATATTGCTTTACAATGTTCTTTAAAACAAGTAATCTCAACTTAAGTTTATCATATTCCATTTGTCCTTGGAAGGTTAGTGATGACATTGGGAAAAAACTAAAAAGGAATAACTCTCCTATCAGCCTCCTTCCCATGTTTCCATATTATTTAAAGGGTCAAGTATGGCAGAACAACGATCTGGAATGAGTAATGATTTTTTTTTTCATTATTTGTAGGCCTAAAATAAGGTGGTTACCCTGCACTTGACATCAACTTTATAAGGACAATGTTCAGAATGAACGGAAGGGAAGTAATTTACATGTAGATGGTGATCACTGACCAGAGGATTTGGATCAAGTATCACTTTTCCTGTAACAAACTCTACTTTTAAAGGGATCGTTTAACAATGTTAAATCTGAGATGCATGGCCCTACATGTACGTGTTATCAGTGTCTGCGATATGGTGTTATATTGAAGCCCTAAAAAACAATGCGGTTCAAAATGATCAAGAAGTGCCTCAAAAAAGTAAAAACCTTTGAGTGACTGGTTTTACCATACCGTAATTAACGTTGTATAAACCGCCCTTGTGTATTAACTGCACCCCTCTTTTTCGCCAACTTTTTTTTTGCCGACTTAAAAAAAGGTGAGGACCTAGGAAAGAACCTTGTGGTACGCCGTGTAATAGAAGAAAAATTGGAGGAATTATTATTATAAACTACATATTAAATCTATCAGAAAGATTACTTTCAAACCAAGATGACAGACAAATTTGAGTGTTGTTCTAGTTTCCAAGTGGTGAGTCAACACACCGATTACTGAGCTGGGAGACATTGCCAGGCATAGCGCCAGGTGGAGGGCATAAATCAAAACTTTCAATCTTTTTTTTTTTTTTGTGTACCGTGTATAAATCGCTCCCCCGACTTTGATTTTTTTCGGCGGCAAAAAGGTGCGGTTAATACACCGTTAATTACGGTACTCGTTTTCCCCAATAGACTGTAGTGTTATGAAAACCATTTGGCAAACGCAAAATTTGATTTAGATTTTCAATCATAAATATCTTGATAATCAGACAGGCGATCGGCTTGTAAGAGTCATGGTGTTCCTGACTGACCTAAAGGTTAATAATTATCATTGAAGCATGAGCTAAATCAAGGGTTTTATTAAAGGATCTAAAGACAAAGTTACTGAATCCCTTTAAAGAAATAAACTTTACAGCTACTTAGATTTGTGGGTGTTTGATAGTTATCAACTACGATGAAATATATGATTTGATTATGGACCATGGGAATAAGTTAGTATAGTCAATTCTGTTAAGTGCATAGCATGATAGCAGTGTAAATTATATATTTGACATGTCTCTCTCTGCACTTCTTGTTTGACTAGATTTCAGAATTGAAGCGAATCAACAACTTAATAGCAGATCAGGATTTCTATGCCCACCGAACTCTCAAAGTGCCAATGCGACGTGATGGAATTCTGTTGGAGATCGAAGATGACCTTAAAAACCCGGTGGGTGCCTCATTACGCAAAGTTAATCACGCTAAACCTCATCTCGCAAACGGTCACAGACATTCCGACGAAAGCGACCATTTTAGTTCCGACGACAGCCAGACAGAGTTTATCCGGACTATCAGTATACCAGGGTCCTTGGACGGGGAAAACAGGGCTGCTCAGGAGTTCTTTGATAAAATGGATAAAGATTTGCACAATATCTTGGAGAAAACAAGGACTAACAAAGACACTCTGCAAGAGGTAACCTCGGTTCTGAAAGAAACAAGGTTTCGTCCACTCCACTTCCCCAAGGCAAAGTCTGACTGCCCCGATGATGGGGCGACGTTGGGTTGCACCTCTAGAAATATAGTCATTGCTCTTATTATTATCATGGTTATAGGGCCATTGTTAGGATTAGCAATTGTATGGTATCGATTAAAACCAGGGCCATGATTTTTCTTCTTTCTTACAGTATGTTATATTCTGTAGAGATGTCCTTGTTTTGTCTGTATTTCATATTATGCCCCTCTTCTGTCAGTCAGTGTCGCAAATTATACTTTTTATTGCTATCATTAGGTAATTTTTGTAATGTAACCAAATTTATACTGTAAGTGCCTATACAAATTATTTAATTCACCCGTTTCAAATAATTGTATTTCATATTTTTCAGAATGCAAATTGCATGGATTATGTGTTGTTAGGTAGGGCAAACCATAATGTTTGTCCTACCTAGCAACAACTAATATCAAGTTACATTTATGTGTAACAGTTGAATAAAATCATTTGCTATACTATCCCTTTTAAGTTAAGTTGGGGAGGTTTAGGGGGGGTACATGACTGTCTTACAAAAAGCTAGCTTTGTTATTGTAATTCCATGTTTTTTTGTGCCAAAATTAAGCATACAGTGTACAATGGAATGAATTCAATTGGATGTTTAGATTCATTAATGAAAAATCAACTCAGAATTAGGTTTCTATGCTGCTGCCATACATATGTAAAACATTTTTTTTCCCCCTTTTTTTCTTCTTCTTTTTGTAATTGTTGATATTATTAAATCAACAGTAAGATGTTTTGATGATTTGAAGGATTAGAAAATAGAAACTTAATAATAATACAAAGTGTGCTGATCAGTGATGTAGGATCATTATTGATGTGAAAACACCTTTATAACCTGACATTTATCATCAATGTGAATAAATGCATGTTTGTGATAATTTTTTTTTTTTTTTTTGTAAACACTTAACAGTGTACAGGAGTGTGAAATTAATTTATGCAGCCTTAATCACTGTCTTCCTATTACTTTTCTTAGGCAGTTTCAAATTTTGTAAAGCTTAAGATAATCAGTGAAAATTACATTAATGATTAATAATCTTTAATGTAGAAAATGTACATTGTATGTCTAGTAAATTATTTTAAAAATGTATATTACATAGCATTTTTTGTGTTTCTGCTTCCTAATGAAGTTATGGAGATGATATTGATTATAGAAATTTTAATATGGCATACAGTTGTGTAGCAATGGGGGGGGGGGGGGGCATGGAGCACACCTTCTCCATCACACATTGAATTTTGAAAGAAGAAAAAAACTGAGATAAGAAGAGGAAGAAAAGTTCCCTTCCCCCGAATCAACGGCCTTCTTCTGAATAATTTGCTTTTCATTTTCTGAGTTTTAAAGACCTTGTGCCACCGCCAAGCTACATGTACATCTACAAAATAAAACCTGGTGCAACAGACCGATTTACTAACTTATATTCAAACTAATATGGATGTTTCTTTCCTGTGGACCTAGTAACACTTATTCCATTTTTGTTACCAATGAATGAATTGCAATACTTGGAATCAAGTCTGCATACCTTTAGTGTTGCTTTGTTGGGCAAGCATCATGCAAGCTGTCAGGTTGTCAAGACAAGTTTTGTTTTCAAAGTATGCATAAAATTTGAATATATTAGTAAACTGGTCTATTGTTGCTGAAACCCTGTCAGCTGACTGTGTGTTCCTCTTCGTACTGGTCAGATGTACAGGTAGGTTGGTTGTTGAGCAAAAGTAAATGGCCACGAAATTCACTATAAATGCTTAATGTAGTCTCTTCTGTTACTCATTCACTTATCACTACCACATGATGGCCTGTCCTTATGTATTTAATTTTGATAATCTTGTGCAATAACAGGTAAATCTGGTGATTCAAAATTTCTCTGGCGACCTTTGCTCTTTGCTTCATGTCATTAAAGATATAGGGTACTAGCTTACAGATACAATTTTTAGTTTTACACGTAACGATATAGTTTATGGGTTATACATCAGTCAAACCATTAGAGAGCCAAGTTCGAGGCCATTTGAAGCCGGATAATTTAACCTTTTGTTTGATCTGTAGTCGAGTCCCGTATCAATCTTGGTGCAAGTGGAGAATTAGGATGTAGGGTCCATGGGTGTAGTGTAGGGTCCTTGGCTGAAGTTGGAAACCAGGGTTAGAAATTGATCATCATCATGTCCTCTCGGGACTCTAGGGAGTAAGAATTATTACCCTGTATTTCAAAATGTACGTTAGTGGCCTACATGTATTATAGGCAGTAAATGATGGATGTCCACGAGATTTTACATTACATGTAATTCCTCAGGATAAAGTTTTTTATGTACAAGTTTAATTGTGCCATGTTTAGTACCACATACGGTTTCTCAATGAAATTAATTCGTACAGTCATCTCGTAAGTTTCTTTACAGTATTTAATTTTGTTTTATTTTATTCAGAGTAATCCTTTTTTTTTAATACTTTTTTTTAATACTTTTTTAATACTTTGAACCCTCATTTTTAAATAATAGATTAGAGCAGTCCCACTTTGAACCTTTTAATAGGCTTTATGTTTTTTGTAATATTTTGATGCTTTACACGATAGCTTGATAATACTTTTTGAACTTTAACTTTATAGTCAGCAAGCACAATGCAGACAAAATCCTTTTGTATAAAAACTGGATGATTTATCAAATAATATCCTTTAGAAGGTATCCCAATAGAGACTAAAATGACACACAAGTTGCAAATCTTTAAATGGCACTTCTCGTTCTTAGCTGGTGATCAACAAAAAAAAAGATTTTAAAAAAAATTGTACATGTTTTATTGTCCCAGTAGGTAAACCCCACCTTCTTAAAGACTTCAAATCCTGTATACATGAAATTATTCCTCCCACTGCTAGTGATGTAAACTGACTGCCTCCTGTGAATTGAAATCATTGGCATGTACCCACAATGTTTCTCCATGAAGGATAGTTCATTCTCTACAGAAAAATCATGTATTTGTACAGTTCATTAGACTGTCAAAATATAAATATTGATTATACTTGTATGAAGAATGATTGGAGTAGATTATAACTTGCGCTATGCCTATCTATGGGATAAGAAGTGGCATATATGGTACATGTATACAACAATTGTACAATTGATTTATTTCTTCGTTTCCGGTTTGATTTTATTTCATTTCCAGGAACACAAAAACGTATTACAATCTCAAAGAATACAAGAAACTGAGATAAGATAGCAAAAGAAAAGAAACCATCAGCTAATGACTGGATAACCAAAATCAGGCCTGATAAAAACCTGATTTAAATCGGTTTCCCAATTTTTTTATATTTTTAACCCAATTTTTTCTCTCTTGTTTTCTCTATTCCCTATTTTCCCCTATTATTTTCCCAATTTTTCTTACTAAAAAGGGGGGGGGGGGGGAGATGTTAGATGCCATTTTTTCCACGAATCCTCCTTTCTTTTAGTGCTCACTAACACCCCTGCAAAATATAAGTTCATGAAGAGTTCTTCCTCATTACTGATGGCATGGCATGTTTGATAATACATGTAGCACTTAAATACATGATGGTAGTATAATGATCATTGCGTGAAACCTGATATCTTTTAGTCCTAATTTCTGAGGGGTTTTACAATAAGCTGGTGCCAGCCATATCCACGGTAGATTTGTGAATGGTGTAGAAAATCATACATTTCTGAACAGGTCTTGCGTTAGGGTATTTTATATTTTAATTATGTACCGGTGTGTTATGTTTACCAAATAAATGAATAGATAAGCACTGAAGATAAATATTTGAAAAATTCTTCTTGCTGTTGAGCCAAAGGTAATAGCAAATGAAATTAAAAACATAGATAAAAACAAAGATAAAATCAGCGGTTCTCCCTTCTTCTCGTTTTGACCCAAAGCAAAGAAGACAGGAAGCCAGATGTCCTTGTCAGTTTGTGAATGAATAAATTAAATAAATGTGGTTAGAAATATCATTAGATACCATACTGTGTTGAAACAGCTGGCCTTTCATACAGCTCCCATTGTGTAACTTCTTCCATGATCAATGACTCAAACAGTGCTGGAAAATTATTTATGCATGCTGAAAACGTTGCCCATCCAAATAATTTTTATTCGAAGGGCATTACATATAACACACAAAAGCTATATTAAAGCCACACTGTCCTACTTGTAGCTATTTGCTCCCTCTATATAGAAAACAATACCTAATCGGTGACCATTGGTCACCCATGATCCTCTTTTTCTTATGTTAATTGAGAGCTGAGTTGATGAGATAACCACCTGTCCAGTGACCTTGCAGGGTGGTCTAATCCCTCCTATAAACTAGTACAGATAAGTTTTAAAGTCAATAAATTCTCAATCTTTATGGATTTTCATTATTTCATTTTCATGCTTTCTTTGATCATGTTAAATTTTGTAGGTTACTAAATGAGAAGCATAGATACTAATATATGTACAGTGTACATGTGTATGTCATTATGTTGATGCATTATTTTGATTTATGACTTTACATACACTAAAGCTGTAATGATATCCTCTACTTTTTTGTTGTCCTTTTATTTTAATTGCAGTACTTTTATGCACTTCACTAGCTGATTCAATTAATCATGTGAAGACGCATAGAAACAAAAGTTACTTTAAGGAAACGGGATGCACACAGTGTATGAGAAAATGAAGTTGCCAAAGATATACTGGTAATAGAAATTGAAATAAATTATACCAATATTTTTCCTGCCCCTTCACAAATAGCTACATGTAATTCCCTTTTGCATTATTGTTATATATGGACATTCATTTTTTTAGTAAATATATGTGCAGGGTCTTACTCATATCTCTATAATTAGTGAAATGTTGTTAACATCACAAAATAAAGTTCAAATAAATAAGCCCCCAGAAGCAGTGCTATAATTGTAGGGAGCATGGACTCCTGGAGGCACATGCACCCCCCTTCCATGAACGACAGGGTTAATGGAGGACGGGACATAAAGAAAGGGAGAGAGAGAAAGAAAGAAAGAGGGAAGGCAGCTAAGAAGAAGATGATTATATCCCTTCTGCATTATTCCTTACCTCACTCAACAACCTTATTCTTCCACATTTCATCTGCCAAAATTGGGGTCTCCCCCCCCCCCCATCCCTCTTCACTAAATGCTGTTCAGATTTATTGAAATCAACAATTTGTTCATTTTCGAAATTTGCTTTTAACAAAAATCTTACTTCGACCCTGATTATGAGGATTTCATTATACGTAATTAAAGTAATTATAATTATCTTTTTTTTTAATTCACTTTCTCTTTTTTGCTCTTCATAAAATAATGTTGTTGTGCTGTTGAACTATTGTATGTGGAACGCAGGGTATATCACGTGTGGTTTCCGACCACAATGTTAGGAAAAAGTGAACGATGAAAAACTTTGTAACAAACAGCCCCATGTGGAATTGAAATACATAGATGTTTATGTGCACATTGATGTATATGGAAGGGTAGGTGCAAGGTATTTTATCCTGTAATCACCTGTTACCACCTTCATTTTACTTGAACAGATTTTATTGTATTAAATTAATAGCCTGCTATAGCTTGGTTCAGACTTAACATGATGGATCAGATTGAATAAGAAAAGTACTTTAGCTGTTAGTGCTCAAACTGCCCATCATTCTATGCTAAGCAGTAATGTATGGGATGCAAAATTGCCAAATTTCTTGGACTTGCTAAGAAATGTAAAACAACTAAAGTTTGTATGATGTATTTTTTTTTTCATCATTATTTTAAAATTGTACAATCGTTTTATCACAATCATGAATTTGCAGTTACATAGAGAACTTGAAATGTGTATGAAGTCAGAGTCAGTACCATAAACTTAAAAATCGTTTGCTCCGAAAATAGTTGGAATGGGTTGTACAACGTGATTGCTCTGGCGACAATTGCTCCGCAGTCGGTATCCTACACAAAACCAAAATGTCAACTTCGACCCTGGACCAAACTTAATTCCAGACTCTAAACCTGACATAAAACCTGATTGCAACCCTTGCTGATACGCAACAGAAATGAGCTTTGAGCAATTTGAAGCGCCATTAGAATGGGCTGAAAGCTACGACTTGGGTGTTCCTAACCCATTGCGTACAGGAACTGCATGGTTTCTGTTTTAAGCCATGTGGAATACATGTAGGTACCAGAGTAAAATGAGAGTTCATTTTGTCTCTTGTATGAACAGTATGTACCTCCTAATATGGACCTGTATTGATATTTGTGCCTAATCACTTGAAATTGCTATTTTTCATGTCTCTCAATTTCTCTCCTTTTTCCCTCCCTTCTCTCTTGCTCTCTCTCTCTCTCTTGCTCTCTCTCTCTCTCTCTCTCTCTCTCTCTCCCTTCCCTCTCTCTCTCTCTCTTTATATCCCTCACTCTCTTCATATTCCCTCTCCCCTGTCTATCTCTCTCTCGCTCTCTTCCTCCCATCCCTCTCTCTTCATCATATCCCCCTTCCCTCTTTCTCTAATTTCATACCCCACTTCCCTCTCTCTCTCTTCCTCTCTCTCTCTTTGTAATTGTTATCATGGATGATGATGAGGCTCATGCCTTCCTGTAATGCAAATTTGCCATGTCTATTTTATTCTGTATGCCTTATACTAACTATATCCTGCACTCTGTTTCTTATCAACTATTTTTAACCTGAATTTTGAAATTGTCAATCAGAAGAGTAAGTTGTAATTGAAGCATGTAACTCTAGTCAACTCTCTTCTTGTAATATAAAAGTGAATCCTTGTATTCCAAAGAGATTATATATTATTAAAATCAATTATGTGACAAATCTAACTTGGTTTTCTCTTATTCCCTTTCATGTGTGTATTCAAAAATGTTAAATAAATTTCGGAAGGTTGTGTGGATCAGTAATGTGGAACCAACTCCAGAACGAGTTCCATGGGGTCAAGGGAAATTACGGAACTAAAAAAAATTGAATACAACAAATACAAAATAGTCCTTAGACGTAAAGTCAAGCTGTTTGGAAACGTCGAGCCACTCCTACTACCCATCCTCTCCAACCGGCACTGTAGTTCTCTTTAGAACTATAAGCTAAAGAAAGATTACCAACAGTCCTTTTCAGGACTACACACACACTCAAGAAAGAAAGATTACAGACGGTCCTTTTCAGGACTCCCCAATCCCCCCCCCCCCTCTCTCACAAGGTGCAACCGTAAGCCTACTGTACACCATGCAAGCTGATACTTATAAGCAGCATCTGACAAAATACAATTGACAATGTTATTAAAAATAGAATTTGATATAAAAGTGTTCTTTATTAAGAGATTTCACTCTAGTCATACATTCTATCCTTCATCTGTTTGAAGCCACAAGAGTGCTATATCTGTGTTACAGTATATGGGTTAACACTCTTAGAGGCTGTTCACACCGGCAGAGATAGTGCGCGCTAGACCGCGCTATCTCTGCAGTTTGGAAGGTACAACGTCGTTTCGGTAAGCCCAACAGCGTGCCACTGGAGCACCTCTTGGGGGTGGTCCACGAGAGATAGCGCGGTCTAGTGCGCGCTAGAAAAAAGGGGGTGCTACGATAGACCGCGCTATCTCATTGCGGTGTGAACAGCCTCTTAGATGATATAATGCCTCTTGATGGTTCCAAATGTACATAACAATAAATCTTTTAAATTCTGGTGATGACAGATAATATAAGTACACGGATTGCAACCAAATTTACACTGAATGTTCAATACCACAAATTAACAATATCTAGGATTTGACTTTGGTATCTAAAATAGCTAAGGAGCAAAGAAAGATGAAACAAATCAAGCTTGTAGTCCTGACCAAGTGACGAGCAGTAGAACACTTGGTTTTATAATGTGCTCTGTCTGATTTCCAGCAATTTTTTTTGTTTTAATTTCTTAACAAACTATATTTCTTTTGTACGATAAATATTCAGAATTATTTTCTCCAGTTTTTCCCTGGTGGGGGGGGGGGGGGGGGGGTACTCACATATAAGGACATATGGGGGTATGGCACTATAATGGGTCACATTTTCACAAAAAATCCCTAAACATGGGTCCCACTTTTAACAAAACTACCATTAAAAATGGGTATGTTTTTAACACCCGAAAATTGTGGAAAATAAGATGAGTCTTTTTTCGAGAAAAATGACCCGTAATATTGGGTAGGGGTTTCGAGGCTTGAGCGGCACACCCCCATCCAAACCAAATCTGAGTATCCCCCTGGGAGTTTTTCTTGAAATGCATTTCTGTCATAAGAGCTCAAGATTACATAAGCAAATTTTTTTTTCTTCAATTTTTTACTTGGAACTATCAAAACAAAAATAATAAATATGACTCCAGCGCACAACCATTCAAGGATGCAATGAATTTAAAATACTATGCGTAAACAACTTTAGTTTCCACTTACTTTTTATTTTATTGCATAATACAAATTTGGCATATAGACAATACAGAACAGCTTTAGTGGAAAAACAAAAAATGTTTTGAACATGATTGTGTGGCACTTGTAGACAAATTTCATGAAAGTTTCATTTATTCAAGAGTTTTCAACAAATTATAATCAGGCAAACCTTCATAAACAAATTGCATGTATCTTTCATTTGCTGACTTGAAACTGGTCCCTATTTTCTCTCTTTATTTTTATGTATAACTCCCCTATTCATACCTTTATTCTCTTTCTCTCTCTCATATTGTTGACTTTTTTTTCTCTCTCTCTATTTCTCTCTTTCTCTCCTTCCCTCTTATTTTGTTGACTTTTCTCTTTCTCCCTCTCTCTCTCTCTCTCTCTCTCTCTCTTTCTCTCTTTCTCTCCTTTAGATACAATGCTTTTGCTCAATATATGACTCACATATTTCTATAACCTGTCTTTATGTTCTGAATAATCAGTGAATCATTCAGAATCAGTCACAGTGCCAATTCCATCACTACCCCTGCTCCAATCTGTCAGCTTTTCTCAAAATCTCACCCAGCAGTTTTTGATGCTCTACATTAGTTTGTTATAATGTTTCCATACCAAATCACCAACTAAACAGTAATTGTATGACTCTGGAGACTCCTGCTATTTTTTTAAACTTCAAATTTAAATCATTGGTAGTGCAACTCTCTGAACAAACCAACAGAGAGGTTTTGTGAGAAATCCTACACCATACTACCTATTAGCAATTCCTTATCCCCATGGTAATGGCATGACTCTGTGGAGTCTGGAAGAGAACATCTTGTGATTTTTTGGGGTTAAACTTCAACTTTAAATCAGTGGTAGTTCAACTCTCTGCACAATCCGACAAGAGAGGTTTTGGGCAAAATCCTACACAAAACCCATACATGCCAACCTTCCAAAGCAAAAATTAGGAATCAATCAAGGCAAAATTAGGAATACAGTCATTTTGTATACTTTTGCACACAGACATTTTGACAAAAGAGAGGAATCTAGGATCCATAACATTAGTTTAAGGGCCAAAAAGTAGAAATAATTCCTCGAAAATAGGAATGGTTGGCAGCTATGCATACCATCTTTTGGCAATTCTTTGAAAGCCCAGGGAAACATCACAGCTGGAGTTACAGTGTGCTTGTCAGTTGTGTTCCACTGACATCACAGACTCACATCTGGAGAACTACATCAAAGCTATCAGATCATTTTAAGCATGCAGTAAGATCAGTCAAGTTGAATGGTGGTACAGTCAAACCTGTCTACAGCGACAGCCCAAGGGAAACACAAAAAGTGGTCTTTGTAGACAGGTGGTCTTTGTAGACAGGTTCCTTTAGTACATATTTCAATGAGAAACCAATTTTAAGGGAAACAAAAAATGTGGTCCTTGTAGACAGGTGGTCACTAAAGCAAGTTTGACTGTATAACCATACTGATGGAATGAGCCATCAAATAAAGTATCAGTCTTCTCCTACAATTTCGCACCAAATGCTCCTGTTCTGCCGCTCCTACCATAATGGTAACTGTGTCTGTGTATCACTTCAGCGCATTGGTGCTTTGTCTCATCTCACTCCTGCCGGGAGCAGCATGCTTCCATCTGTTTCACATGCACTGATGTGGTGTTGTCATGGTAACACATCAGTAGGTAGGTCCATCATCACCCCCATCATCTTCATCAATGTAATCCTCACCGGGATCAAAGTAATTGGAGATGTAGTCCGTACCCTGGTGACAAAAAAAAAAACAATAATTAATTAAATTAAAATTATGGATTCTGTTTTGATTCAATGAAATCTTTACCATCATACCACACTATATGTATACTTTTCAGGGTTTTTTTTTTATGAATGCTAAAATATTATTGTACACAAAATGATAAAGGAAATTGTTATCCTAACGGCCAATTTCTTAACCGTATTCTTTACTTCAACCACAGACCTAACCTAACCCCAACTTAACCTCAATTCCAAATCCCAACCATAACTAAAGCCCCAACACTTTACATTTGAAAAACAATAGCCCCAAGAAATGTAATCTTGGTATATATCAAATCACCTAATATACTGAATATCTTGAGAGGTAATATCAAAGTACATCTCCAGGAATCTACCAAATATATGTACAGTGAAACATGTATAATTATAAAGTCTGCTCAAGGGTAACATGAAAAGTGGACTTTACAGGCAGGTGGTCTTTTTGTGCAGGTTCCATTAGTATAGGTTTCAATGAGAAACCATATTAAAGGGGAATGAAAAATGTGGTCTTTATAGACAGTTGGTCGCCAAAACAGATTTGATTGTAGTACTGTACAACAATGATGCCTATTGCAAGAAGACGTCAAAAAGGAACTCTAAGTTTCCTAAGGAGGGATGGGGATAAAAGTGATTTCAATGTGTATTCATTTATCAGTGTAATCATGAGATACATTGACAAATATACATGACAACAAGAAATCTCAAGACAAAACCTACCTCTTCCTGTTCTTCTTCATCATAATATTCCTCTGCATCTTCTTCTTCTTGTCCTTCCTCTTCTTCTTCCTCCTCTTCTCCAGACTTGGTACCATCTTCTTTCTTTTCCAACTCCTGACACATGGAATATGGAAATGGGAAGTTTCATATTTTTAAAGAAATCATACAAAGTAGAAGAGTAGATATGTTCGCAATGTAAAGAACCAACACCGAGATCTCTGGCTTGTAGTCATATGAGAGTGATTAAATGTAACTGGCAGTTTAATGCTGTTCTAAACCATTGACAAACATTTATGAAGAGAATAAACAGTTCTTATAACAAGTAAGTGAAAAGGCAGAAACACTTTTGAAATAAAATTGCCCAAATACAAAAGAACAACAATACCTAGCCAAACAACATTAACATTTTGTTGTATATTGAATCACAATCATTTGAGTCCCAGATGTATTTATATATTTTCCTTTTTATGTTCTTGTTTTGTTGTTTTGTTTTCACAAACAGGTGGAATCCATTTTACAATCTCTGTATTCACATTCATCTGATTCTCACAATGACTCTTTTAATTTGTTTTGTTGCTTATTTAAAAGTAAAGACAAGTATTGCCTGCCAAACTTACATCCAACTTTTTGATGACTTCTTCATTAATCTTCTTTGAAACTCTGGCAGTGGATAATGATGGTTTCACTGAGCCTGAAAAGTGATGAGAGGGATAACAAGAACACACAATTATCCAACATTTATTTATACTATTTCTTCTAAAAGGTAAAGTGCAATAATAGGCTATCCTTTTTCTCTTCTATTACTTTCCTTCCTTCCTTTCTTTCCTTTCTTTCTTTTCCATCTCCTCCTCCTCCTCCTCCTCCTCCTCCTTCTTCCTCCTCCCTCCTCCTTCTTCCTCCTCCTTCCTCCTTCCACTTCATCTTCTTATTTTTCTCCTAATTCAACCAATCCAAAAAGATCTCTCTGTCTGTCCCTAGCCATCATGGCAAGATCCTGGAAAAATGATCAGCCCATCTTGGCAAGATTCAAGGATAGCTTCATTGGTACTCTTCTACACTCTATAGTTACTTTTCAAAAAAGTTCTTTTTATTTAAACTTCTTATTATTGCATGACTTATAAAGACAAAGCAAATACAACTTTAGGCTGAACTTACCTGCTGACTTTGGTGGTCTTGCTTTTCGAGATACTATCCTCAGCTCTTTAGGAAACCTTTTCCAATCTGGATGCCATCCTATACCATTATCCCCAGAACCAACTTGATACTTGTCTGAATAACGTTCAATATCTATAGATGGAAAAACAGAAGAGTTCTCATACTTACTGTCAGTACATCTTTGATTTACAATGTAATAAATATTCAGTCAAAAAATCTAGATAGCTATAATATAATTCAATTCATCCTTAAAATATTAAAGCGAAAATATTGCAAATCAACTTTTTGTCAATTACCAAGTGCTCTGTGGTGGTTACGCCTGAAGTTCTGAATTATGAATAATCTCGGTACCGCACTACAAAAACAGTGTTTGCTGCTGATGACCTGATGCACTTTGGTAACTCGATCATCTCAAAGTAAAATAAGGAGAAAATCCTCATAGGGTTATACTTTATCTGTTTTTACATTTGAATTCATTTCATTTTTTATTAAAGACAACACTATCTTTGTAAATCATATTAAAAAATGGAGAGGAGATGGGGGAAATCATGAACGTCAAGAGACTTGTTGGTAATGATTCCCTTTGAATAAAAACCTGCTTTATAAACATTGTTTTACTGTGACAATTAATATTATTTTGATGATTAACCATTAACTATCAATATGATAATATGTACCTTTCTTCTTGTTATGAGGTTTGATGCAGTAAGGTGAATCCCTCATGTGACCTCTGAACTCTTGTTTGAGCAGGTACATGTAATTGTCCTCCTCATTCTTGGGGAGAGGTGCGGGAGAAAATTCCAGAGGCTGAAATGACATAAAACAATTAAATGAATAACATTAGATTATGATCAGTCTTTACAATGGAAACAAGTCATTTGTTTAAGGCTAAGTTAACGGATGCCATGACATGGCAAGCGCAAGCCAATGCTAGATCTATGTCATGTCAACTGGTCACGACTCAACGATTAAGTTTAACCCACTCCAGCAAAGCATAGATAGGCAAATTCATGCAAAAAAATATATTAAAAAAATTGACTTGAAAACACATCACACAATTAGTCTGAACCGAGTCAGGAGCAAATTTGAAGAAATTATATTTTTAAATGTTGTAAAACCAAAGATATAAGAAGAAAACTGACCAAGTATCTATACTAAAAATCGTACATGTAAAATTGGTCGTAGACTTTCGACAGCTGAATATGACGCGCACGGTTGCATTACGTGCATTCTCGAATCCAAAATCGTAACTCACACACACACTCTCGCCATACCGCGAATGGTCCGTCGTGGGGAGCTAGCCGGCAGAGAGTTTGCAGCGATACCAACGCAGCTTCGGAGCTCCGCAGCGCGCCATTATGATTTTAGCGGGACTCGGAAAGGTTTGCGATGGGAAGGCAGCGGCCTAGCTTTTTGCCCAAACAACGCTAGATCGGCTGCTGCCAAAATGAAAATAACTACGATCGAGAACATCGTCGGTTTCTTAACTTTTCAGTGAGATAATTCTGAATTCTAATTGAGACTATATAATAAATTAAATCGACAAAGAAACCTCGATAGAACTCTTATAACTATACAAAAGCTTGTTTATTTCTTCATTTGACATTTTGTTTTCGACCATTTTTTCGTGCGCGAGTCAATGTAAACTATGTATTACCAAACTTTCAACACGCAAGGAACGGGGAACACTCGCGGACCTCGTAACAAATTTGTTGCAAAAAAAAAATTTCAAGGGTGATTTTGAAGCAGTGAAGAACATTGGCGCTGCAATGCGCAGAAATATACTTGAAAGAAACTTAAAAAATAATACCTGAATTTTCAGAAAATCGTATTTGTATTTATAGTGTACCTAGATGTGACTTGTTTATAAATCAGATTTTATGAAGATTTGTCGGGAAAAAATGTCAATTTTTTCCGTTTGGTGGACATTTCTAGGCTAATATTTTAAAAGTTGCATCAGTAATGGGCCCGATGTTTCTCTTATCGTACTCGCATGTTATTTCTACATAGATTAAACATAGGATGGTTAAGGGTAAGACCAGATAACATTATAAAAAAGATATATCCTTCCACCCTCCCATATCCAAGTTTTGGGCTGATTATTGCCGACCCACCGCAGCAAGGCCATTCAGATTTTCGTACGCGCCCAAAGCGCCCTCTAGTGCCCCATGAATGTGCCTAGCATAGAGTCAATGCGAATGTGTATTGACCTGATGACCTCTCTAGCGCTGTACTACGTGCTGAGAGGCAGCAATTACACACAATACACACACTACACACAATTCCACACTCATGCACACAATGAATAGGTGGCTGATCGTCAACTAGACTCACGTCACAGGTTTTTAATACACAGCCAGCGACAGGATAGAAATGCAGCTATGTGTGCGATTAACCAACATAATCTGCAACATGTGGGACTCACAGGAAAAAGTGGTGGTGGTTGTGCCGTGGGAGGTGGCAGTGCTTCACCTCCTCTTCCTAGCCCAAGGGCATCAGCAGCAAAAGAAGATCCTCGACCACGTCCTCGTCCTCGACCTCTACCAGCCATGATGAAATTAGAGTTTTAATTTAATTTTAAAATAGGAAATAGTATTGTCGTAGTTTCGTGTCTCCGCAAAAATCGAGATATGGTGTCTTTAAAAAGACAGACGGAAAAAGGAAAAGCTTATATCATCACAAAATATACCAGAATCGCTAAACAAGGCACGCAAACACAGTAACACTGGTCTAACAAAAAGTACAGTCCATTGAAATTTAATGTAACCTCTCTTGTTATCGCAGAGGCGGACGGAGCAAGGGTACAGGGGGGCACATTGTCCTTCCCCTGCTTTTTCAAGTACCCTTAAAGTGCCCCTTGAAAGGTTCCCCCTTCTTATTTTTAATAGATGCCCGTTCCACAAACTAGTGCCTCTTACCATATCTGAAAAGTGCCCCGGCCCCCTTTACCTATGATAATTGCCCCTATTCATATCTGACAGCTAGGTACCCATTTTACTTTAACAAGTGCCATTTTCTTTTATAATAAGCGCCATTCCCCTTTTGCAAAGTAATCCCTTTTATTTTGACAAGTGCCTTTTTTCTTTCTGATAAATGGCCGTTTTCTTTTTTAATATAAGAGCCACTCCCCCTTCTCATCAATATGCCTCTTCTGATACATCTTATCATGGGCGTATCCAGGATTTTTCAGAGAGGGGGTGTTTAAGGTAGTGGAGGATCCAGGATTTTCCTATAGAGGGGGCTGAAATTTTAAAATCCCGCCGACCGGAATTTCGCTCAGTGGGGGGGGGGGGGGGGTCCCTATACGAAACATGGAAGCTTTAACGTTTCATTAATTATTAGAGAAAGAAGACGATTCGTTGTACAGTTCTTGACTCTTAATCCTTGTCTGAATTCAGAGTCCCCCCCCCCCCCCCCCCCCGCCTCCAGGGCGAAGCTTTGACGTTTCATTAAATTATTAGAGAAACTCTTCCCAGGCGCGGATCCAGGATTTCTTAGGGGAGGGGGCCCAACTTTTTTTTTTTTTAGCTCCCGAAAATTTGAAAATTGAGCCGGCCGAAAATTCGCTCAGTGGGGGGGGGGGTAGTGAGCACATTTTTTTGGGGGGGGGTCCTCGAAAATTAAAAAAATTGCACCCCCCCCCCCCTTGAGCGTCAGGGGGGGGGGGCCGCAAAGCACGGAAGCTTCAACGTTTCATTGAATTATTATTAGAGAAAGAAGACGATTCGTTTTCCGGGGGGGGGTGTAGTGAGCACTACATATTTTTTTCTTTTTAATGTATCTGATAGATACCTCTATTAAAATATCATAGGTGCCCCTTTTTCTTCGACAAGTGCCCATTTTGTCGTTTGTAATAAGTGTCCCTTTTCATTCTCACAAAGTGCCCCTATTCAACTCAGGTGATTGCCCCTTTTAAGTTACAAGAAGTGCATGCCCCTTACTATCTCAGATAAGTGCCCCTTCATCTCTAATAATTGCCTCTTTTCAAATCTGAGAGGTGCCCATTATACTTTGACAAGTGCTTCCTTTTCTTTGTATACCCTCTTTTCATTCTTGCTCTTTTTCATCCCCTCTGTGCCTTTATTCAAATTTGAGAGGTAATAAGTGCCCCTTTTCATCTCTGATTAGTGCCATTTTCCTTCTGATAATTTCCTTCCCCCTTTCCCTTGTAATAATTAAGTGCCCTTTTCCGTTCTCATGTGTGCTTTTTGTTCATCTCTGGTGAGGGCCCCTTACCAGAAGCGAGATTTGCCCTATTTTCACCTCTGGTAATTCCCCTTTTTACTTTGACATGTTTTCTTTTTCTTTTGTAGCTAATAAGTGTCCTTTTCCCTTTGAATATGTGCCCACCTCCCCCGGCCCCCCCCCCCCCACTCAGTGTTATTTAGGGTACGCATATGCTCGTACCCTCTTTTTGAAAGCACCACCTATCTGAGGACTGCCAACATTTCCGAACCCCCCTTTCGATCGCGGGCTTTTCGCAGGCTTTTCCTGCCTTGGAGACCCCCCTAATTCAGGAAAAATGCTCAATGTACCCACTAAATTCGGAATAATTTCTCAGGAGTCCAAAGGGATGAGAGAAAAAAAGAAAAACACCCCTTTTTAAAGAAATCTCCGGGTGAAAAGTCAAATGCACCCCTTTTTTTACAATTCTCGGGCCGGACTTTGACGCACGAAAAGTACCCCTTTACCGGACATTTTGGCAACACGCATGCGGTCATTCCGACCTCTGAGTGGGGGCCGGGGTGCCCCCCCCCCTCCACCATTCCTTTTACCCTGGGGGGCAGTTACCCCCCCCCCCCCCCATCAAACGTGGTTTATTTCGAATTCGATACCATGTAATTTACAAATGTTGCTGAATGACATGATTTTCCGGGGTTTTCTGCCCAAAAAAGTATTTGCTCATAAAAATCAAGATCAAGCCACTGCAGTATCTTGGACCATGTAAAGAGAGAAATAAGCATTGAAACTAAATATTCATGATGATGTGATCACAATATAGGATTATATACCAATGCCCAAAGATTGTACTATTTTCGCTTTGAGATTCCCCTTTGTAGAGGGCCCCTTTTTTTCTCCAGAAAGTGCCCTTTTTGGGTCCCCCCCCCCCCCCACTAGACGCTCCGCTGCCCATGTGTTATCCTGAATATCTCTCACATTGACCATTAGGCCTACTGATCTCCAGACATTAATTAACGATGAGCAGCATATCAAAATAAGATTGTCAATATATCAATGAATAAATGGATGAATGAATGAATGAACTTAAATGAATGAGTGAATGATATAGCGGGAACCCAAGAAGATTTGAAATAAGGTAACAAGCAAGCAAGCAAGGCCAGAAGTCGGACGGTGCGGATCGATAAGGAATAAAGTATCTATAACGAATAAAGAAAAGAAACGAAATGAATAATCGAAACTTACGAAATTAATCTTTTAAATACAGCTATGAATATCGAGGTATAAAAAAACAGGTAAATGTCTATTTAGCTCAGACCTATTCCAATAAAAAAAATCCTTTGTTTCTACGTGCATTTTCAACTAAAATAAACTGACAAATTAGCACTCTGACGGAAACTCAACCTGTCACCCAATTGTGGCTATATGTATCTTCCAAATTTGTTAAAAAACAGAATTTTGGCATAAGCAACTTAAATAAAAAGAATGACCAAAAATAATTCCCGTTGCACACATTTATAATAACATCAGTGCTATATGTCTCTCAATACTCGTATTAATTTCTTTACTCCTGGGAAATCAATATGCTACTTTTTGCCCCTCTGCCTCCCTGACTTTTATGATGAAAATAATTAAGATAAAGTAGTACAAGAAGATAGACCAAGAAGATATAGATCTTGAAGCTCGACTGCTGTCTCATGGATTCTTGTAGTAGTTGCGGTAAAGGTAAAGGTATTGTCACTTGTCTGACATATTGCTTGGGGTCCAATTCTAGTAGATTTTTAAAGACAAGAACAAAACGAGGATGGCGAGCGAGAGAAGAGACGTCCATTTTTCATCTCCTGCTCCCCCTCCCCCCATTAAAAGGGAGAACCTGTCAAGCAGGGGGGAAGGTTATCGAGGAAATGAGAGGCAAATCACTGCCCTAAAAAATGTTTTCTTTCATATAGTAAAGAAACAGAGGAATTAATATAAGAAAAAGAAGAAATTGAAGGAAACGAAGAAAGAGAATAATGTACATGCAGGAGTTAAGAAAAACTTTAAGAAATCAAATAAAATTTTGTTCGTTTACAGATACCATGAATAGTAACTTTTCAATGCAATTCTCAACGGACATTAATTAGAGAAAATTCGAGGGAAGCTTACTCTGCGAAATCGTATTTCTCGCTCGAGACATCGACCATTGCTGCTTAATTTAGAGTCATTCTTGTGTGGTAAGACTTTGGTTGTGAACTTATTCAAATTAACATGAACATTCTGTGTTGTGAGTAGTCTAGTGGTATGGATAAGCAGAGCAAAATAATGTGCAATATCTAAGTAGTCTACCGGCCCGGCATTTCTGTCGCGCCTTGGGCTGCCTGCTAGGGATGGATGCCGGATGCTGCGATGGGCGGTCGTGATTGTAAGATGAGATGGCAAAACAACATTTACATTTGTCGAATTTTTTGAAAATTGACATTTTAACGTTTTTTGTGTTGCCAGTCTGAAACTTACTTTGCGATATTAAATAGCGCCTAATATAGCATACAAAGGTGCATGCAATGAGTTCATTTAGTAACCTGGCATAAAAATGCAGAAATATAATCATGAACTAGGGGTCTAGAGTCTATGAAGAAAAAAAAGGGAATCAATTGAATTTATTAATCAAAGTTAGACCCCTACAGGTCTAGTTAGTATTGAAATTTTTTGGTGAAGATAGTCATAATTGACTGGTTTCATTGAATACATTCCCACTAAACTCTATTAATAACCAAATTTGGACATGGTATTTATAGGTGGCAACTGCACGTTTGTTATTTGTAGATTCATTGGTGAACAAACAATGGCTGATGTAGTGGAGAAACCAGAGGGCAAAGCCGATGCATCGGGCGACCCCAGCAGAGTCCAGGAAGTTACCCCAGGCAGTGACGCCAATGGTGACCAAGCCAAGCAGACTGCTGTTGACGGCAGCCAGATATCCACGCCCAAGGAACCGCTGCAAGAGTCTGATTCGGTCGTTAACGATGATCAGGAGAAAGAAGAGGTCTCTGGGAGTGGAGACGGGGAGGAATGGTTGGATGTTCTAGGGAGTGGCAAACTGAGGAAGAAGGTTCTCAAGGCTGGTCAAGGAGAGGCCGCTCGGCCTGACAGGGGTATGGCCATGACTGTGAGGTACAAGGGCATGCTCGAGGATGGAACAGAAGTCGAGGGTGAAGAAAAGGCCACTTTCACACAAGGAGAAGGAGAAATAGTACAAGGTTTGTTGTGATGTACAGTGTAAATTAAAATAGCAAGAATAGTTTGCAAAACAACAAAGAGGTTGATCCTGTTTTATTCGTGCTTATCAAGATTAGACCCCATTGGGTTGTATGCTTCCATTTATTATCTAAGTAGAATGTCTGAACCATTGTGATAGTTCAACCATATACAGTACATGTAGTCTGAGTTTTAAGCATCCATCCAAACCTATAGAGTGCAGTATATGTTTTTCTTGAGCTGTTGAATTCTGTATTAAATGGACCTTTTACAAGACTGTATCCTTGTCTCTCTTGAGGAGTCTATAAATATCATCTACTGTATGATTTGCATGATAACTGTCATTATCTTGATTCACTTTAAAATGCTCTATAACCCCAAGATCTGCAAAAGCATCAGTAACATTTCTTTTTCTTTTTTCACCCACCTAGTGTAAGATTCCCCCCCCCCCCCATGCAGTCCGAAATAAAAAGTGTTTTGTTTAAAGCTGCCAACCATTCTTTTTTTTCAGCCTTCAATCTTTTGTTTTGAACACTAGATTTTTCTCTTTTTCTGAATTATTATGTGTGAAATGTATATAAAAATAGACTGTATTCCTAATTTTGCCTTGAGAGATTCCTATTTTTCGCTGTGAAATGTTGGCAAATATAAAGGTTAATCATAATACTAGATGATTGTCATTCTAGTATGTAGCTAGGTTTTGACTTTTGATTCCAGTCTCATCGCAAAGTGATTGATTTTGCTTGTTTGATTTGTTCCCCAGCTATTGACTTGTGTGTATGCCTGATGGAGCTAGGTGAGGTAGCAGAAATCCATACCAATGCTAGATTTGCCTATGGTGAATATGGAAAGTAAGTAATCATAGTAGAGCTTGCCCATTAAGAAATACTACCTTAAAGGTACTATGTCCCTTTTGCAGCCAACATCAAATTCTGTAGAACTTTGCAGGCATTATGAATACCATGTCATGTATGTCCTGTGAAATTCAAAAGTTAGCAGTGTCCTAATTTATGCAAGGAAACCTGTTTACTTGCTAGACTTCACTGTCAGACACTATTGAGTGACTGACTGGCCTTTTACTTCTTTGGTAATAACATTCATAAAATGAGCTGTGGAGGGTACATGAGCATTTGTCTATATCGATAACCCACTTCTTGTAATGGCCAAAATTAAACTGATTGAATCTTTGCGCAGCATAAAACGTACGACCATTCGGTACTATGGTCTGAAAAATCAGACTATTACTTACTGGCTCTATAGCTTTTAAGTCGATTTGACAACTAATAGTCGTTATGTTCCCACTTAAAGACATTTCAAGCCCCACTTTTGTAGGGAAGTTCTAAATTAGTATTATCTTTCAAATGCCGTTGGAATTTAACCTTTTCATTTTTTTTGGCCTGCAAATGGGACATAGTACCTTAAGAAATACTACAATATAAAGTTATCTTTCATATATCAAAATAAATGATATGCAAATGGAATTGTACCATTAATGCATAAGTAAGCATTGCCATTCAATAAATGAGTCTCTGAAAATAAATTGCAAAAATAGGGCATCTGTCCATTCAAATATTGATGAGCAATGGAGGTATCCTATGGCTTGTCCACAATCTTGGATGTAAAGGAGAGGCATCTTGATTATGCTTGTCAAAACAATGCAGTCCTGATATTACAGTTGACATCCAGAGCTTAATCCTCCTTATTGGTTCTCATTCTTTGTTTTCATTGTTGAACAAGAGTGTCTAACAGATGCACATGCTCATTCACATTTGAATGGCTTCTTGCTCTATTATTGCCATTTTCTTAATCAGACCTTCTGATGGTTAAATGAATGTCCCCATCGAAGGGTGAAAGTTCAGAACTTGATCTTAATTGATGTTTGTAGAGTAGTAGAGTATTAATTTTTCTTTGATTTGATACATATTTTAATATATTGTATTGATGGTTTATATATAAAAATATGAATAATAAAGAATGTCCACTTTCTTTCTTTTTCGCTGAGTGTACATCCTCATTTCAGAATGTCTAAAATCATGAAATAAACCCATCTGGTCTTTTTTATTTTGTATCTTTTCAGAGCGCCAAAGATTTTGCCCAACACTGACATGATTTATGAAGTAGAATTATTAGAAACAAACCCTCCACCTACACCTATCACAATGACATTAGAAGAAGTATGTCAGCTAGCGTAAGTACTGTATTTCCTTGATTTTCACTCATTTTGTTTGCAACTGACATTAAAGCCCCTCTAAATTGTTGAGAGCCCCAAAAATTTGATGGCCAAATATGACTTAAAGTGTATCATAGCGTGAAAGAGGATGTCATTAAAGACACATTTCTGCAAGGATTTTCAAAACAAATGTGTTTGAAGTCGAATATTAATGAAAGAATACAATTTTTTTTTTTTGACGTACAACAGAAAACCCAAATTACGTTTTCTTTTATCAATATTTGTCTTCAAACACACTTTTTTTTTGGGGGGGGGAGGGATCTTTGTAGAAGTGTGTCTTAAATGACATCCTTCTTCCCATTATGATACAATTTAAGTGAAATTTTACCATAACACTTTTGACGACTTTGGGGCTTCATACAGGGGTTTTAAAAGCAGAAATTTTCCTCCTCATGGAAATATTTATGGAAATATTTATGCAAATAGTTAAGATTCACAAAATAATGTTATGCCACAAGAGGAATGAACCACACTTGGACACAACACCAAATGTGTGTACTTCGTGAAAGTGTCCTGTTAAGGAATTGCTCTTGATTATATAGATCACAACATTTTTTCCATTGCTCTTTCTTTCCTCTTTCTCTCTACCTCTCTTTACTCATGTCTTTAGTCATTCTTGATATTTCATTTACTCTCTTTTTAATCTTTTTATACTCCCAATAGTTCTACATTTTTCTTTGTCTCTTGATATATACATATCTCTCTTTGTGTTTTTCAACTTTGAAATGTCATGGCCCTAATACCACACATAATAATAATAATAATAATACATATGATTTATAAGGCGCCAAATCCACTTGACAGTCAAATGCTCAAGGCGCAGCTTGTGCAAAAGATGAAATACATACATGATACATTTATACAAAGTGCGATAGGAAAGGTACAGACATGAAAGGTAATGGTCATCAATACAGTTCCTTATGCATAAGTTTTAAGATGTTGTATGAATACAACTTTGAGCAATTGTCAGTAACCTTACAATGTTTATACTTTTATATATCTTGTTGTTGTTTTCAGAAACAAGAAGAGGGAGTATGGTAATCAACTGTTTGGAAGGAAGGACTTTTCTGGTGCAATCAATTCGTACTCAAAGTAAGGTCAATTACTCAATTTTGTACATTTGTAATCATACTTCTAAATGCATTGGAAGATGCCTTATTCAATTATTCATCTGTTTACGTCGTCGCATGTGAGACATAATTTGTCAGGATTAGGAATTTCACGTCAGCCAGTTCACAAAACAAGCAATAAATTAAGGAGAAGAAGAAAAATCTTGAAAATGTTTTCAGGTAACAACTTTTCTTGCCTTCATGTGTCTTCTTTTTGCAAGGTGTGAAGATCACACACTTGTGCTTGTAAATTCTCAGTGGAACAGGTATTTTAAAGAATTATTGGTAATATCAGCGAAGCAAAATGATGGTGTAATGGTACGTACCGTAAATCTCCGTGTACAAGGCGCACCTGTGTATAAGGCGCACCCCTATTTTTGGAATTAAAAAAAAAAAAAAAAAAAAAAAATTCCCTTTTGGGTTTGCTTTTTTGCCGACACCATCTCAGATTTGTATCTTATTTCAGCATGCGGTCCCGTTCGGAAACGCAAGCCATGATGCAGAATATTGGGAAGGACTTTTATTTATTACGACTTTACAGTCAAAAAGTCAAAGTAAAAAAGAATAGTAACAATGTTGTTTTTAAAACTAAAGATGACAGAAAAATTTTCCCCTGGAGTCCAAACCAAAATTTGGACCAGCTAGATTTCGAGTGGTGAGTCGATATCCCCCGTGTAAGTGAGCTGCAGGATACAGGTGAGTGAGCTGGAGACACGGGAGAGCTTCGGCCGGCAAAGTGCTTTGTGAAGGGGCATAATTTATCGAGACTGAAAAAAACCCCAAAAAAACTCTCTTCCCTTCAAATTAGGAACGTAGTTTAAATTCAAATACCGGTAGTAGATCCTATTCTTTATTTTCATTATGTAATTCATGTTGAGACACAGAGATTTTCGGAAACCACTAAAAAGTAGCATTTTGAGGACTCAAAATATGCTGTACCTGTGTATTAGGCGCACCCCCGACTTTCAATTTTTCCCGACGGAAAAAAAGTGCGCCTTATACATGCAGATTTACGGTATCTCCATTCTGCTGCAAGCAGTGCCTCTAGGGGCTTGCAGATAGTTAGAATAATGTTACGAATGGTGGTCATTTTTAATGATTGTTTTATGTAATCGTCATTTTCTCCATCTAATGATCATTTATCTTCTTCTCTTTTTTTTTCGCAGAGCCATCACATTGCTAGATGATTGTCCAGTAAGTGAACATGTAGTTTGGAGATAGTAAAGTAGCCTTTAGAAGATAATGTTGAGAATGTTGAGAAAGATTTGTGTATCAGTATCCACATTGATTTTTTAAAGACATTGCATTGTTGGGAATCCTGTGTTACACTGTGTTCCCAAATCTATTAAAATGGCTGATAGTAAAATCCATAAGACATCATCATTAACCCGACCCACTCAAGAACGGACACATTCGCAACCTCCTTCTTCATGAGAACAGTGCGTGATTTGAACCAGCTTAAACCGGAGACTATCGCCCACACTGACCCTGTCAAATTCAAAATTGCCCTATCGTCCCCCCCCCCCCCCCATCTACAAATTAATACACCCTACCCGCACCTCCAGTTAAAACTCAGACGAGTATTTTGGAGGACCAACCAACCAAGAACCCTTTCCCGACAATCATTCCACATTTTGCAGTTTGGCTCAACAACTTGATTCGGAGCCCTAAAAATATGCCAGATGCTTGATTAGTAGAATGGGCAGGATTTCTGTACACACTGCATTCATCTTTGTTACACGACTATATTGTGTTTGATGACAGAAATATAAAAAAAAAAGAAAATAAGCTTTAAAATTCTGAAATTGGCAACATGTTGAGAGATTCAGAATCATTGATTATCGATCAAAAAAAAAAATTTTCAACATTTTTCAACATTTCAACAACGTTCTCGCCCATGTATATTGTTATTTGAGACATTAAAAAAAAAAAAAAATCTAGCTATAAAATTGATGTTGGTGGTGGTGGTGGTGGTTATTTTACCTGACTGCTAAGAAAGCATAAACGCTTGTAAGTAAGCAACCAGACGGCTTTAGGTTCTCCCCGAGTGAAATAAAAATATAATTGTTGCAAATTTGAAGAACAATATGTGATCAATTTAATCCTTACAATAACTGGTATAAGCTACTGAAACAGTGGCAACGGATTAGCTGACAGCTAATTTGTCATAGAAGTTAGCATTTTTTATTGATAACAAGTTTTATGAAACAGGACCATGCATTAACCTGTTAAATTTTGTCTGGTCTGACAATGATATTAAATGGAAAGAAGAGTTTATATCATGGTGTCAAAAAATAATGTAAATGATCACTTTTGTGTTTATTTTTGACAGAGTGGAAAGGGTGATGACTACGAGAAGGAAGTGAATGATATGTTGGTCAAATGCTTCAATAATTTGGCCGCTGCTCAGCTCAAGGTAAGAAGGAATTAGGATGATAATCTGTGGCCTGCCATTCTGTAGGCTTTAATCTGTGAAAGACATGGTCGGAATTAGGGTTAGAATGGGGTTTTAGGTGAGGTTTAGGTACAGTCAAGCCTCCTTTAGTCACCACCTGTATAGAAAGACCACTGTCTACAAAGACCACATTTTTGCTTCCCTTGAAAATGGTTTCTCTTGAAAATGGTTTCTCTTTGAAACGTGTACTAAAGGAACCTGTACATAATTGTATATTTGTAAAGCGCTTAGAGACATTGTATTAAAGGTACTATGTCCCATTTGCAGGCCCAAAAAATGAAAAAGTTAAATTCCAACTGCATTTGAAAGATAATACTAATTTAGAACTTCCCTAAAAAAGTTGGGGCTTGAAAATGTCTTCAAGTGGGAAAATAAGTTATTAGTTGTCAAATCGACTTTAGGGCTATAGAGCCCAAAAGTAATAGTCTTGATTTTCAGACAATTGTACCGAATGGTCATACGTTTTATGCTGCGCAAAGATTCAATCAGTTTAATCTTGGCCATCACAAGAAGTGGGTTATTGATGTAGACAAATGCTCATGTACCCTTTACAACTCTTTTCATGTATTTTATTACCAAAGAAGGAAAAAAAAACAGTCAGACACTCAATAGTGTCTGACAGTGAAGTCTAGCAAGTAAACGGGTTTCCTTGCATAATTTGAATATGAGGACACTGCTAATGTTTAAATTTCACAGATAGGACATACATGACATATTCATAATTCCTGCAAAGTTCTACAGCATTTGAGGTTGGCTGCAAAAGGGACATAGTACCTTTAAGCGCTATATAAAAGCTAAATATTATTATTATTACATAAAGACCACCTGCCTATAAAGACTAATTTTCTTGTCTCTCTTGGGTGGTCTTTATAGACAGGTTTTGCTGTATAAGTATACACTGTGCATGTAGTGTTTGGTCCAGGATTAAAATAAAGAATTTTGTAAATGTAGGAAATAGACCATGGAGCCATTGCCGCAGAATTGCACACAAAAGAAGCTCTGATATTGTTTTTAAAGATAAACTCCAGTACTGGTAAAAAAAAAAATTAATTCTCACAGAATCAAACGAAACTTACACTGAATGTTCAAGATTACAAATAAATGACATGTGCCAAACAATTTTGGAAGAAAATGTATACTGGCTGAGTAATGAGCATAGAAAGACAAGGAAACCAAGGTAGTACCATCCCCGACACGATGTGTGTTGTCCCATATATAGCTTTCTATGTGAGTGTTTGTTACTTTACCAAGACTCGGTCAAATTTATTATGATTTTGATGACTCCAGAACCTTGCAGTGCACACCAATACTTACATGCTACATGATCAACTGTTTCTGATCCTTTCACACCTTTTCTTTCACAATGCAATCGCATTACCAGTACTAAAGTTTAGCTTTAAGTGACAGTTAATTTCAACATGAACAAAATATGCAACTATATATTTCCAATAGTTGTTGGGTGATTATACCTTGTAGATTATCTTGTTAGCATCAAAGTTAGCATGAAAGAGGCATATTAACATTTCCATATCAAGCTTTAGTATGGTGTGGAATGCCTTCCTGGAAATAAATAGTGCTTTTATCACATAACTGCAAACCCTTCATATTTCAAGGAAATTTTTCCCATTTTGGGAACTAATGTTCTAAACCCTAGATTACTCATTTGTCTGAAACTTTGGTGAGAAATGTATATGAATATTCAAAATTTTGCCATGAGATATTCCAACCTTTTTTTTGCTGTTAAAAGTTGGCATGTACATGTATGATAGTATGTTCTCTTATGAATTTATTCTATGTTATGTTTGCAGGTGGACGCATTCTCAGCAGCTCTTCAGTCTTGCAATTCTGTCTTATTGAAGGAACCCAGCAACGTGAAGGCACTGTTTAGGAAGGGCAAGGTAATGAGAGAGAAAGAGAGAGAGAGAGGGGGAGAGAGGAAGGGAGAGAGAGAGAGAGAGAGAGAGAGAGAGAAAGAGAGAGAGAGAGAAGGGGGAGGGAGGTGATACAAACATGTATTACACAATGTAACAATAGCTTTTAATTTAGACACACTGACAAATTTTGTCTTGTACCCTTAAGAGTAGAATGCAAGAATGAACGGATGGACAAAATCAAACAATCTAAACAAGAAATGAAGGGGAACAAAGTGTATGAGAAAAAAGATAACGAGCTCTGATTGGCTCCACAAATGATAATGAGATGCCAGTCTTGGTGTACCGGCTTCAGTATGTCTGTATCTATAAGCTTTTCTGTGGTTATTGTTCAACAGCATTAACTCCTATGGCTAGGACAACTGACAAGTCATTTACTTTAGGGAAGGTAGCAAAAACATGTGTATTACATCAGATTTCTATTTTGAATGTCAATTTGAAAGATAATTATTAGTAAAGAAGGCATGGTTATTGTGAGTAACTAAGTCATTAATATTTATAAGCGCTATATAAATATTACTATCATTATCCCCTGTCATATATATAGCTGAGTTTCTTAAGCTGACTCAGCTTAAGTTTGATATCAATTGCAACTACTATTTAATAAATGAATATGATATTGTGATTGATTTGAAAACTTTTGTTGTTCATTTGGATCCGTTACAGCTCTTTCTGTGGCCTTGCACACAAAATTGGTAATAAGTCTGTTTAATCCATGTAATTACTCACTGCTTGAAACTGTAGAGCCTGACTGCAATGGAGAAGCTACATGTTTGTTCTGACTGCCATTTCGATCTTTGAAATTCAGTGTCGAGCTTGTAAAGTAATATCTTGTTTAATAGAGAGAAAGCCTGATAAGAAAGCTGAAGAGTTTTTGTATTTATGTCATTTATTTTTATTGAAGTCCTCTCCTCTCCTCATTCTCTAGGTTCTAGCTGGCCAACAGGAATTCACTGAAGCTCAGACGTATCTCAAAAAGGCATTAGCAATAGAACCATCGAACAAGGTATGAAATAAGGATTGGCTTCCTGAAGATTGGGATTTGTCTGATAAATGTTATGTATTGGCAAAGCTTTAAATCAATAACCCGAAAGTCTCAGCGATGTTTCACCATTTATTACTGGCTTTATTATGTTGGTATGATGTCCTGTTTTGGGCACCATGTTTTATTTAACAGATCTGATCACTTTACCTGTGAAGGGGCACTTGATGAATACTTTGTGCACAATGAATATTGGATGGACTCATTTATTATATGTCCAACAAGAAAGTGAGAGAGATAATGGGGAGTTATGGGAACATGATCACCTTGTCACAATTATGAAAATAAGAAAAAGAGGCAGACCAAATTGGACATGGACTGATAACATCAAGCAGTAGACAGATTTTAAATTTTTTTCCTTTTTGTGCAGACCATTCACCAGGAGCTAGCCAAGCTTTCAAAGACATTGGTTTTGAAGTTGTTGAATACCAAATTTGGTTTCATTTTGTGCAGACCATTCACCAAGAGATTGCTAAGTTATCAAAGATTAATAACTCCAGTACTTGTACAAAAAAAAAAAAAAAATTCTCACAGAATCAAACGAAACTTACACTGAATGTTCAAGATTACAAATAAATGACATGTCCCTAACAATTTTGGAAGAAAATGTATACTGGCTGAGTAATGAGCATAGAAAGACAAGGAAATCAAGGTAGTACTAGCCCCGACATCATGTGTGTTGTCCCATATATAGCTTTCTATGTGAGTGCTTGTTACTTTACCAAGACTCGGTCAAATTTATTATGATTTTGATGACTCCAGAACCTTGCAGTGCACAGCAAAACTTACATGCTACATGCTACATGATCAACTGTTTCTGATCCTTTCCACACCTTTTCTTTCACAATGCAATCGCATTACCAGTACTAAAGTTTATCTTTAATTATGTTTTCTTTTGTGCAGACCATTCACCAAGAGCTAGCTAAGCTCTCAGTGAAACAGCAAAAGGAGGTCAAGTCTGAAAAGGCCATGTACCAGAGGATGGTAGGAGATATGGCCGCCGTGTCCGAGTCTGAGAAAGAACAGAAAAATAGCAATAGAGTAAGTTTTAAAATTTCATTCTGACGTTGACGTTGATTATGATGTACCCCGTGTTCTGAATTCTACATTGGTTAACAGTCCAGTCTTGCATCCAGACAGTTGAAAATACCATTATTATATGTAGCTTATGAAGATGCCTCTTTCAATAAAGTATGATTTGTTAGTGTGGCATATGAAAGGGACCCAATCGTATTTTGAAAAGGGGAAATAGGTAGAAGAGGCCCTGTCTATCTTGGTAGATGTAGGGAATTGCGCCCCTTTTGCCCAGGACCCTGATGCCCTCCCAAGGGGTGACAGTATTCTGAGCAGTTAAAGGGAGTGTAGCCTGACAAGACTAAGTGTCTTTCTTGTGGCCTGACTCGGGGGGGCCAGTCGAGTATAATGCGACTGCGGACGAAGGGGACTGCAGCAATCACGTGCGTGCAACAGACACGAAACGGAAGCGTGAGGAGAACCCTGGTCTGTTTCGCGAACGCTGGCCATGTAGAGATTAAGTCGCTGACTACCGTTAATCAAGTAAATTTGTTTACGTGCAGTTGTGGAAAAGAAGACGGAGATGGCGTTAACCAGTATTTGCCATGCTGCACTCCCTTTTAAATGAGGCTGTTTCATGACTTTCAAAGGGCATAGTTTGTCAGAGGAAATGGGAAAAAAATGTAGAAGTAAAAAGCGACGATAAAGAGTGACATTTATCAGAAGTGATAAGGGGCACTTTTGGTCTTCTTGGAAAATGGGGAGGGGGTCGTGAGCTCATAGTAGTCAAACTATTTTTTGGTGAGCCAAATACGGAGCTGTATTAACAAAACTAAAGCAATATTTATGTGTCAAGCAATTTTAGATAGACTTGCTAGAAATCTCTTTAAATCATATTATTTTCTTTTCTTTTTCAACTCAGGCTTATTATCTTCTGATCGGATTAACAGTGATCATTGCTGCTGTCGGGGTAGTGCTTTCTCTTTATTTGTCGTAGACCTACATAACGATGCTGTTAGCCATCTGTGACCAAATGGACTTCAAAACAACTCCAGAGTAAGAATATAAACACCTTTAAAAATGCAATAAATGCAATACGATTGCCTAAAATTATCCATTTGATGACAGTAAGCAAAGTACGGGTCTCTATCTCTCCTTGTCAGGCCCGAAAAAGTATCTTTCGTTGTGATTTTTTTTTGTGGAGTCTACACAATATGAATTACGGAGTGCTGGCACTGGTTTCAAGCAGGATAAAACTGATGATCGGTTATAGGCCATTGTAGTTTTAAAGTTTGGTATAAACTAAAGTTATGTGGTTTATTTTTATGATAGCATCGCCTGTATTTGAGACCTCTTTCTGCAGTTATATTCAGTTCTACATACCATTAAAGGCCCTACATGCACCCTTCTTTAGTGGTCCACGGAAGAGATGCAGGAAATCCACGGCATTTAATCCAGATGTTCGCCTTGTACGGATTCTATCCTTCTTCTGTCGCTTTGGATTTATTTGTAGAAGCAAGAAGCCCATGGATTCTGGAGCAAATAAGTGCAGTAGGAGGAAATAGCCCATTTTGTGATGTATTCATGCTAACCTCTTGCCCCACAGTTGGGGTATAAGCTACAATAATACTCTTTAATAAAATACTTCTACAATCTACACACATGTGCATGATTTGATCCCAATTTTCACCCAACGTTTATATTAACTTATTACAAAATTGTAACTTTGAACTTTGAAACGCATGAATATTGATGCTAGGATCATGGAATATTACAGAGATAGAGATACTTGCATTTACCTTTTCAACCTATTTTAAGTATATGTACACCTGTTTACAAAGTTAATTTAAAAAGGGAAATCAACTTTGATTGAAGATTGTGAGCTGTGAGATGATTTGATTAATATGTTTATGTAAAAAAGGTGTGAACAATATAGATTATTGTACATAGCTATTTCTAGGAAATAATCTTTTCATTGATATTTGCAAGATCTTTCAAAAGTTTTGTAGTTACTAAAGAGATCCCAGCAGCTGTATCCTGTCCCCCCCCCCCCTCTCTCTCTCTCTCTCTCTCTTTTGCTCTTTCTCTCTCTCTCTCTTGCTCCCTCTTTCACTCTCTCTTTTGCTCTTTCTCTCTCTCTCTCTCTCTCTCACTTTCCTTCTTTCTTCTCTGTGTCCCTTCCTTTCCCTTTATGCATTTATTGTTTTGAAAACTCTCCACTTGTCGCAAGTTTTAACGCCAATGTAGACAGAATATCAACTCAGTATTATTAATACATATACTCCATAATGTTGTGTACGTCCAAACCATATAATCATCTCTTTTGTATGCTACAGTAAAGAGGTCTTGTGTATTCTATAAATTAATCCAATGTTTTTGTATTGTTATTGTAGCCCATGTAGATAATGATAATGATAATAGCTACATTTACTGGTAATTTGTGCATGTCTCCTTCCAAGGGGATGCTCAAGGCGCCGACAAAGTAGTATTTTTACTTGGCTTTAGCACATCTACCTTAAAGGTGCTAAAAGCATTCAAGGAATACATTTATTTTACCCATTTATTACACATGGGTGGAGAGCGGCAAATGATAAATGATTAGACCAATGTCTTGCCAAAGACATTGGTGCTGTGGGGGGACTTGAACCCCGAACCATGTGTTCCACAGTCTGGTTACTAGACCATGACGCCTCTTTTATAAATACCCATTGTCTGTAGAGAATGCGTATTTCTGCAAACTATATATATTTTGAGGGTGCTCTTACAAATGTTGCCAAGGGATTTTATTTTGTCAAAGATGTAAGGTTAGGATTAGGGTTACAAATGGGTTTTAATTTCAGGGTTAGGACCAGGATTAGGATTGGGTATAGTATGTGATCGCTTCCTTCTTTTTTGAGGGGTAAATCATTATGGTTATGTTGTTCATTTTGTATCTTGCACCTTCTAAAAGTGTAATTTTTATTAAAAAATCTTTCTTCATTTTTTTGTTTGTTTTTGTTACTGTTTTTGTTACTGTTTTTTTGTATATTTAGCTGCTCACTGAAATGTATTTTTGTCTATTATTCTTATGGCACCAATGATAGTGCTTGGCTGACGAGCATTTTGTTTTCAACTGCACTTCCCTCCATTGATTTACAAGAGATACAGAATCAGAAATATGAATTTATTAATATCATATCTATCCCCCTCACTTTGTAAAACCTGTATTTCGTTAAAATGTCGAACATTGGGCTAGTTTGCATCATTATAGAGATATGTACTGATAAGATTTCAGTGTTATTTCAAAGGTCACAGTTCAGTCAACATGAGGATTTTATAGTCCAATTAGTGTGTTCAATCCATAGATTACTCAATTCTCTCATGCATATACATGTAGGCTTCCTTGCTGGAGCCACTTGGTTCATATAGGCAATGGGCTAATTATCATTATTAGTTTCTACAGAACTTTGTTGTAAACGTATCCTCCTAAGAAGAAAGGCCTTTCTTTCATTTGCATCAATGATATGTGTGTTCTGATTAACTCACTCTTCATAATCCTACACTGAAACATTTGCCATACACCCAAAGTCATTAACTCCTACGTGTATCAAAACACCCTTTCATTGCCGTTAGTTTTCAACCTCCCTCGCTCGACTTGTATATTTAGACTGTTGCTATGGCGACGAATACAAGTTCAGTACAGTTGAGCAACAAACAACTTTCCAAAAACATCCCCAACTTACAAGTCTAATCCTGGTTATGGAAAATAATCTGTGGAATAGAGCCAAGTGTTGCCTGCTGATAAACAATCCATGCTCAATCAGATGCACTTGGCACTATATCTGTCACAAGCCGTTGACATCAATTACTAGCAGTTTTGTCAAATGGGGCAAGTTGGGGGTTTCCCCTCCCCTGTTGCTAAGGTTACACTCCTCACACCTGGGAATGGTTAGTGAAGGATTATATGCTTTTTTTAATTTACAGGTTAATAGTAGGATTCATTTCATACTTGCCTTTACTTATCGACACCAATTACTATCCTTCTGTCGTTTGGCGCAAACTGGGGGTAGGCTGATATCGCCCCCCTTTCCTCTCTCTCTTTGTCTCTCTCTCTCTCTCTCTTGCTCTCTCTCTTGCTCTCTCTCTCTCTCTCTCTACACCTACATGTACCTCACTTCACAGGGCAGTGTTAGTGAATGGTTGCATATAATATCATTTTTTTAAATTTAAATTTCAATATTTAGTGATTCATATTTCCTGCACTATAAAGAGGTATTTACAAATCATCTTTCAATTCTGTTGGTGACTAAATAATTATTCTTGTTTTGTTTGTGAATTTTTGTGACATTTATATTGTTTGTTTTATTTTGTTACTTTTCAGCTACATTTTGTGTGCCAGGCACTTCAGTAAAAATTGTATCTTACCACTGAAAGTACCATCCTTTTTAAATGCCCCATCGATTATTATTTTTTTTTTTTACCTAGTTTGGTTCCTTTATCCAGAATGCAAAGACATGAAAAAGAGGATGATTTGTTTCCCCCTGAAACTTTAATACCTTTATGTATTTATTTAATATCAAGCAGTTTAAAAACATTTCATGAAAGTTTCATTGTACCTGAAGGTCTTAGTTTTTCAGTAGCTCAAGAGATGACCAAAAAAAAAAAGAAACAAAAATCTGTTTCACCTTGTATATCGTCAATTCAAACATGTTTAAAATGAACTGTAGGGCTCGCACTTGTGTGCACCCTATTCTATGCAAGTTTGTTAGTCTACTAAACAAGGCGTTTTACGGTTCACTGGGAGTGTATTTAAACTGCAGTAGACGATATGTTTGAAGCTCATAGTTTGACTGCAGTACAGTGACATGGAACACCTTGCATCTAGAGCAAAACAGGCTTTGGTGATGAGTACACTTTAAAGTACAAAGAAGTAAAGAGGAACTTGGATCGTTAAACTTGATGTTGTAATGAATCTGTTATATCCGGGCTAAAAACATAATGATAATAATCATAATCCCAGGACTTGATGCCAGTAAAAATTACCATGCTACAATGAAACTGTGTTTATATCAGAGCTACCGGTATATAAATATAAAAAATAATTTTTTAAAAAGTTGGGCAGGCTAAATTACCTTGTTATGATGGGAGGTCATTATAATCGTATTCCTTTAAATGAGATTCCACTCTGTTGTAATAAAGATGTAGGATAGCTTAAGCACCTTCTTTCATTGTCTGTTATGGAGGTACATGTGGGATGCATGAATTATCAGTATGCATATTCTAAATCATATTCATTGAATATGCTCTATGTCAAACTGTATGATTGCTACCGATAACAAATAAACCTAATTTGTTTCATTTGACTGTAAATTTGAATTGTCCAGCATTCTAAATTATGTTGTAAACCCCTGTAATTGTACTCAGAGATTGTATTGCAGACAACAATTCTGTAGGAATATTTTTAGTGAGCTAAGTGTGAATGTTTTGAATACCAAATGGAGATGCATGCTCATTTAAAATTTTGCTCTCACGATATGTTGCATGTACATGTAGATAATAAAACTATATAAAAATGAAAATATGCAAATGTAAATTTGAATCATGCCTAGATTCTTACATTTAGATAGATTTATCTCATCATGTAAGTAACATTCCATGCTGAAGATTTGGGAATTAGTCCTGAACTCCTGATTGTGTTTTTTTGTTAATATAAATTATTCATCCTCATTAATTGTGAAATTATACTGAAAGTTAAAAATAAATATGTTACATAATGTTAAGGACAGCTTATTAAAAAGTGTAAAAAGAGAAAATGCCATTTTAATGAAAAATGTAGACTGTGTAGACTCATAGTCAGCCTTAATATTTATACTTTTGATATGTGTAATAATTATATTCATGTATTGTTGTTTCACATATTTTTGTCATTAAATGACGAGATGTTGCAAATGAGAAATAAAAGTCTTTTATATCTATTTTTCATTACCTGTCTCTTTATCTTGCCCCAATATGAAAATGGGGCAAATTGTAATTTTGAATGTGATCAGAAACCTCAAAACTGGGCGAGAGAAAATAAAAGGGGTATACTTTTAACTAATCACATTTATACTACACCAAAACGTGTTTTGCCATTCTATTATGAAAGTTCTTATATGAAAAATATCAAAGCCCCACTGAACTACTTATAGCTACTTGTCCCTCTATATATAAAGCAATGCCTAATCAGTGACCATTGGTCCCCCAATGATCCTCTTTTTCTTATGTTAATTGAGATGTTAATTTTGATGAGATAACCACCTGTCAGTAACCATGCAGGGAGGTCTAATCCCTCCATGCCAAACTAGTGCAGAGGAACTTTAACCATTTACATTTACCCTACACCAAAACATGTTTTGCTGTTCTATTGTGAAAGCTCTTGTATGAAAAATATTAAAATGAACAAATATATATCATCTATATGATCATACCATGTGTTCACACACACCACGCCTTTTCAACCCTCGTATGCTGAACCATTCCACTCAACAAGAAATAAAACTCCAATTTCAAAATGATAATTACTCTACTGAATATCTGATTTTATTGAAGGCGTGTCCAGTCCTTAAATGAAAACATAAATTATCATACACACATTAAATTCAACTTTTACACACTTTGTTTTTTATTATTTTTGTACACACATAGGTAACTTATTCAAGAAGAAAAGGACACAATCCCATATTTCACAATAGTGCAATCAAGGAAACGAGTCCCTGGTGCAATGTAACTGAAATATGTGATGGTGAACACAACTCGACGGTGATTTCTTCTTCTACTGCATTTTATACATTCCAAAATAATTCCAAATATTAACAATAGACACACTATATGCTACATTTTTCATAAATGACAGTAAAATGTTTATCAATTTCCATAATATGGCTAAATACAAGTGTACATGTACCTCAAATTTGTACATTTCTCTTTTTTTTTTAACTTGGT